CAGAGGCTCTGACTGAATTTGGATGCCGGCTGCACAATTCCCTGACAAAACAGCCAGAAAAGAAGGTAGGCCCAGAATACCTCATGATGTACTGATGTGCCTATCTTATCAGAACAGAACAGAAATATTGAAGCAATAGCACGAGGTATCAGATAACCTCTAATAAAATTGTGTTTTTGCCTAAACGATCGTTGAATAATAATGTGATAATTATGTTTGATATTTGAAACAATATAATGAGATTGCTTAAAAGCATTGTAAGCCGCCCTGAGTCTCCGGAGAAGAGCGGCATATAAATCAAATAAATAAATCAAATAAATAAATAAATAAATAAATTAAAAAAAAAAAAAACCAGGCAGGAATGCTATTTCCAGACATAGAGAAGGCCTTTGACAATTTGGGATAGACATTTTCCTTTCGTGGCTATTTTATTATCCATGTAACGCTGTTCCATACGTATCATATGTGTCACGTGATTCTATAAAATCTGTTTATGATATATTTAGGTTCTTCTTGAATGTTTGGCTAGATAAATCATTTATTCTCTTGATAGTTTATGACTTCTGGACACAACAAGGAATAGGTTTAAATATGAAGCGATTTCCATACTACAAGAACTTGATTTGTGGGGATCTCTTGAGGGGCAAGAGAAATACATGCTGCCTAAAAAAAATTTATGTGACAAAAGGAGGAGCCTGCAGCTTTATAATAAGTCTAAAAAAACCCTTTAAAACAATGTGTCCCAATGTATCAGACTGTTATTTATTACTTATTAAATTTATACTGTATACTGCCCATGTCACAGTTGGAGGCAAATTCATTAACTATATAGCTGGAAAAAAATCATATCAACTGTACTTCTTTCATTTAAATTAAGGCTACAGGTAAATGTACCAAAAAAAACAATAACCCCATTTTAGTTTTTGTCTGGGACCTTATCATTCCATAGGGAAACAGAATTTGGCATCTTCACTAGAGAAGTTTTTTTGCATGTGGGTTTATAGGACTTCCCACAGTTGTAGCCTCTTTTCAAAACTCTTTATCTGAAGTGTTGTGGCTCCGTCCTCCAAGCCTATCTTATCGGAGGAAGAAGGCTCCAAACATGAAGGAGAGGAGATGGCCAGGCCTCCCTCTCCAGGACCCTCCTCTCTGGCAATGCCTCAGGTGTCTCCCAAAGGAGAAGAGATTGGCCAGGAGCCAGGTGTTTCCGAGCCGTCGGATAGTGACGAAGAAACATTGTGGTTGGACCCACGCCAGTGTCAGAGACAAGCGGGCGCAGCAGAAAAGGAGGCGTGCCAGAGATTAAGCTGAGTCACTGGACCACACCCCACAGGCTATAAAGGGAGTGTGGTGGCCATTCGGACTCTGTGATGGACAAAGCTAATCTCTGGCGAGGCACTTTGCACCTTCGGACACAACACCTATTTGCTGTGGATTTAATTATAAACTGGACTATTCAAACTGTGTGTATTTTTGTCTGTGTTATCAGAGTAAAAGTTCTTGGCAGGCAGCCACGGAGTTGCTGCCAAGTTCCTTATCACTGACGTTGAGTGTTTGAAGAGTTTATTTAACCCTCGGCTGGCTGGTTAGGTGTGTGCGTGGTACGGGGACAGAACATGAAGCTTCTTCCATAAAATATGTATCCATACAGATTTATGGTGATGAACCAGTGACATCAATATTTTAGACTGAAAAATACTTTCTCATTCCTATTGGTTATCTCTAGTCACACAGTAGATCTGAATTCAGTTATTTTCATCACCATGAAGTAGTAACTCCTTTGTGAATTGCAGCACTTTCTAACATGGCAGATAACTCCCAACCATTCCTGCAGTGATTGTACTAACTTTATTTCAGGCCCTGCAGTTTTCCAAAATCCCTTTCCTCAGTTGATGGTTGACTCTTTTTGATGCCAAAATTATCTTTGTACTGTTTTATTTGGAGCAAGAACAAGGAAAGGGAAGGGAGGAAAAAACCACATATTTAATACACAGCCTCTTTTATTTTTTTCCCAATTCAACATGAGTGAAATCTCACTCTCTTTACAGATTTCTTCCACAGCTATTGCTGTCATTTGCATTCTGTTTAGAACAGTAGTTCCCAACCTTTTTTTGGCCATGCCCCACCTAAACATCTCTAAAATCCTGATGCCCCTCCCTGTGACATATAATTCTTACTATTCAAAAAGTGAACTCCTACTCATGGGGAGGAAGCCTAAAAGGCTATTAACTTGGTTTAAACAAGGTTCCAGTTGCCACCATTAAAAATCAAATTGCCCCCCTGTGGGGCGTGGGAACCACTGGTTTAGAAGCAAGGGTGGAATGTCAAATTAAATCTAATTGTCAGGTTTCGATGCTATCTCAAAATAAATGAATTTCCAAACTGCCGATCTTTAAGGAAATGTTCTCTTTATTCGAGCACAGCAATCTGATCCTGACTCTTTTGTGGTCAGTACTGACCTTTGCCCCCCAATCCCTCCCTTTCCGATCCCCAATTCTCTGCTTCTCATTGGCTATCTTCCAAGTCACTTTCCTGATTCCTTCTTCGTCAGATCACAGGAATGTCTCCCCCCTCCACATCTCCAAGGAGACAGATCTTCAAAGGGATTTAGCAGGCAAAAGTTCAGGCTTCTCCTCCCTTTATTTATATGTCAGTGCTGGGACGCTGACACTAATAAGAGATTGAGGATTGAATTTCTGCCTGTACATCTGCTGTACTGAAGGAATGCTGACCACATTTTCTCTTGCTGAGACAAAGCAGTTATATATTGATCAGATGGAGTTGCTTCAAATGATTGGGAAATCTGCATGTGTTAAATAATAGGCTGGACAAATTAATCTCCACTGAAACTCACTTTTTTGTTTTAACATCCTACTTAGCCAAAACAGCAACAGGATTTGGGATCCACCTTTTTCTGGATTGCACTAGAAAGGCAATTTATGCACGCATATCTAATAATTTATTTATTTTATTTATTTTATTTTATATTGGATTTCTATACCGCCCTTCTCCCTAAGGACTCAGGGCGGTGTACAGCCAGATTAAAAAAAACATGCAGAACAAATATTAAAAACAATTAAAAGATATATAAATTTGGCCCAATTAAAACTCATTTACCAATTAAAAACGTTTAAAACATTTAAAAACAGTTAAAAATTTCATCTTAAGCCAGCCCGGCTTGTTTAAATAAATGGGTTTTAAGGGCGCGACGGAAGGCACTGAGGTCTTGGATTCTCCTTATCTCTGGGGGGAGCTGATTCCAGAGGGTAGGTGCCCCCACAGAGAAGGCCCTCCCCCTGGGGGTCACCAGCCTGCATTGTTTGGCTGATGGCACCCCGAGGAGGCCCTCTCTGTGGGAGCGCACGGGTCGCTGGGAGGTCGTCGGTAGCAGCAGGCGGTCTCGCAGATAGCTAGGCCCTATGCCATGGAGCGCTTTAAAGGTGATAACCAACACCTTGAAGCGCACCCGGAAGACAACTGGGAGCCAGTGCAGCTCGCGCAGGAGCGGTGTTACATGGGAGCGCCATGCTGCTCCCGTCACTACCCGCGCTGCTGCGTTCTGGACCAGCTGGAGCCTCCGGGTGCTCCTCAAGGGGAGCCCCATGTAGAGAGCGTTGCAGTAGTCAAGGCGAGAGGTGACGAGGGCATGAGTGACTGTGCACAGGGAATCCCGATCAAGAAAGGGCCGCAACTGGCGAATCAGGCGAACCTGACAAAAGGTCCCCCTGGTTACAGCCGTCAGATGTTCCTCCAAGGACAGCTGCATATCCAGGAGGACTCCCAGATTGCGAGCCCTCTCTGTGGGGGCCAATGACTCGCCCCCAATAGTCAGTGATGGAGTCAACTGACTATATCGGGATGCCGGGAGCCACAGCCACTCAGTCTTGGAAGGGTTGAGCTTGAGCCTGTTCCTCCCCATCCAGACCCGTACAGCCTCCAGGCACTGGGACATCACTTCAAGGGCATCGTTGGGGTGGCCTGGGGTGGAGATGTACAGCTGGGTGTCATCAGCGTACTGGTGGTATCTCACCCCAAAGCCACGGATGATCTCACCCAGCGGCTTCACATAAATGTTGAACAGAAGGGGCGAGAGGACCGATCCCTGCGGCACTCCACAAATGAGAGGCCTCGAGGTCGACCTCTGCCCCCCTGCCAACACAAACTGCGACCGGTCGGAGAGAAAGGAGGAGAACCACCGCAACACGGTGCCTCCCACCCCCAACTCTTCCAGCCGGTGCAGCATGATACCATGGTCGATGGTATCAAAAGCCGCTGAGAGGTCTAACAGGACCAGAACAGAGGAACAACCCCTGTCCCGAGCCCTCCAGAGATCATCAACCAACGCGACCAATGCCGTTTCTGTGCTGTGCCCAGACCTGAAACCCGACTGGAACGGATCTAGATAAGATGTTTCCTCCAGGAATTGCGGAAACTGTCATGCGACCACACTCTCAACAACCTTCGCCATAAAGCGAAGGTTGGAGACAGGACGATAGTTGGCCAATATTGCCGGATCCAGGGACGGCTTCTTGAGGAGAGGCCTCACCACCGCCTCTTTCAAGGCGGTGGGGAAGTAACCCTCACTCAACGAAGCGTTGATAACACCCTGGAGCCAGCCTCGTGTAACCTCCCGGGAAGCCAGTACCAACCTAGTATTTATTGGATTATTGCTCAAATGATCCTTGCATGAGATTTTAGACTACTAGTAGTCCTTGACTTACCACAGTTCATTTAGTGACTGTTCAAAGTTGCAACACAACTGCAAAAATGACTATTTTTTCACTTAGGTCCATTGCAGTATCCCCATGGTCACATGATCAAAATTCAGGTGCTTGGCAACTGACTCATATTTATGAAGGTTGCAATGTCTCGGGTCATGTCAGCACCTTTTGTAACCTTACAATAACCAAAGCCAATGGGGAAACCAGATTCAATTCAACTGTGTTATTAAGTTAACCACTGCAATGATTCATTTAACAAATGTGGCAAGAAAAGTCATAAAATGGGAAAAACTCATTTAATAAATGTTTCACTTACAATCATAATTGAGTTAAATTATGATCGTAAATCGAGGACTGGGATATGAGCCATCTTCCTTTGCTCACCCTCAGTTTGGACCTGCTTATTCTTTCAACCGCAGTCATAAACCGAGAACTACCTGTATTTCTACTGAAACTCTTCCCACATTCCCTGTGTTGATATGGCTTCACCTGTATGTGGATCTTTCTATGGCAAGTAAGAGTGTAACTCCTTGCAAAGCTCTTTCCACTCTGCATGCATTGATATGGTTTTTCTCCCCATAGGGATCCCTTTATGGGAAGTAAGATCACAATTCTTCTTAAAGCCCTTTCCACATTCCACACATTAATACGGCTTCTCTCCCGTGTGGATGCTCTTGTGGGAATTAAGATTACGGCTACAATGAAAGATCCTTCTAGTCTACATACATTTATAGGGCTTCTTTCCTGTATGGATCCCTTTATGTGAAGTGAGATCAGAATTCCACCTAAAGCCCTTTCCACATTCCACACATTGATATGGCTTCTCTCCCGTGTGGATGCTCTTGTGGGAATTAAGATTACTGCTACGAGTAAAGCTCTTTCCACACTCCATGCATTTATAAGGCTTCTCTCCTGTGTGGATCTTTTTATGGGAATTGAGACTACTGCTACAAGTAAAGGTCTTTCCACACTCCATACATTGATATGGCTTCTCTCCTGTGTGGATCCTCTTGTGGTAAGTAAGGCTACTACTACAACTAAAGCTCTTTCCACACTCCAAGCATTGATATGGCTTCTCTCCTGTGTGGATCCTCTTGTGGATATTAAGATAACTGTTACGAGTAAAGGTCTTTCCACACTCCCTGCATTTATATGGTTTCTCTCCTGTGTGGATCCTCCTGTGGATATTAAGACTACCACTACAAGTAAAGGACTTGTCACAATCCATGCATTGATATGGCTTCTCTCCTGTGTGGATCCTCTTGTGGATATTAAGAGTACTGCTATAAGTAAAGGTCTTGCCACATTCCATGCATTGATATGGCTTCTCTCCTCTGTGGATCCTGTTGTGGGAATTAAGAGTACTGCTACAAGTAAAAGTCTTTCCACACTCCATGCATTGATATGGCTTCCCTCCTGTATGAATCTTTTTATGGGAAGTAAGATTAGAATTCCATCTAAAGCTCTCTCCACATTCCACACATTTATACAGCTTCTCTCCTGTGTGGATGATCTTGTGGGAATTAAGACTACTACTATGAGAAAAGGACTTTCCACACTCCATGCACTGATAAGGCTTCTCTCCTGTGTGGATCCTCTTGTGGATAGTAAGATTACTGCCATAACTAAAGGTCTTTCCACACTCCATGCATCTATAAGGCCGTTCTCCTGTGTATTTCCTTTCATGAGTTCTAAGAGAGTGATTATCACGGAAAGTCTTTCCACACTCCCTGCAGGTATATCGTTTCTCTTTTGAATGTGTCTTTTTATGGGAAATGAGATGATCAGATTTATTACAGCTCTTTCCAAGCTCCGTACATTTACATGGTTCTTCTCCTGTATTGTTGCTTGTATAGTTAGGAAGCAAACTGAGCCGAGGAAAGGCTTTTTTAATTCCACTATGTGATCTCTTTTTTGCATCACTCTTTAGTTGCATCTGATCGGCAAACTTCCTTTTTTCCTCTTTCGGCTGGGTCGCTTGGCATTGTTCTTTGTAATTCTTATTCTCTTCTCTTTCTCCATTAAAGCCTTGAAAAAGAAAAAATGAAAAATGTTGCAAAACTAGGGGAATGATCAAACCATTTCTTTTGAAATTTAGCAAAATATATTTTGGCAGTTTTGCAAACAAACATGAAGATTCCAAACTACGATGTTACCCATGTGAGTACCCACCAATTGGATGACATCACAATGAACTATGACAAATGCCTGATCTAATCTTTGAGCACCAATGTGTGAGAGCCACTTGGGGACCTGGGACAATTCCATGGTTCCATGAACTCCCTAAAGTCCATTAGACACTCTACAATGCCGGGGCAGAAACGTTAAGGCACCAGGCTAGAAACTGGGAGACTGCAAGCACAGGTAGTCTTCAAACATACAATTATTCATTTAGTGACCATTCAAAGCTACAACGGCACTGAAAAAAGTGACTTACGACCATTGGAGCATCCCCGTAGTCATGTGATTTACATTCAGATGCTTGATAACTGGTTCATATTTATGATGGTTGCAGTTTCCAGAAGCCAGATCCATTTAACAACTGTGTTACTAACTTAACTGCAGTGATTCACTTAACAACTGTGGCAAGAAAGATCATAAAATGGGGCAAAACCTGCTTAACAAATTTCTCGCTTAGCAACATTAATTTTGGGCACAATTGTGGTCGTAAGGACTACCTGTACTAGTTCTGCCTTAAACATGAATACTGGCTGGGTGACTTTGGACCAGTCTCTCACAGCCCAACTCATATCACAGTGTTGTTGTTGTGGGGAAATAGGAAGGAGTACCGGTTGTGTCCATTGCCTTGAGTTATTTTCACAAAATAATGAAAGCAGGATATAAATAAAAAGTTTTTTTATCAGAAATATCTAAGGCCTCCACCCACCCATGCCTTCTCTACATTTCTGAGCACAGACAGAGGTTCTTACCCAGGTAAGCCAGATTCCTGGAATTCTCCAGCATGACTTCCCCATGGAGAGCTTTTTGGGCAGGATCCAGCTGAGACCACTCCTTCTCAGAGAAATGCACAGCCACTTCCTCAAAAGACACAACACCCTGAACAAGGAAACAAGTTTCCCTATTAACAGATAATCCCAAAAATAATCTGAGAGTTTCCTTTCACCAATTCAAGCAGAGAGAACTATGAACAAAATGGGCATCTTCTACAGAATTCAGAATGGGATCACACCGCTTTTGGCTGATGGCACAACTGAAGCACATTTCATCACACTGGGAGGATTGTGATGCCTTTCTGTGAAATCAATTAAAATAGTTTTCTTGGATGATTGATAGTTCAGCATTAAACCAACTACTTAGCACTGGCTCCAATTCTTCCTAGAGTGAACAGAAGGAAACACAGAGACAATCCATCTGATATTTTTGCCAGTGGATTGCTTTATCCACTGAGGGATCAACTCTTTCCCCTACTCCACACATTCATGGAAGTATTGGAAGAGCATGTAATGGTAGTGAGAATGACCCTGGGAGACAGAAGTCAAGACAACATCTGGTCAATGAAATCTGAGCCTGAACCAGGAGGGTGGAGAAAGCTTATCCAAAGGGACAGGTAGGTTAAGCCAGCTGTGAATTTTCAATGATCTGACCTAAAATTTGTCTTGCTTGGAAACAGCAATATTACTCATGGAATATTGTACAGAATAAAATGAAACCATTCCAAGTTTTGTGGACCTTTCCAATATTTCTCCTCTTACCTGAGGCAAAAGTTCAGCCACACTTTCAGCTCTATCACAGACAGAAGGTTGTTCTAAAAATAGTAAGGACAGTTTTCTATTATCTGTGATACAGAAAATGCTATAAACAGACTGTTAAAAGAAAGAGATGAACAAAACAGTCAGATGGATGGATGTCAAAACTTCATATCCTATGGAAACAATTTCTGTTACCTGTTGTGATGTCCTGACTTTGACCTTTCTGGAAGCTCTCCCTGAATAGCAGCTCTTGAGAGGATTTCGATGACTCTTTCCACCCCTGAGGATACTCGGTGATAGCTTGAAGGGACTTGCGGATAAGATGTGGAACGAGAAAGAAAGGAAGAGTAGAGAGATAGAAGTGAATTATCAATATTGAACACTCAGCCCACTAGACACCAATGTCCATCGGTTAAGCTGGAAAGCAAGAATAGAAAAATTGGCCCAAATTCATCCTCAGAGATCTTAGCAGCTCATAATCCCAGAAAATTCTGCCAGAGAGACATTGACAAATTCAGAAAGATTCTCTTTAGACCTGCTATGATTACATTCTCCCACCTGCAACTCTGCTTGCATCTTCTCAGACTCCTGGGTCAGCAAGAAGCCTTCGGCCAGGGCCACCGCCTGGGAACTGGTCTCCGCTCCACACTCCCGCACCCATTTCTCCATCTCTGGGGGAAGGACAGCCAGGAACTGCTCCAGGAGCACCAGGTCCAGCATCTCAGCCTTGGTGTGTCTTTCTGGCTGCAGCCACTGACGGCAAAGCCGGTGAAGCTGATTGCAAACATCTCGGGGATCCCTCCTTTTCTGGAATTGTCCTTTTCTGAAGTCACAGTATTGGACCTTTGAACTGCTGACTTCTTCTTCTTGGTTTTTCTGCCCAGGACTTGCCACATTCTTCCCACAGCTCCAAGGCTGAGTAGCTGGATGGCCTTTTCTAGATCCTGCATCTGCTGGGCGTTGTCCCTCCATCTTCGCTCTGGTCTCTAATCCAGCTCCAAAATGGACCCATGCATCTCCCCAGGTCTTCCTAATCACAAGAGGTCTGGCCAAACCTCCTAACGCCATTCAGCCCTCTTCCCTCACAAGATACTTCGGTCTCCAGAGGAACCAGGAATGATTTACGCCTTACAGAACTGAAATGCAAAACATAAGAATGTGCAACAGGGCAGCAAATTTGAATACTGAGCATCCTCCTCCAGAAACAGATAGATAGGTAAGTAGATAGATAGATAGATAGATAGATAGATAGATAGATAGATAGATAGATAGATAGATAGATAGAGATAGACAGACAGACAGACAGACAAATAAATAATCAAACGAAATTCATACTGAGCATTCTCCATAAATAAATAAACAAACAAATAAACGAAAGAATTTCCTATGAACCTATCAAGTTCCACAAAGGAGGGGAAGGGGGGTCCTATTAGATATACTTATTTATGTTTGGGGAAAGTTTGCTAGCACTCTTCTGCCTCTACTTCTATCAAGGCATCAAAATATTGCATAAATACATTTAAAATATCTTTTGGGTTTCTATTTCCAAATTATTTACATCGTTTTGTTTCCGTTGCTGCCTACAACTCTTTGATTCAAATTATGTCTCCAGTCACCAAAAAAAAAAAATCATTCGAGAAGCCACAATTAACAAGCCACCATCCAATGCACGGGCCTTCTTCGTTTGCCTGCCGGCAGAGACACCAAAGAGATGGTTGGGGAAAGGCGGGAAAGGAGGAAACCCAGTTCCAGTCCTTACACGCCTTGCATTCAACTCTTTGCACGCGGAATTGCAGCCTTGCATACAAAGCCAACCGGAGGAACTTTGGCCGGTCGCCTCTCTCGGCCCAGGAAAGGGGAGGCGAGGAAAACCCCTTTTGAAAAAAGGGCCAATTAATTTGCAGGAAATTATCCAGGAACCAAGACATTCTGGGTGTTTTGCAAAGGCAACTCTCCCTCTCCCCGCATGCAGAGCTTTGCTGGAGGAAGCGGAGGGGAAACGGATCCACTCTTTCTGGCGACCCTGATTTCCTCCCTGTAGAAAACCCGGCAGGTGCGGAGCTGCCCTGCGTGTCCCTTTCTTTCCACGGGGTGGCTGGGGATTATGGGACCTCGAGCTCCCCCTCCCCGCCCTTTCCGCCCCTTGGAACGGGGTGAAGCTTTGCAGGCTCCAGGCTCGCCTCCAGCCTCAGGGAAAAGACCCCCCCTCACTCCGAGCCCCGCCTGCCTCTCCCCCCGTTGGAGAAATCCTTACAGCCCCTCCGCCTCCTTTGCTCAGCCGAAGCTCCACAGCGATGGGGGGGAAGAATCGGACGCCGTAGAAAAAGAAGACACGCTCCCAGCCTTTCCCGCAAAATTTTGAGTGCGGGAAAGATTCAGGCGCATGCTCAGTTCCCTCTGGAAGGGGATTGTCCATCCCTTCCAAGCGCTGACGAGGGAGACCCCTAGTGGACTCTATGCGCTATGCCAGGGGATCCAGCAAGGGCGCAGAAGACCAGAGCAGTTTCCAATGAATGGTGATGATGGGCATGAGATTGGAAGGAAAGCGTCTCTCTACAAGTCTTGCCTTTTCGAATAGGTGGCCGTCATCTATCTAGTTCTAGAACTTCCTCTTCTTTTTTTTTTTATTGAAAAGTTTTACAAAAAGTTTACATATTTCCCCCCCCTTCCCTACCTCAACCTCCCCCCTCCCCCCCTCCCCTTCCCAGAACAAATTACAGGGTATAAACTTCAACAATCATAATCAATCCTAATCTAAACAATTATGACATTTCACATCTCTTGTTTCTTCAATTCCCTAATTACCCGCCTAGCTTTATTACTTAAAGACACACTAAATATCTATATAATCATTCATAACCTATCTGCAATTTCTTATTCCGATATTTATTTTGAATATAATCTATCCACCTTCTCCAGTCTCTTAAATATCTTTCATTTGAATGATCCTTCAGATACGCAGAGATTTTTGCCATTTCCGCTAGATTTATAACTTTCATTGTCCACTCTTGGATTGTAGGTAAACCTTGCTTCTTCCAATATTGTGCCACCAACAGTCTTGCTGCAGTTATTAAATTCAAAATCAATTTAGTCTCTATAACTGTACAATCCGTAACTATACCCAAAAGAAACAGCTGTGGTGTAAATTTCAACCTCTTTTTAAGAATATTTTGTAAAATCCACCAGATTTTAATCCAAAACGCTTTAACCTTTTTACATGTCCACCAAATGTGAAAATAAGTAGCATCCTCACAATTACATCTCCAACATTTTGGTTGTACATTCGGATACATACGAGATAACTTTTTTGGATCTAGATGCCATCTATAAAACATTTTATAAAAGTTCTCCCTTAAATTTTGCGCTTTGGTAAATTTCACATTTGTTACCCATATTTTCTCCCACGTTTCCATCATTATTGGCTGTTCAAAATTCTGCGCCCATTAAGAACTTCCTCTTCTTAATGCCTGGGAACTATGTGAACATTGAGGAAATCTTTTGTCGAAGGTTGTTTTCTTTTTTTTATTATTATTATTTTTTTATTGAAAAGTTTTACAAAGAAATTTCTCCCCCCTCCATATTCCCCCCACTCTTTTCCTATCCTCCCCCCCAGACTTCCCAGAGCAAAATACAGGGTATTTCAATTAACAATCATAAGCTAAGTTAAGAATAAACTATTCTTAAACTACCTAATCCCCCCCTGAAACCTTAACTCCACTATGGATAACATGATACTTCTAAAATAAAGTTTAACATTCATTCATAAGCTATTTGATATTTTCTTGTCTGATACTTATTTTGAATATAATCAATCCATTTTCTCCATTCCAATATGTATCTTTCTTGTGTATAGTCCTTCAGATATGCTGAAATTTTTGCCATTTCTGCTAAATTCGCTACTTTCAATGTCCATTCTTCAATAGTAGGTATTGCGCTACCAACAGTCTAGCTGCTGATATTAAATTCAAGATCAATTTAGTCTCTAATACTGTACAATCCGTTGTTCGAAGGTTGTTTTCTTGAAGGTCAGACTCAGAAATTAGCAAAATATTTAGTTGATGCACCTCAGGAAATCTCCTCCTCCCTCCTCCTCCTGCGCTTAAGGTGATTCAGGCAGGCTATGCATGGGAAATCCTCTCTCTTCCCTCATACTCACAATTCTGGGAGTTGAAACTCAGACAGGCTTTAATTTTTCACTGTCTGCTCACTTGGGATGACCAGCCTTCCTGGATTGGTGGCTTGAAATCAGCCTCTCCTCATTCATTCCCTCACCAATAAAATAGAAAACAAAATGGGGTTCTTGCATTTCTTAGCGATGCAGCCTTTTCCTGCCTTTTCTTTGCGGAAGGAATGGCTCGGATGCTGAGAGGATGAAGCTTTGTTTCTTCTAGTTTCTTCTAGTTAACAGCACTAACTTCTAGTTAACAGCACTAACCTCTTGCACCACAGAGATTGGGCACATGGCTTGGCGTCAGCCTCCCTCAGTCAGGAGATTCATAACTCTACTACCAGCTGTTCTTTGGTTTTCGTAGTGTAGCTCCTTTTCTCCCACCAAAAACAAAACCTGGGATGAAAACTTGGTCTGGTCATGTTGCCTGCCCATCCTAGGAAGGCAAAAGTTAAAAAGCATGTGCCAGCCAGGATTTGAACCTGAGTCCCAGGTTCATGATGCATGATGCCCCTACATCACTGGCACGGCTGTTGAGATTCTGCCTCAGGCTAAGAAATATTTATGCCCAAGATTTATTTTCACCTCTGGTAATGGGAGAGAGGAACACCCTGAGTCTTCTGACTAGTGTATCTTATTGCTGTCTAGCCAGCTCCAGCTATGGATGTTCAAGCTGAGGGAGCTTAGGGGGAGGCCTGTTTTGGGTCTCTGTGGCGCAAGGGTTAGCATGTCTGGCTGTTAACCAGAAGGATGGTGGTGTGAGCTCACCCAGGGATGGCCTGCTTGATGATTCCAATATGAAGGAGGTGAGATGCATCAGGCTCTTCCTCTGAGGCAGGGGTGAAATGTAAAAATATTTGCTACCGGTTCTGTGAGTGTGGCTTGATGGACGTGGCTTGGTGGTCATGTGACCGGGTGGGTGTGGCAAACTTGACTTCACTCACTGTTAGAGCCAGGAGCTGCATAATTTGAAGCACATTCTGCCCTTCTGAAACCCCCAACGCTTTGAGTTTCCCTCTGCCACCCAAGCGAACATCGGTGCCTTCTCTTGCAGAAGCAAAATCCAGGCACAGAGATGAAAAAATTGGGGGGGGGGAATGGGGAGGAGAAGATGTAATTAGTAGAATCCAGGCACAGAGATGAAAAACCCCGGGGGGGGGGGAATGGGGAGGAGAAGGTGTAAGAAGAAGTTTCCTTAGATCGCTGACAATCCCAACAGTGAGTTTGGCAGCGATCTAAGGAAACGTCTTCCAGCTTTTCAAGATCGACTTTAAGCCGACAGCAAAAGTAGTAGCGGCGGAGGGGGGGCCAACAGGGGCGTGTGTGTGTATGTGTCCCTCCCTCCACAAGGACTTAGAGGCAGACACTGCCCTCTGAGGAAAAGAGGAGGCGGCGAAGCCCTGGCTGTCACCTGGGAGAGGAAGACCACGGAGGCATACACACACACACACATGCCCCGTTGCCCCCGCTGCCGCTACTTTTGCTGTCGGCTTCTCAGCACTCTTCAAGTCGATCTTGAAGAGTTGGAAGACGTTTCCTTAGATCACTGATGCTCCGAACAATGAGTTTGGCAGCTTGGGAGACAGGCAAGCATGGCAGGGCTGCTGGGAAGGGAGTAAGCTGTTAGCTCCCTTCCCCGCAGCCCTGCCAGGCTTGCCTGCCTTCCACGTGGCCTTCCACTTGCCTGCCTTCGCAAGCTGGCCACGGGAAGGCCGCATGGAAGGCAGGGAAGCATGGCAGGACTGGGGGCCATGATTCGGTTCGGGGGTGCGGCCAGCCAACAATTGCTACCGGTACAGCGAACTAACCCCAATCTCCACTACCGGTCCTCCCGAACTGGTATTTATTTATTGTATTTCTTGGTTCGATTTATATGCCGCCCTTTTCCGGAAACTCAGGGCGGCTTACAATGCGTTAAGCAATAGCCTTCATACTTTTGTATATACCTGCTTAGTAGGGTTTTCGGAGCCCCCTAAGCGGTGTTCTTTTTTATACAAAATCAGCTTATTGCCCCCACAATCCGGGTCCTCATTTTACCTACCTCGGAAGGATGGAAGGCTGAGTCAACCTTGAACCTGGTGAGATTTGAACTTGCAGTAATTGCAGCTGGTGTTACTTAACAGTACTTTAGTCTGCTGCGCCACCAAGGTTCCTGGTAGCATTTCACCCCTGCTCTGAGGGCTCTGATTTTTTCTAACTAACTATTGGGTTACCTGCAGCATGAGTTTTCTCTTTCAGAATGCAAAGCGGATGAAGACACCCAATTGATCTGGGGTGGTGTCCCTTTCAGGCAAGGTTAATACAACTCATAGGAACTTGTGCTGGGAGCTCTCCAGGGTCCTGAAACAGCCACCCTTTTCCCCAAACCAGCTATTCCTTGCTTTCCTCACGGAATAGGAATACGAATAGGATAGTTCAGGGATCGGCAACCTGCAGCTCCGGGGCCGTATATGGCTCTTTGGGCCCTCTGCCACAGCTCCCTGTCACAGCAGTGGCATGATCGGACCCTTAGTGGAGGAGCAAAGTGCCCCTGCACTTCCCTTTGCGCAGCAACAGCATTTCCCCTGGTACATTTGCTGTTCCCATCATCAAAGGCTGCTGGGAGAGAACAGCGGGGGCAGATCTTGTGGGGTGGGGGCCATCCCCCAAGCCTGGCCTTCTTCCTCCCTTGTCGGTGGGGCCAAGAGAAAGAAGGGGGCAGCGTGGGGAAGGGCTCCCCTGCCCGCGCCACTTTCTGTTTCCTGTGTCTTCCCCGATCTCAGCTCTTTCAGAAAGAGCTATATTTCTGTTTGCTTACGTTTCCCTGGGAGAAGGGGAAACCCACTCTCTCTCCCCTCCACTTTCTCTCTCTCTCTCTCTCTCTCTCTCTCTCTCTGTGTGTGTGTGTGTGTGTGTGACTCTCTCTCTCTCCCTACCTCTGTCTCTTCTCACACTCGGAAAGCCCTGCAGCCCTGCGTGTTCTCTTTGGGGCTTTTCGCCAGCTGTTTTTTTTTTCCCCCTTCCTTTTGGAAAGCCGGACTGGCGGAGCAATGAGTGCATCTTGTGGTGGAGGCTTCCCTCAGCTGAATGTCCACACCTCACATCCCATGGAAAGAATTTCTGTTACCTTGTGTGATGATGTCCTGACGTTAATCTTTCTGGAAGCTCTCCCTTATTAGCAGCTCTTGAGTGGATTTGGATGCTTTGAAAAGTCTCTTGACAATCCCAGCTGAGTTGCCTGATCAGCAGAGGCTTTTCAAAGCATTAGAAAAAATGCTTTGAAAAGTTTAAAAAAAAAAAGTTGGCCACGCCCACCCAGCCACATTACCCCCACCAAGCCACGCCCATGAACCCATAGTAACAATTTTTACATTTCACCCCTGCTTTCATCTCTTCAACAAATGGGTTATTCCAGCACCGACCTGTGGTCGGTGGAACAAGGCGATCAGGGGCAGCCCTACACCTGCCTCGCACAGATGGCAAGAGAACTGCAGTGCCTGCCAGGGTTCAAAGAGCATCGGGCTCAGTGTCAATGTAAGCCCAGCATCTGCAGCACCAAATAGGCGTGCAGGCTGGCGCTCATCACTCCAAAGGTGGCGGCGGATGAGGCGGCTTAGGCAGCATGGCTCCCGCTCTCAAATGAGCCATGGCAGCTTCGCGGCACTCAGCTGGTTTTCCATCTGGGACGATCCAACCCAGCTAGGCAGGAGCAGTTCTGCAGCACTGCCGAGAGCAGTGCTGTTAGGATGGCGAAGAGGCCAGCAGCAGCATGGGCAGCTGCTTGGTCATTTTAAGACTTGTGGATTTCAACTCCCAGAACTCCCCACAGCCCCTCCCCCCATCAGCTCCTTTCGCTTTTTGGGTTGAGGTAGCTTGCGCCCACCGGGTCCATTGAGGTTGGAAGTTTGATCACTGTCCGGGGCAGGATTGCCAGGCTAGAGGCTTTGCCTTTCTCCAATCAGCAGAAAAATCCCCCTGCCCCATTTCCCTGCCGATCATCCTTGGGGAGCCTTGCACAGACGCACATCCCAAAAATGCTCCCTCTGAAGCCTTCAGCCTTGCAATCCTGCGCAGGGAAGGGGGAGGTTTGCTCCGAAGCTGCAGCAGAGCATTGCAGTGGGAGGCCTCGAAGGGATCTGAGCCAAGTTGCCCCATACCAGGGAGGAGCAGCCCAGCAGGACTGCCAGGAAGGCAAAGACCCCCTGCGAGGCCAGCAGTAGCAGGTACAGCAGGCCTAGCAGACGGGCAGAGGGAGGGGGGCTGATTTCTGTGCACCACACGGCTTTCTGCCTCGCAGCAGCAGCCTGAGCAAGACCTGAACTCCAGGCCTGGCAGAGCACAAACCATGGTTGCCACCTGCTCCAGAACAAGATGAGCTGCGGAAACGAGGGTCCCTCAGCTGTGAGGTTGCCTGGCGCCACGGGCAGGGCCGGGGCAGTCAAGAGTGTGCCAGAAACACCTCTAGGCGCCGAGAAACAGAATGAGGCAGCTCCCACCCTTTGCTGTCTCAGCTGATCTGCAGGCTGCGATTAAGGGGCCAAGCCTCTATGAGGTGACTGGGGAAGGGAAGGGCTGCCTCGTGTGCTGGCCATGCTCACCCCCTTCACTAGGGCTTATTTTTGGGGTAGGGCTTCTATTAGACCCATACACCAAAAAAAATCAGTCTAGGCTTATTTTCGGGCTAGGTCGTATTTTTGGGGAAACACGGTATTTAGAAAAATTGATGCCACCAACAAAGAACTTGAATGCAAATGTACATTTAATAACTTCAATATCTTCCAGCTTGAGTAGTGCTGTCTATCTTCTTAGAGACAGTTTATATCGATGAAGGAAGCCATCCAGCCAACGATTTGATGCTTTGAATTCTTCTGGGAGTATTTCTAACTGTGGTGTCATTGCAAGGGCAAAGGTTTGAATATCAGTCCTGTGCACAACTAAACCCTTTGCTCTCCTGTCAGCAATCCATTCGCAGATGGTATCTTCCAGCTCAGGAAATAATGGCTGCCGGCCTGATCCACACCTGCGCTTCTTAGCATTTCCTTCATCTACCTGTTGACTGAGGTTATAGTACTCTGCTCGCCATTTTCGGACCATTCGGAGATCCAACTTCTTCTCTTTGCAGAAAGCCGTAAGATTCTTGCCCAGAGAATCCTCCACGATTCCTTTCTTGAACTCGACGGAATAGCTCTTTCTTTTTGCACTCATCTTGCCTAGGGATAAAAATATTATTCCATTTAAGTCTACCATTAAATTAGAGGTGTCAAACTCGATTTCATTGAGGGACCGCATCAGCATTGTAGTTTCCCTGGGGACGGGGCGAGTGGGTGTGACCAGCTTGAAGTCACTCGCGTTCTGGTCTTGTGCACAGGAGCTGGAGGACAGGGTTGGACTGAGGGGGCCAAGCCCGTAAGGGTCGGGAAGTGGCAGTAACCCCACCTGCCATGGCTTGCAGGTGGAGGCACCAGCACCAGCATCAGACAGAGGCAGAGGTGAGGCATGTGATCTGGCCCGCCGAACAAGCCACATGGCTACCTGCCCCATTGTGACCGTAAGCAAAGACTGATGGAGGAATGGAATGGGCACGTTGGCCACACAGTGCCTCTCCCCCACACTTCTGCCTCAATCTGCTGGTTGGAGGGCCAGCCCCACAGTCACAGTACGGTTGGACTCACCTGAGCTGCATGGGCAGAGCAGCTCCTGAGTGTGCTGGCCAATGGGGCAGCGGGCTGCACCCAGACACCCCTGTCCCCCCCGCCACCTCCTGTGTGCACAAGGGATGACTCACGGGGCTTGGCAATGGACAATGGGGACCAGTCCCTCACCATCTCCAGAGAACCCCGATGGGCCAGTCATGTGGCCATCATGGGCCAGATCACGTGCCTCCCGCGCCATGCCTCTGCCTCCACCTGCTGCTTTGAGGGCCGGGCCGGCAGTTGCAGAGCTAGGATTCATCTGTGGTGCATGGGCTGTGCAGCACCATAGTGCACCGGCCAAGTGATTGGCGGGTTGCAGCTGCTACAGGACACTGTCCGGCCACACACACTTGTCGCATTCTTTGTGCGCCCGAGGGGCACCTGGCCAGGTTGGCAGTGGTCAGTGCCTCGCCATCTCCGGGGCAGCTCCACTAACCAGAATTGGGCCCATCGTGGGCCAGTTTTGGCCTGTGGACCTTGTGTTTGACCTGTCTGGTCTGGCTGATGATCTTACCTGGAGCCAGTCTCTCTTAGCCTAGCCCATGTCACAAGATTTTGTTGTAAGGAAAATAGGAAGAGGAAGGAATATTTGGTATGTCTGCTGCCTTCACTTTACAAAAAATAATAAATGGAGGTTATAAACAAAAAGTGATATAATATCTAAGCCCCCTCCATGTCTTCTCTATGATAGGGATTCTTACCCAGAGAAGACAAATTCCTGATAGTCTCCAGCATGACTTCCCCATGGAGAGCTTTTTGGTCAGCATCCAGTTGAGACCACTCCTCCTCCGAGAAATACACGGCCACTTCCTCAAAAGACACATCATCCTGAACAAGGAGACAAGTTTTCCTATTAACAGACAATCCCAGGAATAATTTGGCCGTTTTCTTTCACCAATTCAAAGAGAGAGATCCAGTGAACAAAATGGGCATCTTCTGCAGAATTCAAAATGAGATCTCCCAGTTTCTGGCTGAAACATATTTGATCAAGCTAGAAGGATTTGGAATGTGAAGCCAACTAAAATAGTTTTCTTGGTCAATTAATAATTGGGTCTTAACCCAGTACTTATCAATGGCCCCAATTCTTCCTAGGGTGGGGAGAAGGACATATAGGAAACCCATCTGACATCTTTGCCAATGGCTTAGTTTATTCACTAAGGGGCCAACCCTTATCCCCACTCCACACCTTCATGCAAATGTTGGGAGAGCTTGCAATGGTATGTGAGAGTGACCCTGGGAGACCGAAAGAAGATCCCTGGTCAAGATCTCGTCATCTGGTCAATCCCTGGTCAACATGTGCTCAACTACATCTGAGCCTGCAGCATGAGAGTGAAGCAAGTTTATTAGAAGGAACAGGTAGCTTAATGACCTGCTCTAAAATTTGTCCTGCTTTGAAACAGCCTTATTATACATTAAACTCGAGAACAAAATGAAACCCATTGAAGCTTCATGGACCTTTCCAATATTTCTTCTCCTACCTGTGGCAGGGTTTCAGCCACTCTTTCAGCTCCAAAACAAAGAGGTGATTCTAAAAATATTGAGGACAGCTTTTTATTATCTGTGAGACAAAAACAAAATGGTGGAAGCAGATTGTTATCAAGAAACAGCCAAAAGCAGATTCCACTCAAGATGAGCAAAAGAATTGGTGGGATCCCCAAACCTCACATCACATGGACAGAGCCTCTCTCACCTGGCATCACATCTTGACTTTGATCTTTCTGGAAGCTCTCCCTTAACTGCATGTCTTGAGAGGGTTTGGGCGAATCTATCCTCTCCTTGGGATACTCAGTCACAGCTTCCAAAGATTTCTAGAAATGATATGGCACGATAAAGAAGGAATGAAGAGATAGAAATGAATTACCATACTGCACTCTAGCAGACCCCAAAGTCCATCACTGAATTTGGAAAGTGAGAATAGAGGTATTGCCCCCAAATACATCCTTTGGAAGAATGGAACAATAGGTCTTCATAATCCCAGAAAATTCTACCTGAGAGATATTGACAAATTAAACTAGAACTGCCACAATTACATTCTCACACCTGCAACTCTTCTTGCATCTCCTCAGACTCCTGGGTCAGCAAAAAGCCTTCAGCCAGGGACACCGCCTGGGAACTGGTCTCTGCTCCACACTCCCGCACCCATTTCTCCATCTCTGGGGGAAGGACAGCCAGGAACTGCTCCAGGAGCACTAGGTCCAACATCTGAGCCCTTGTGTGTCTTTCTGGTTGCAGCCATTGATGGCAAAGCTGGTGAAGCTGACTGCAAACCTCTCGGGGACTCTTCCCCTCCTGGAATTGCACTTTTCTGAAGGGAAAGAATTGGACCTCTTCTTGGCTCTTCTGCACAGGACTTGATCCATTCTTCCCACAACTCCAAGGCTGAGCAGCTGGACGGCCTTTTCCAGTTCCTGCATCTGCTGCGCGTTGTTCCTTCATCTTCTTTCTGGTGTCTAATCCAGCTCCAAAATGGATCCATGCATCTCCCCAGGTCTGACTAAACACAAGAGGTCTGGCTAAATTTCCTAAGGCCATTCAGCCCTCTTCCTTCGCAAGATGCTTCGGGTCTCCAGAGGAACCAGGAAAGATTTCCAGCTCACAGATTTGAAATGGAAAACATAGAGTTCAAACAAACATCCTTAAACAAACAAACAAACAAACAAATCAATAAACTAAGAAATTCTTATGAACCTACCCATGTCTGTGAAAGCAGGGAAATCTTAATAGACAGCCTGACTTATCTGTTTTGGGGGAATATTTGGTAGCACTCTTCTGGCTCAACTTCTATCAAGGAATCGATATATAGGATAAATACATTTAAAATATGTTTTGGGTTTCTTTAATCCTAACAATTTCTTCAAATCATTTCTACTGCTGCCTATAAAGAACTACCCTTTGCGCAATCCAAATTCTAAACCTCTCCAGTCACAAAAATTCAAGTCGGAGCCTATCTAAATCAATTTAATAAGGAGATCAAACAGCATTTGAATTTCTAGTTAAAAAAACGAGGCAACAGAACCCCATTAACCTCCTGGGCCAAACCCCTGGATGAAATCCAGAAGCCAGAATTAATAAAATCCGTCCAATGCACCGCCATTTTTGCAACAGGTTCCTTATTTGCCATCCAGTAGAGCCACCAAGGAGATAGTGGAGAAAAGCGGGAAAGGAGGAAACCGAGTTCCAGCCCTTGCATACCTTGCATGCAACTCCTTGCACACGGAGTTCCAGCCTTGCATGCAAAGCCAGCAGAAGGGACTCCGATCGCTCACTTCTCTCGGCCTAGGAAGGGGGAGGCGAGGGAAACCCCTTCTGAAAACGGGGCCAAGAAATTTGCAAGAAATTGTCCAGGAGTCAAGACTGATTTGGAAGCACAACTCTTGTGTTTTGCAAAGCCAACCTTCTCCCTCTTCTTCCCTGCAGAGGTTTTCCCATCGAAATGGAGGGCAAATGGCTCTCCCCTTTCTGGCAATCCTCGTTTCTTTCCCCCCACCCACCCACCTCCCTCGGGGGGACAATGCGGCGAGTCCTTCGCTTGGCTTCCCGCCCTACCTGGCTCGTGCATGCACAGGGACCGCAGGAAAACTTGGGACCCCGGGCTCCCCTCTTCTCACAACTCCGAACCTGATGAACTTTTCCTCCTCTTCAGGCACGCTTCCGCCGCCAAAGAAAAGCCCGCCACTCGTTAAACTCTGAGCCACGTGTGGATCTCTGCATCCGATAAAAGATTTCCCTGCAGCCTCTGGAAACGCTCAGCCTAAGGCTCACAGAGCAGAGTCCGGCGCGGTATGGAAAGGGTTAAAGCCCTCCCAGTTTTTTGCCCCTGGGCAGCACGTGTCTCCCTCGAGCTCTGAGAAAGAGCGCATGCTCAGTTCCCTCTGTCACTGGAGGTGGGGGGGGAGCGCTTCCCGGTACTTCCAACGGCTGCTGGGGAGCGTCCCCCCTCCCCCCCCCGTGGATCCTGCGAGCAATCCTGAGGAACCTGGGAGGGCCAGTCTGGGATAATGGGCATTGGAGTAGAAGGAAAGATTCCCTCGAAGATTGCCTATCTAGAAAACAAGTGGCAACTCCAGTTTGTAGATTTTCCTCTTTTTAATGTTTAAGAACCACCTGGGATCTTTGAGAAAAAAAATTCTGTGGTGGCTCAAAAGTCGCTTTGCTCAAGAGCAGCTTCTGAAGAAAATTGAAGAGGCTTCAAAAATGAGTCAAAATCCTGTCAGATCTTCTCTTTGAAACACAACTTTGGTCTTGTGGTTGTTGGCAAACCCAGCCCTGAAGCGATGTGACATATGAGGGAATGACAAAGATACAGGGAGGAAATGGACAGATTAGGAAAATTAAGGTTTGTATTTATTTTCCTTCAATGACTTCTTTTATTACAGCTGCTTTTGTCAAATCCCTACCTCTGGCTAGCCGAGGAAGGTTGGAAACACCAAGAGCTAAGTGGCAACAATAAAAATAATCCTGAGGAAATGATCCTGATGGAAAGGAGACATCAAAAGAAAACAAGTTCCAAAATAGAGAGAAAGCTCAAACCTGTGGACCTTTTAGAAATTTTACCTCAAAAGAAGGCACCAATGATGGGGAAATGAACAGTGGGAGAACGAAGTGACACATGTGACTGGAGAAAAAATAGAATTACACAATAAAGGAAGGCAAATACTGAAAACTAAATGCAAAGCTTTCATACCATGAAAAAGAAAAAAAGACAAAAATAGTTTTATTTAGGTGCCGAGGAGGAAAAATGCTGCAGGAAATATGAATACTAAGCTTAAGATCTTTGGTATAAAAGAAAGTACTTTTTAATAGCCAAAAGAAATGGAGACTTTGCTGGTTTGAGATTAGTCTGCCTTTGGAGGTGACACTGTAAGAGAGACTTCGGAAGGATGGAAGGATGATTCAACCTTGAGTTGGGATGAATCAAACTGCTGGCAGTCAGCAGAATTAATCTGCAATGCTGCATTCTAATCACTGCACCACCACACATCTGTATAAACTTATATGCAGCCAGAAGACAACTGTTAGGGAACGCTGTGAGTCAATTTGTGGGAAAGCCTATTAAACAGCAACTCTGCAGAGATACTTCCAACTGAAGTATGATTTATGACTTTGAGGAGTGAGATGCAACAATTTGGAAAGATCCGTTATAATTTCAAGGAAAAGTTTTATTATCAAGAATCAATTCAGGATACTTGATTCTGGCCGCATCAGAGATTATAATTGCAGTGGCCTTACAGCACTTTAGAAGCCATTTGTGGACTTCCTGAGTTAAATACAATAGACGGTTAATAGAAGACTGAACTTTAGCTTGTTTTGATATTGCCTGTTTTATTTATTTTATTCATTTTATTAGTTTGATTTATATGCTGCCCTTCTCCGGAGACTCAGGGCGGCTTACAATGCATTAAGCAATAGCCTTCATACTTTTGTATATACCTGCTTAGTAGGGCTTTCACACACACACCAAGCGGTGTTCTTTTTTATACAAAATGAACTTATTGCCCCCACAATCCGGGTCCTCATTTTACCTACCTCGAAAGGATGGAAGGCTGAGTCAACCTTGAGCCTGGTGAGATTTGAACTTGTAGTAATTGCAGGCAGCTGGCAACTAAGTGCTACTTTAACAGCACTTAGTCCACTGCGCCACCAGGCTCTGTTAACTTAATTATTTTAAAGGAGATACACGGTAGGTCAATTTGGTGGATTATAGATTTCATATTTGTAATATTTTAATGCCACATAGTAATTTAGCAAATAATGATGTAAAGTGTGGACCTGATTTGCAATGTGTGGGGAACTATTATTGTTGAAATATATTTATCACTACTCAACTAGGGGACAATTTATGCATACATGTGTTATTTTACCTTTATGCATTTTGCTGGTTTTGCATTGTTGTTTTTGTCCTCTTTCTTTTCCTTTCCTTTTTGGGATTTTGTAATGTATTTACTTAAAGAATAAAGTTTTAAAAAATTATGAAAAAAATGGGTATGGTTGAAAAAAAACCCATGACAAATTAGTGGCAGTGGTGATACTGGCTCAGACTCAAGGCTCATTAAGTACTGTATGTGAAAACAAATCTTGGCTGCTGAAGGAAGGAAATTTGGCCCTCACAGATTGAAGGCTTTGCAAGCAACAGCCAACATTCTGACTGTAGAAATCGGACCTCACTGGAGCCTTCCTCAAGGAAGCAGAGATGGAAAAGGTAGAACAGACAGAATTGTTATTCCAGAGGAAAACGGAATTTGGAATCTGCATCAGAGACTTAATATCTGCATTTACAAGACTTCTCACTATTGTGGCTCCTTTTCAGAGCCCTTCCTCTGAAGCTTGTTCCATAAATATTTATGACTTTATGGTGAGGAATAAGGGACACAAGGACACATTCAAAAACACATTCATTCCTAATCACAGTTTCACAGTAGACATAAGTGTGAGTTCATTTTCTTTTTATGGCCATCATATTGTACCAATTTTGTGGATTGCAGCACATGCCAATGAGGCAATTGTCTCCCACCTACAGTATCAGGCCTTTCTTTGTGATTCTTTTGATGGACTATAAGGGAGTTCTAATAACAGAAGGACTTTACACACTCCATGCATTGATACGGCTTCTCGTGTGGATCCTTTTATGCACTTAGAAACCAAGTGACTCTGAGTACTACTGTGTTTCCCTGAAAATAAGTCCAGGTCTTATATTAATTGTTGCTCCAAAAGATGCATTAGAGCTTATTTTCAGGTGATGTCTTATTTTTTTCATGTACAATAGACATGCTAAACACAAGGCCCACAGGCCAGTTGGACCCATATCTAGCCTGCAGGGCTGCCCTGGAGATGGTGAGGGATTGGACCCAGCCCAGCTTGGCCGGGTGCCCCCCAGCACGCACCCAGGAGGCAGCGAGCATGCAGGGACGGACAGTGTATGGTACCTGCAGCCCGCTGGCCCCTTGGCCAACCATCAGGCCAGCCCTCCAAGAAGCAGATGGAAGTAGAGGCACAGGGGAAAGGCATGCAATCTGGCCTGCCATACACGCCGTGGCCAGCCGGCCACTCCATCCCACCATCATGTCTTGCCTGTGGCTGCAACAAAACGCACAGCATGTCCAGCAGGCCGGATCTTGTGCCTTCCCCATGCCTCTGCCTCTGCCTCCGCCTGATGCTGGTACCACCGCTGTGAGAGGAGGAAGGTGGCAGGGTGGATCCCATGCTGTGGCCTCTGTGTGCTCAGCCCCGCTGTCCAGCCTTGCCCTCCAGCTCCACTACACACACGGAACAAGACTCTGACCCGCTGCCCCATCCATGATGGCCCCAGCAAATGGGAAGTGTGGAGGGCCCCCATCCCCAAGAGGCAGCTGGGACTCCCCTCCTCGCTCCGACTGCCCCCCCCCACAGGCGATCTCGATGTAAGGAACATCAAGCTGGCCACACACCCCCGCAGGGCAACCACAATGCTAATGGAGCCCCCATTGAAAGGGAGTTTGACATCCATGTTGTACAACAATCTACATTTATTCAAATAGTCATATCATCTTTTGGAACATCATAACTCGCCAAACCCTAAATTCTGGCCTGATTTTTTTGTGACTCCATTTCCTATAGAACCATTGGCCCCAATCTCTCATGTCCATCAATAAAGCTTTCCCTAAATGAGCACTTCTTGTCCACGTAGCTGCTCATAGTGCATTGGCAACACAGCTGTCAGTGATTTTATCCCATGAATTCTTCACCCAAGTCACAATCTCTTGCATGCTAGGCTTCACAAAGCTTCCACACTGATTTCTCTCCATTCTATTTTCTGTGTAGTCATTTATTTCCATGTGCAAATGATCCTTGAATGTTTATTGCAAAATCAAGAGTCTGGAGATAGGCAGTCATTCCTGCAGGAATCATTATTTGATCTGTTCTTCTCACTGCAAGGAAATTCTTCATATCTTTAGGTTCAGCTAGTGAGTGCTAGCTGAACCCCAGACTTGCAGAGCTCTTTGGCCACCTCGCAAAACAAGTGGCAGCATAAATTGGCCCGCCTCCTTATGACTCTGTGCACCAGGCTTTTTCGATTTTAAGAACATAAACACCTGAAATGTTCAATCTTATCTTTTTTGCCCTTAGTGATGATTAGAGGTGGGGTTCTTTCCATCCAGACGAATTGCCAAAATAACCAGTAGAGGGAATGTAGCTTGATGAGGCACCCCTCTGATCAATTGTCATTTGAGATCCTTGGTCCATAAACACTGCAGTTTCATTCATAGCAATCATGTTGGAGAGTTGATACTTAGAAAAGTCGATGCCATCAACAAAGGACTTGAATGCAAGTACACGTTTAATAAGTTCAGTATCTTCCAGCTTGAATAGTGCTGTCTATCTTTTTAGAGATCGTTTATATCGATGAAGGAAGCCACCCAGCCAACGATTTGATGCTTTGAATTCTTCTGGGGATATTCCTAACTGTAGTGCCTTTGCAAGAGCAAAAGTTTGAATATCAGCCCTGTGCACAACTAAACCTTTTGCTCTCCTGTCAGCAATCCATTCGCAGATGATGTCTTCCAGCTCAGGAAATAATGGTTGCCGACCTGATCCACACTTGCGCTTCTTAGCATTTCCTTCATCCACCTGTTGACTGAGGTTATCATACACTGCTCGCCATTTTCGGACCATTCGGAGATCCAATTTCTTCTCTTTGCAGAAAGCCACAAGATTCTTGCCCAGAGAGTCCTCCACGATTCCTTTCTTGAACTCAACAGAATAGCTCTTTCTTTTTGCACTCATCTTACCTAGGGGTCAAAATATTATTCCATTTAAGTCTACCATTAAATTAGAGGTGTCAAACTCGATTTCATTGAGGGGCCGCATCAGCATTGTGGTTACCCTGGGGAGGGGCAAGTGGGTGTGGCCAGCTCAAAGTCACTCATGCACTCATGTCAGGGTCGCCTGTGGGAGCCCAGGTGGGGCAGAGCGGGGAGGGGAGTTCCAGCTCCCCTTTGGGAATGGGAGCTCCCTGCGCTTTCTGTTTGCCGGAGCAGTCATGGGTGGTGCAGCAGGCTGGAGGCTGGTCCTATGTGTGCGCAAGAGCTGGAGGATAAGGTTGGATTGTGAGGGCCAGGCCTGCAAGGGTTGTGGTGTGGCAGTACTCCAGCACACCACCTGCCTCGCCTTGCAGGTAGCGGCCCCACTATCAGGCGGTGGCAGAGGCACAGGATCCAGCCCACCGAACATGCCACATGGCTACCTGTCCCATTATGGCCGTGGGTAAGCAAACATAGAGGCTGGGATGGAGTGGGCGGGCAGCCTTGCAGTGCATCGGGTGGGCCGGATTGGGTGCCACTCCCCTGCACTTCTGCCTTCTCCTACTGCTTAGAGGGCCAATGCTGCATGGGCTGAACAGCCACAGAGTGCGCTGGCCAATGGGGCAGTGGGCTGCGGCCATCCTGTGCACACGACGGGGACGCCCCACGGGGCTAGGCCATGGGCAGCAGGGGCCAGTCCCTTGCCATCTCCAGAGTAGCCCCATGGGGCAGACATGGGGCCATCATGGGCCAGATCATGTGCCTCCCCTGCTGTGCCTCCTCCAACCCGGCAGTTACAGAGCTCGGGTTCACCTGCACTGCATCAGCTGTGCAACCCCAGAGTACGCGGGCCAAAGGATTGGTGGGCTGCAGCTGCTGCCAGACACCATCGTCCCCGCGGGCCTTGTGTTTGACATGTCTGGTCTGGCTGATGATCTTACCTAGGGCTTATTTTTGGACCAATCTCTCTCAGCCCAGCCAATGTCACAGGGTTTTGTTATAGGGAAAATAGGAAGAGGAAGGAATATTTGGTATGTCTGCTGCCTTCACTTATTTACAAAAAATAATAAATGGAGGTTATAAATAAAAAGCGATATAATATCTAAGCCCCCTCCCCCATGTCTTCTCTATGATAGGGATTCTTACCCAGAGAAGACAAATTCCTGATAGTTTCCAGCATGACTTCTCCATGCAGCGCTTTTTGGTCAGCATCCAGTTGAGACCACTCCTCCTCGGAGAAATATACGGCCACTTCCTCAAAAGACACAACATCCTGAACAAGGAGACAAGTTTTCCTATTAACAGACAATCCCAGGAATAATTTGGCCATTTTCTTTCACCAATTCAAAGAGAGAGATCCAGTGAACAAAATGGGCATCTTCTGCAGAATTCAAAATGAGATCTCCCAGTTTCTGGCTGAAACATATTTGATCAAGCTAGAAGGATTTGGAATGTGAAGCCAAGTAAAATAGTTTTCTTGGTCAATTAATAGTTGGGTCTTAACCCATTACTTATCAATGGCCCCAATTCTTCCTAGGGTGGGGAGAAGGACATATAGGAAACCCACCTGACATCTTTGGCAATGGCTTAGTTTATTCACTAAGGGGCCAACCCTTATCCCCACTCCACACCTTCATGCAAATGTTGAGAGAGCTTGTAATGGTATGTGAGAGTGACCTTGGAAGACCGAAAGATCGTCCCTGGTCAAGATCTCGTCAACTAGTCAATCCCTGGTCAACATGTGCTCAACTAAATCTGAGCCTGCAGCAGGAGAGTGAAGTAAGTTTATCAGAAGGAACAGGTTGCTTAATTTCAGTGTGAATTTACAATGACCTGCTCTAAAATTTGTCCTGCTTAGAAACAGCATTATTATACATTAAACACCAGAACAAAATGAAACCCATTGAAGCTTCATGGACCTTTCTAATATTTCTTATCCTACCTGTGGCAGGGTTTCAGCCACTCTTTCAGCTCCAACACAAAGAGGTGATTCTAAAAATATTGAGGACAGCTTTCTATTATCTGTGAGACAAAAAAAAATGGTGGAAGCTGATTGTTATCAAGAAACAACCAGAAACAGATTCCACTCAAGATGAGCAAAAGAATTGGTGGGATCCCCAAACCTCACATCACATGGAAAGAGCCTCTCTTACCTGGCATCACATCTTGACTTTGATCTTTCTGGAAGCTCTCCCTTAACTGCATGTCTTGAGAGGGTTTGGGTGAATCTATCCTCTCCTTGGGATACTCAGTCACAGCTTCCAAAGGTTTCTAGAAATGATGTGGCACGATAAAGAAGGAATGAAGAGATGGAAATGAATTACCATACTCCACTCTCAATCTAGCAGACCCCAATGTCCATCACTGAATTTGGAAAGTGAGAATAGAGGTATTGCCCCAAATACATTATTTGGAAAAATGGAACAATAGGTCTTCATAATCCCAGAAAATTCTACCTGAGACATTGACAAATTAAACTAGAACTGCCACAATTACATTCTCACACCTGCAACTCTTCTTGCATCTTCTCAGACTCCTGGGTCAGCAAGAAGCCTTCAGCCAGGGACACCGCCTGAGAACTGGTTTGTGCTCCATACTCCCGCACCCATTTCTCCATCTCTGGGGGAAGGACAGCCAGGAACTGCTCCAGGAGCACCAGGTCCAGAATCTGAGCCTTGGTGTGTCTTTCTGGCTGCAGCCATTGATGGCAAAGCTGGTGAAGCTGACTGCAAACATCTCGGGGACTCTTCCCCTCCTGGAATTGCACTTTTCTGAAGTGAAAGAATTGGACCTCTTCTTGGCTCTTCTGCACAGGACTTGATCCATTCTTCCCACAACTCCAAGGCTGAGAATCTGGACCGTCTTTTCCAGCTCCTGCATCTGTTGGGCGTTGTCCCTCCATCTTTTCCCTGGTCTCTAATCCAGCACCAAAATGGATCCATGCATTTCCGCAGGTCTGACTAAACACAAAAGGTCTATCCAAATCTCCTAAGGCCATTATGCTCTCTTCCTTCACAGGATACTTCAGTCTCCAAAGGAACCAGGAATGATTTCCAGCTTATGTATCTGAAATGGAAAAAATATGTGTTCAATAGGACAACAAATCTGAATATTGAGCATCCTCCTCCCCCCAAAAATCAAAATAAGAAATTCTGTTGTGCCCAGTAATGACTGGAAGAAAGGGGTGGGGGGATATCTTATTAGAAAGACTGACTACTGCAGTAAATTCTGGAATGCCCTTCTAGATCAGCTTCTATTGAGGACTCCAAATATTGGATAAATACATTTAGAAATATTTTGGATTTCTATTGCCTGCAATCTCTGCACAATCCAAATCGTATATGTCTGAGGTCACAAACAGCAATTGAGATGACTAAATTGAAGAATTAAATCAATCAACATTTGAATTTCTAGTAAAACTTTAGCCAGCAAAATCCCATCAACCTCTGGCCCAAACCCTTAGGGAAACTCCAGCTGCCAGAATTAATAAACCATCATCCAACGCATAAAGAACTAACACCTGAATAAATAAACCATCTATTCTTTAACATTATCTTTTGAATCAGGAACCTCCTAGAAACCTATTTCCCAGGTTTAGCCTAAACCAGTTTTTTTCAAACTTGGCCAACTGAAGAAGTTTGGATTCAACTCCCAAACCTTACAGTGGGCAAGCTTGACTAAAACACCAGTCCACTCAAACACATTGTGTGAATGATGAACTTCATCCCCAGGCGCACCTCCGTCCTGCAACATCCAGCCCTGCATGCAAAGCCGTCCGGAGGGACACCGATCGCTCACTTCTCTCGGCCTAGGAAGGGGGAGGCGAGGGAAACCCCTTCTGAAAACGGGGCCAAGAAATTTGCAAGAAATTGTCCAGGAGTCAAGACTGATTTGGAAGCACAACTCTTGTGTTTTGCAAAGCCAACCTTCTCCCTCTTCTTCCCTGCAGAGGTTTTCCCATCGAAATGGAGGGCAAATGGCTCTCTCCTTTCTGGCAATCCTCGTTTCTTTCCCCCCCACCCACCTCCCTCGGGGGGGACAACGCGGCGAGTCCTTCGCTTTGCTTCCCGCCCTACCTGGCTCGTGCATGCACAGGGACCGCAGGAAAACTTGGGACCCCGGGCTCCCCTCTTCTCACAACTCCGGACCTGGTGAACTTTTCCTCCTCTTCAGGCACGCTTCCGCCGCCAAAGAAAAGCCCGCCACTCGTTGAACTCTGAGCCACGTGTGGATCTCTGCATCCGATAAAAGATTTCCCTGCAGCCTCTGGAAACGCTCAGCCTAAGGCTCACAGAGCAGAGTCCGGCGCGGTATGGAAAGGGTTAAAGCCCTCCCAGTCTTTTGCCCCTGGGCAGCACGTGTCTCCCTCGAGCTCTGAGAAAGAGCGCATGCTCAGTTCCCTCTGTCACTGGAGGTGGGGGGGAGGCTGCTCGGTACTTCCAACGGCTGCTGGGGAGCGTCCCCCCTCCCCCCACCCTGTGGATCCTGCGAGCAATCCTGAGGAACCTGGGAGGGCGAGTCTGGGATAATGGGCATTGGAGTAGAAGGAAAAATTCCCTCTAAGATTGCCTATCTAGAAAACAAGTGGCATCTCCAGTTTGTAGATTTTCCTCTTTTTAATGTCTAAGAACCACCTGGGATCTTTGAGGAAAAAAAATTCTGTGGTGGCTCAAAAGTCGCTTTGCTCAAGAGCAGCTTCTGAAGAAATTTGAAGAGGCTTCAAAAATGAGTCAGAAATCTATGGCTGTGCGGTCCAAGACAAGAAAGAGGAGTTTCTCTTTGAAAGTCCAAAAAAAAAAAAAAAGCAAGCCAAAAAGTGGTTTGTTGGCACACTCAGGCCTGAAGTGATGTGACATATGGGGGATGAAAGAGATACAGGGAAAAAATAAGACAGGTTAGGAAAGGTAAAGTTTTTATTATTAAGTTTTAATAAAGTATTTATTTTCCTTTAGTGACTTCTTTTATTACAGCTGCCTTTGTCAAATCCATACCTCTGGCCGGCTGAGGGTTGGAAACACCAAGAGGTTAACTGTCAATAATAAAAACAATCCCAGGGAAACGATCCTTCTAGAACAGTGTTTCTCAACCTTGGTAGCTTGAAAATGGGTGGACTTCAACTCCCAGAATACCCCAGCCAGCGCTGGGGGATTCTGGGAGTTGAAGTCCACCCATCTTCAAGCTACCAAGGTTGAGAAACACTGTTCTAGAAGAACTGTGATAACAGGGTTACTAACTTAATAACTGCAATGATTCACTTAACAAAGGTGGCAAGAAAAGTCGTAAAATGAGGCAAAACCTATTTAACAAATTTCTCACTTAGCAACATAAATTTTGGCCTCAATTGTGGTCGTTACGTTGAGGACTATCTGTATACAGTTCACTTCAAGAAACGGTCAAGATGCCAACAATCCTGGATGGAAAGGTATATGGTGCTTTGAAGGTAGGGGGACAAGACCCTATGGCTGTCAGGACTCCATGGATGGGTACAACGTTCCAGTCCTTCAGTCTCCTGCCTAGCTGTTTGGAACTGTGCATTCCACTTCCGAACGGTTTGAGGCTGAGGGGTTGGGAACCCAGAATATAAATGGACAATAGTATTTAGTATAACAGTATTATAGAGCTCTACTTGCATGAGGCAGATAAGCGTGCCTGCCGCTTACGCAAATGGAGCTGCACGCACTTGTGTGCACCTGTCACCCACATGTCAGACCTGGAAGCCATCTTTTTTTCAGGCCTGCCACAATTTCTACTGCGGGGAAATGGGAGGGGGGATTGTATGGAGTGTGGGTGATATGTAGTCAAAATAACATTCTTTTCAGAAAGTCAAGGCCGCTGCAGCAGCGATGAGGTGACTGGGAGGCATTGGATGGTGCCCGATTGGATCACGTGATGGACATGTGGGTACTTGGCAGGGACTTGAACTTTCTTTTGGGTGGGGAAAACCCAGAAACACTCAGATTTGGGGTTTCCCAGATGTGCCAATATGACATCTCTTAATAAAATGGAACTTTGAGGAAAATCGAGCTTCGGAGTTTTCTTTCATTGGGGATGTTACTTGGAACACTGACACAAAAAACCATCCCACCTTCCAACACTGCAGGGCTGTCAAGCCGGAAATATTGGGAACCGCTGTTGTATAGTATAACTATACTAAGAAAAGAAACACAGAAAGAACTTGCATGTTATTTTGTATCTTTCATATTTTTTTCAACATAACACAGCTCCACAACCCTTATCGGGAGACAGAAAACTTAAACTGTCTACAATCCAGTACTTTTGCTGAATGTTTTGAGCTCAATTCAGAAAGTTGGGTATAATTTAAAACAGCGGTTCCCAAACTTTCCGGCTTGTTAGCCCAACGAGAGGGGGAGAGAGAATGGGTCCCTGCAAGGAGCAGACAAATATGTGCACGTGCAGCTCCATTTGTGGAAGCGGCCAGCAAACACACCCGCCACTCACACAAATGGAGCTTCATGCGTGAACCTGCCACTTGCACAAGTGGAACTACACACGCATGCCCACTCGCCACATACATGGCACAGTTCCGAATGGGCCACAGCCCTGGGTGGTTTAAAAGGAACCCATGACAAATTGGTGGCAATAGTGGGATCAGATCAGACTCAAGACACTCTTAAGTAAGTACCGTGTATGAAAATAAATCTTAGCTACTAAAGGAAGGGCCCTCACAAACAGCAAGATTTTGCAAGAGTCAACAATCTGGATGCATAAATCAGACCTCTCACTGGAGCAAGAAGTATGGAAAAGGTAGAACAGCCAGAGAAGGGGCTCGGCCAAGTTATTTGGCCCAATATCAGAACAGAAATCTTGAGGCAACAGCAAGTGGTATCAGATAACCTCAAATAAAATTGTGGTACTTTATTAAAACTTATCTGACTTTTTACCCAAAAGATAGTTGAAAAATAATGTGATTAATTATGTTTGATGTTTTTGAATATTTGAAACAATATAATGAAAAACAACCTGGAATATTTCTACACGTAGAAAAGGCCTTTGAGTATTTGGACTTGGCAAAAACCACAAGCAGGATTAGGGATCTACATTGTTCTGGTTTGACTAGAAAGGCAATTTATGAATGCATATCTAAGAAGGTAAAAAATTTATTTAAATTATATGATTTGTTGATGGGGTGGCATGCCTTTTTATGGTACAAAGGAACAAAAATACAAGGGTATTTTAGAAGACATCAGATACGTGAAGCTTTATGGTTGAACTGGGAGAACGTCAAAAAATATCATTATTTGAAGATTCCAGTCTGGGTATCTACAATTGAAGCTTTTTCATATCCAGTAATATTTAAAAGGAAACAAAATATTAGGTATAGTGAACTATTGGATGAAAAGGGTGAACTTAAAATAAAGCAGGAACTAGAAGATCAGGGATGTAAGATGCACTGGTTTTCATACATGCAAATATTTTCTAGATATTGAGAGGATCTCAAACAAGAAGGGCTTTATAATGTTTTGACTAATTAGGTAAGATTTTAATGGGCTCTGATGATCATATAATTAAAAATTTGTATGGATATTTGTTAGAAGTAAAACTGGAAGAACAAGTTAAAGAAGCAATGATAGCACGGGGGGGAAATTTTGACTATGGTATTGATTTACAGAAATGGCAAAAATTGTGGTCATATAACTATAAAATGACAATGTCAACAGCATATAAGGAGAATTTGTATAAGATGCTTCACAGGTGGCATCTACCCCCCCCCGACGATAGCCAGAATGTTCCAGATTAAATTGGAGAAATGTTGGACGTGTCATCAGACTCCAGGATCCTATTACCATGTGGTGGACATGCGGAGAAGCAAAGAGATATTGGACCAAGATACACACGTGGTTGGAAAAAATGACTAAGAGACATATTGACTTTAAACCAGAGATAATTTTTATTAGGGATCTTACCAGAGCCATATAATGAAAAAATTGCAATATTTAATTGTGAATCTTTTAACAGTGGCTAGAATTGTATTTGCTAAAAATTGGAAAGGAGAAGAGACTCTTACTGATGATGAAATTATTAAGAAAATGATGGATTGTGCTGAAATGAGTAAATTGACATTTGAAATAAGAGAACAGGAGGATAAACAATATTATTTGATATGGGATTTATTTTATCAATGGATGGACAATAAGACATGGAGATAAATATATAATATGTGGATGTTGAGATAAATTAAGTGGAATATTTCTTATGAAAATAAGCTTTGGATATATAGTGATATTTTGAAGAGAAGAGGGAGCACAAAAGGATGTTAACGGATCAATACACTGTAATTATTTGGAATGATGATTTTTTTTATTTTTGTTTTAAAATAAAATCTCTGTGAAAAAAAATTATTTAATTATTCAAATGGTACTTGTATGAGATTTTTGACAACTATAGGTAGTCGTTTACTACAGTTCATTTAATGATTGTTCAAAGTTACAGCAGCACTGAAAACGTGACTTATGACTATTTTTCACATTTATGACCGTTGCAAAATCCCCAAGGTCACCTGATCAAACTTCAGATGCTTAGCAATTGATTCATGACAGTTTCATTAGTCCTGGATCATGTGATCACCTTTTGTGAGTTTCTGACAAGAAAATCCAATGGGGAAGCCAGATTCATTTCACAGTGTTACTAATTTAATAACTACAATGATTCACTTAAGAAATGTGCCAAGAAAAGTCGTAAAATGGGGCAAAATGCACTTAATAACTATCTTGCTTAGCAACAGAAATTTTGGGCACAATTGCACTCATACACCAAGGACTATTTGAATTTCTATTGAAGTTTTTTACACAATTCCTTTACTGATATAGTTTCTCCTGTGTGTAGATGCTTCTATGGCAAGTAAAAGTGTTACTCTTTGCAAAGCTCCATTCCATGCATTCATATGTTTTTTTCTCCCATATGGATCCTTTTATGGGAAGTGAGATCACAACTCTTTCTAAAACCCTCTCCACATTGCACACATTTATATGACTTCTCTTCTATGTGGCTCTTCCTGTGGCGATGAAAACTGCTGCTATGAGTAAAGCTCTTTCCACACAGCATGCATTTATAAGGACTTTCTCCTGTGTGAATCCTCTTGTGGGAATTAAGACTTCTGCTACAAGTAAAGGTCCTTCCACACTCCATGCATTGATAGGGTCTCTCTCCTGTGTGGATCCTCTTGTGGGAATTAAGACTACTCCTACAACTAAAGGTCTTTCCACACTCCAGGCATTGATACGGTTTCTCTCCTGTGTGGATCCTCTTGTGCAAATTAAGACGATTGCTACGCGTAAACGTCTTTCCACACTGCACACATTTATAAGGTCTTTCTCCTGTGTGGATCCTCTTGTGGGGATTAAGACTACTGCTATAATTAAAGGCCTTTCCACACTCCGTGCATTTATAAGGTTTCTCTCCTGTGTGGCTCCTCTTGTGGGAATTAAGATCACTTTTACAATTAAAGGCCTTTCCACACTCCATGCATTGATAAGGTCTTTCTCCTTTATGATTCCTTTGATGTCTTATACGAGAGTATCTATAACGGAAGGTCTTTCCACACTCCGTACAGGTAAATCGTTTCTCTTCTGAAAGTGTCTTTTTATGAGAAAAGAGATGATCGGATTTATTAAACATCTTTCCACACTCCATGGATTTATATGGTCTTTCTCCCATATCAATCACTGTATGGTTAGGAAGCCAACTGACCAGAGGAAGACCTTTCTTAACTCCACTTTGTGACTGCTTTGTTTCATCACTCTTTAGTTTCATCTGATCTACAAATTTCCTTTCCCCCACTTTTGAATGGATTGCTTGGTGTTCCTCCTTGCAATTCTTATGCTCTTGCTCATTAAAACCTTGAAAAAGGAAAATGAAAACTGTAACAAGAATAAGGGAACAATAAAACCTTTCTTCTGAAATTTAGCCAAAGAATCATCAATATATTTCTGCTGTTTTGTTGGCAAACAAAGAGTCCAAATGAAGATTATAGCAAAGACCCATTTCCAAGTGTATCCCTAATGATCCTCCTATAATAGGATTGGATTGATCTAATCTTCCACCTGGAACAATTCCATGGTGCCACTAATTCCTGAAGTGCATTGGACAATATCATGCTGGGGCAGCAACATATCCACTAGCTCTCAACTTAAATAAAAGTTTCATCTCCACTTGTCTGCAGAGCAGAATCTTTGAAACTCAAAAGGGAATTTCTGGATGGTAATACCTCCCCACCCTCAACTTAAGTTTAATGTACACAAGTGAGCATATCTCTAAGAAGGGAACATCCCTCTTAGAGGTCATCCGGTCGGTTATAACAGCTTAGGGCCACCAGGAACCCAGGGACCAGGTTCAGGAGGGAATACCAAATCCTGGTAGGCAGGACCTTGCTCAGTACATTCAGCCTCTTCCTCAGAGTCTTCCTAATATCTTCTATGAAATAACTAGTTTGTATTTCATGAGCAGAACGCTTTTTTTCTAAAAACAAAAACAATTTCCTTTATGCAAAAAAACCAAGCTATGCAGTTTGCCAACTTTTCGTTGAATAAATTTCCTTCTTTCATAAAGCCAGTTTGGTCAAAAGGTTAAGACACCAGGCTAGAAACTAATAAATGTACAGACATTTCTAAAATTTTGTTTTCACTTTACCATTATTGGGTAACAAGGAGGAAAAAAATGAATTTCAACAACTGTACAAACAGGCTGCAGCATAACAAAATTGACAAAAGTGAAGGGAGTATGAATACATTCTGAATGCATTCCATATCCTTCATTTTTTTTAAATAATAAAGGCAGCAGACAAACCCAATATTCCTTCTTCCTGTTATCCCTACAACAACCCTGTGAAATGGGTTGAGCTGAGAGAAATTGGCCCAAAGTCACCCAGCCAGTATTTATGCTAATGGTAGAACTAGTATTCACAGTCACCCAGTTTCTAGCCTGGTATCTTAACCATTTGACCAAACTGACTTCATGGAAGAAGGAAATTTATTCAAAAAAAAATTGGAAAACTGCATAGCCTCGGCTTTTTATATAAAAGAATTTTTTTTTTAAGTGCTTTCTGCTCATATAATACAAAACACTCATTTCAACAACTGTTGAATCATGCAGCAGCATAATATAATTGAAAAAAAGTGAAGTGAATCTGAATGCTTTCTGAATGCACTGTAAATAAATGTTTTTTTTCCAGAAATAACATTCAAGCCCCTTCTCTATGTTCCTGAGCACAGACAGTGATTCTTACCCAGAGAAAGGAGATTCCTGGAATTCTCCAGCATGACTTCCCTGTAGAGCTCTCTTTGATCAGCATCCAGTTGAGACCACTCTTCCTTGGAGAAATACACGGCCACTTCTTCAAAAGACATAACAACCTGAACAAGGACACGTTTCCTTATTAACAGATAATCCCAAGAATAATGGGATAATTTTCTTCCATCAATTCTCACCAAAGAGATCATGTGAACAAAATGGGAATCTTCTGCAGAATTCGGAATGAGATCTCACCACTTTTGCTGACGGCACAACTAAATCATGTTTGATCAAGCTGGAAGTGTTTGGAATGCCTGACGGTTTAATCAATTAAAATATTCTTGGTCAATTGGTAGTTAGGTCTTAAATCCACTACTTGTCAGTGACTCCCATTCTTCCTAGGATGGTCAGAGCAAAATACTGACAAAACCCACTTGACATGTTTACCAATGGCTCATTTTATCCACTGAGGGACCAATGTACCCCAACTCCATACCTTCATGAAGAAGTTGGAAGAGGTTGTAATAGTATTCTATATATCTATAGAGATTCTCAATCACCAGGTCACGGTAGTCATGGATGCTTTTCAAAAGGCAAAATAGAACATTTTTTTGTAATGGTATGTGAGAAAAACCCTGGGAGACAGAAGGAACAGCCCCGATGCTGACAACAGTTAATGAAATGTGATGAAGCAGGAGGGGTGGAGATAGCGACTCACAAATGATTCCCTCAGAAGGGAGAATGTTTAGTGACCTGAGGTCAAATTTGTATTGCTTAGAAACAGCAATTTTATACATTGAACTCTAGAACAAAATGAAATCCATTCGAGATTCATGGACCTTTTCCAATGTTTCTCCTCCTTACCTGAAATAGCGGTTCAGCTAAACCTTCAGCTCCAGAACAAAGAGGTGATTCTAAAAACTCCAAGGAGAGCTTTCTACTCTCTGTGAGAAAGAGAAAAATAGTGGAAGCAAATTTGTTAAAGAGACTCCAACAAAGTGGACCAAACGAATCAGCTAAATGTTGAAATCTCACCTCACACAGAAAGATCTTTTCTTACCTTGCATAGCATCTTGACTTTGTTCTTTCTGGAAGTTCTCCCTGAAGAGCAGCTCTTGAGAAGTTTTGAATGAATCTTTCCCCTCCTTAGAATACTCAGTCACAGTTTCCATGGATTTCTGGACACGATATGTTATGAAAAGGAAGAGCACAGAGATGGAAATGAATTATCATACTGCACCTTCAAACTAGCAGACCCCAATGTCCATTGCTGAAAGTTGAAACAGAATGGAAGCATTGCCCCAAATACATCCTCTGGAAGAATAGAACAAATGCCCTTAGGAGTTAATAATCCCAGAAAATTCTGCCAGAAAGGAATTGACAACTTCAGAGAGATCCTCTTTAGAGCTGCCATAATTCCATTCTCCCACCTGCAACTCTTCCTGCATGTTTTCCTCCTCCTGAGTCAGCAAGAAGCCTTCAGCCAGGGACACCGCCTGGGAACTGGTCTCTGCTCCACACTCCCGCACCCATTTTGCCACCTCTGGGGGAAGGACAGCCAGGAATTGTTCCAGGAGCACCAGGTCCAGCATCTGAGCCTTGGTGTGTTTTTCTGGTTGCAGCCACTGACGACAAAGGTAGTGAAGCTGAGTGCAAACATCTCGGGGACGGCTCCCCTCCTGAAACTGCACTTTTGTGAAGTGACAGCATTGGACCTCTGAAGTGTTGGATGCCTCTTCGTGGCTCTTCTGCCCAGGACTTGCCCCATTCTTCCCACAGCTCCAAGGCTGAGCAGCTGGAGGGACTTTTCTAACTTCTGCATCTGCTGGGTGTTGTCCCTCCATCTTCTCTCTGGTCTCTAATAAAGCTCCAAAATGGACCCATGGATCTCCACAGGTCTTTCTGTTCACAAGAGGTCTGGTCAAATTTTCCAAGGCCATTCAGCTCTCTTCCCAGACAAGATACCTAAGATTCCAGAAGAAGCAGAAATTATTTTCAGCTGATATATCTGATATGGAAAAAATGGGGAAATGGGGAGGGAAGGGAAGGGAAGATTAAGTAAGAAATTCGTATGAACTCACCAAGGTCTGCGAAGGAGGTGAAATCATTAGTTAGCTTGCTCTCTCAACATATGGCGGAAATTGCAGTGAACCCTTGTAAATATTGTAAATCCAAAATATTGGAAAATACATTTAAATGTTTTAATTTTCTATTTCCTAGTTTTTATTAAAAATTTAGTTTGTATTCTTATATCTTCTATATTATTTGTATAAATTACTCTAGGCAGAAATTACACATAATGCTCCTTCTTAGTTTTTTCCCCACAACAGCAGCCCTGTGAAGTAGATTGGGCTGGGAATTAGGATGGGTTCAAGGCTTTCATGCCAAAGGTTGTGTTAAGGAAATTAAGACTCACAAGATTTCCGTGGGTGATCAGAGAGGTTTATTGCGCAAGGCTCAGTGCAACACAAGCAGCAAAGACTGAACCCCAAAAGATTCTAATGCAGTTACTCTTATCCATACTTTTGACATCTTATGATTGGTTACATTTCTGACAGCCCACAGCGACAATCCCCCCCCCTTTGCTGCTATACCCTACAAGCTTACTAAGGTGTGTTCCCTCTTAAGTAGGACACAGGTGTTCTTGCAAACTTATCTAGGTTCCTGCCTAAGTTTCCTGCTGTTATGTCTGTGGTTACCTCTGCTTGGCTAGATATGATATTTTGCTCATGATGGTGTTTCCTGAACTTTCCAGCTGAGGAAGGTTTGTTATTTCCACGGTTTCACTTTTTGAACCTAGTACTAAAGAAAGGGGCCCTTCAGAGATCCTCTAGGCTGACCCCAGTATTATATCACTTTTATATCCAATTTCATTATTCTATATTATTCTTCCACATTATTCCAGCAGGTTTTGGTCTTCCATATTATTTGGACTACAAAATTAATCTGGTTTCGAAGCCTTGTGCTTTCGTCACTGAACCCAATGGCTCTCTCTGGCTAGTCGTAATTTAATACGATAATTTAATACGATAATCATATAAAAGGCAGTTTAATGTAATTTATATGGCTGCGTAGTTAAGAACACCTCCTTACACACGGAGTTGAAGCCTTTTGCATGCAAAGCCAGCAGGAGGAATTCCGACTGCTCGTTTCCCTCGGCCAAGAAAGATGCAGGAAAACTGTCCAGGACTGAAGACTGACTTGGAGGCACAAAGCTCTGTTTTGCAAACACTTCTCCTCCTCCTCTCCCTCCATGCAAAGCTCTTCCCGTCGAAATGCATTGTAAATCCTCTTTTCTGCGACCCTGTTTTTTTTTTTCCCCTGGGGGCAAAGCAAAGGGCGCGAAGCTTTGCTTTCTCCCCTGCCTGGCCCTTGCATGCACAAGGACGGCAGGGGAACATGGGACCAATGGCTCCCCCTCCCCCTTTCCACGACTCCAAGCCTGAGCAATGCCAGCCTCCAGCGCGGGAGAAAAAGTCACCCACCCCCCCAGTCACTGAACCCCCCCACTCACGTCTGTACCTCCAGATCCGAGACTTCCGTGCAGAGCCTTCCCTGTGCTAGAAAGGCTCACCCAAAGGCAGAATCGGAGACCGTAGAAAGAGCAGACAAACTTTGAAGCCTCTGCAGGAAAACGGCTAGAGAGAAGCACGCAGCTCTCCTGGCTTGGGAAAGAGACCGGCGCATGCTCAGTTCTCCCGTAAATCGGCGGGGCGGGAAGGAGTTGCCCGGCTCTTCCAGGGAGCCCCCTAGAGGATCCTGTGCGCATTGCGAGAAGGCCCTGCAAGGGCTCAGGACCTCATGTTTCATGTGGGTCTGGGATGATGGGCATTAAACTTGGAAGGAAAGTTTCCCTCTAACATTGCCTATCTAGAAAGGAAATGGCCTCTCGGGCAAACATCAGTTTCTAGATTTTCCCTCTTTTTAATCTCTGACGAGCAGATGAGGGGGTGGAGAGCCCTGGCAGCAACGCAGCGCCCAACACCAGGGCCTCTGCCGCCACTTGGCACTCCAGATCCCATGTGCTCATCACCTCCTGTGCACATACCCAGGGGTCGCGTCCAGCTGGGGTGGGCCAAGGCAGTGGGGGCAGCACCTCACTGTCTCTAGCGTGGCCCCATGGGCCACATCTAACCCTGCTCGTGGGCTGGTTCTGATCTGCAGGCTTTGTGTTTGACATGTCTGATTTAGTATAAAAAACAAACATAATACGAACCCATTGTTTCTATGCTTCTCTTTTGTATCTCCAATATTTTTTCAAAATAAAACATCTCCACAACCCTTATCGGGAGACAGAAAACTTAAAACCTTTTAGAATCCAGGACTTTTGAGAAACGTTTTTGAGCTCAACTCAATTAAATTGGGTATGATTGACGATTTAAAAGAGCAGTCCCTAACCTTTCTGGCTTTGTAGCCCAGGTGGGGGAGGAGGAGGAGGATGGTTCTATGCAAGCTGCTGGCAGACGCATGCATGCACAGCTCCATTTGTGGAAGTAGCTGGCCTGTGCACCCACCGCTCAAAGTGTGAGTGCCTGCCACTAGCTACGCTTGCACACGCTCATCCACTGCTTGCACGGCCTAGTTCTGGACAAAGCCTGTGGGTTGGGGACTCCTGGTTTAAAAATGCAACGTTCTGGATGCAGCAATCAGAACTCTCACCAGAGTCTTCCTCAGACAAGCGGAGATGGAAAGGTAGGACAGGCAGAGAAAGGGAAAGGCCCAGATACTTGGCCCAATATCAGAACAGAAATATTCAGGCAACAGCAAAAGGTATCAGATCACCCCTAACGAAGTTGTGGGTTTTTTCCCTCTAACCCAGTGGGTCTCAACCTTCCTAATGCCGCAACCCTTTAATACAGTTCCTCATGTTGTGGTGACCCCCAACCATAAAATTATTCCTAAAACCATTGAAAATATGTGTTTTCCAATGGTCTTGGGCGACCCCTGTGAAAGGGTCATTCGACCCCCAAAGGGGTCCCGACCCACAGTTTGAGAACCACTGCTCTAACCAAAGACATAATTGAACAACAATGTGATAATTGTGTTTGGTATTCTGGAATATTTGAAATAATATAATGAAAAACAATCAGGAATATTTCTACGTGTACAAAAGGCCTTTGTCTATTTGAACTTAGCAAAAACCACAAGGAGGATTACGGATCCACACTGTTCTGGTTTGCACTAGAAAGGCAATTTATGGATGCATATTTAAGAGGAGCTACAGTTTATTTGGATTATTACTCAAATGGTCCTTGCAAGATATTTTAGACAAATATAGGTAGTCTCAATTTATTACAGTTCATATAATGATTACTCAAAGTCATAGAAGCACTGAAAAAAGTGACTAATGACCATTTTTCACAGTTATGAACAACATCCCGATGGTCACCTGATCCAATTTCAGATGCTTGGCAACTGATTCATGACAGTTGCATTGTCCCTGGATCATGGGATCACCTTTTGCGAGCTTCTGACAAGCAAATCCAATGAGGAAGCCAAATTCATTTCATAACAGTGTTCCTAACTTAACAAGTACAGTGACTCACTTAACAAAAGTGGCAAAAAAAGTCGTAAAATAAGGCAAGACATACTTAATAACTGCTTCGCTTAGCAGCAGAAATTTTGGGCACAATTGCAGTCATACACCAAGGACTATCTGGATTTCTCCCATGTGTGGATGCTTCTATGGCAAATAAAAGTGTTACTCCTTACAAAGCTCCACTCCATGCATTCATATGTTTTTTTCTCCCATATGGATCCTTTTATGGGAATTGAGATCACAACTCTTTCTAAAGCCCTCTCCACATTCCACACATGTATATGACTTCTCTTCTGTGTGGCTCCGACTGTGGTGATGAAAACTACTGCTATGAGTAAAGCTCTTTCCACACACCATGCATTTATAAGGTCTTTCTCCTGTGTGGGTCCTCTTGTGGGAATTAAGACTACTCCTACAACTAAAAGTCTTTCCACACTCCAGGCATTGATACGGTTTCTCTCCTGTGTGGATCCTCTTGTGGGTATTAAGATAACCACTGTTCCTAAAACCCTTTCCACACTCCATGCATTTATATGGCTTCTCTCCTGTGTGGGTCAAATTGTGAGATTTCAGACTATTGCTACAAATAAAGGTTTTTCCACACTCCATACATTTATAAGGTCTTTCTCCTCTGTGATTCCTCTGATGGATTATAAGAGTTTTAGAATAACAGAAGGTCTCATCACACTCCATGCATTGATACGGTTTCTCTCCTGTGTGGATCCGCTTGTGGGTATTAAGATGACTACTAAATCTAAAACTCTTTCCACACTCCATGCAGGGATACGGTTTCTCTCCTGTGTGGATCCGCTTGTGGGTATTAAGATGACTACTAAATCTAAAACTCTTTCCACACTCCATGCAGGGATATGGTTTCTCTCCTGTGTGGATCCTTTTATGGGTGTCAAGAGCATTACTCCACCTAAAGGCCTTTCCACATTCCTCACATTTATAAGGTCTTTCTCCTGTGTGGATCCTCTGGTGGGTATTAAGATTACCAATCTTCCTAAAACCCTTTCCACACTCCATGCAATGATATGGCTTCTCTCCTGTATGGATCAAATTGTGGGATTTCAGACTACTGCTACTAGTAAAGGTTTTTCCACACTCCATGCATTTATAAGGACTTTCTCCTCTGTGATTCCTCTGATGGATTCTAAGAGTCTTAGAATAACAGAAGGTCTCATCACACTCCATGCATTGATACGGTTTCTCTCCTGTATGGATCCGCTTGTGGATATTAAGATCACTGTTACGAATAAAGGTCTTTCCACACTCCATGCATTTATAAGGTCTTTTTCCTGTGTGGATCCTTTGATGTCTTTTAAGATACTGATTATAACTGAAGGTCTTTCCACACTCCATGCAGGTAAATCGTTTCTCTTCTGAATGTGCCTTTTCGTGAGAAATGAGATGATTGGATTTATTAAACCTCTTTCCGCACTCCATGGTTTTATATGGTCTTTCTCCCATATCGATCACTGTATGGTTAGGAAGCCCTCTGACCTGAGAAAGACTTTTTTTAATTCCACTTTGGGATTGTTTGGTTTCATCCCTTTTTGGTTGCATCTGATCTACAAATTTCCTTTTCCCCCCTTTCGAATGGATCGCTTGGCATTCCTCATTGCAATTCTTATTCTCTTGCCCATTAAAGCCTTGGAAAAGAAAAAAGAAAACTGTACATTTTCATTCCAATAGGATTGGATCACAACCCTGAACTAATCGTTGACCCGGTTTTAATTTTTAATTTTTAACTTGTTAGTCTTAATTGCACTTTTAACTGTTAAATTATGAGATTTGGATTTAATTACTTTTTAACTTTTTCATTAGATGTTTTTTTTACTGTTGTGAGCTGCCCTGAGTCCGGCTGGAGATAGGGGGGCATATAAATCTCATTAAATAAATAAATAAATAAATAAATAAATAAATAAATAAATAATTCCATGGTTTCACAACCTACCAAAGTGCATTGGACACTGTTGCATGCTGGGGCAGCAATATACCCAGCGTCTCCCAACTTCAATAAAAGTCTCATCTCCATTTGTCTGCAGAGCAGAATCTTTGAAAGTCAAAGGGAATTTCTGGATGGCAATAGGTCCCCACCCTCAATTTAAGACTAATGCAAACGTGGTACACAAGTGGGAATATCTCTAAGAAGGGAACATTTGTCTTGGGGCTCATCCAGTCTTGGTTATAGTAGCTCAGGCCTAACAGAAACCTAGTTACCGTATTTTTCGGACTATAAGATGCACCGGAGTATAAGGCGCACCAAGAGGTAAACAAGGAAAAAAATGTTCTTGCCCTCCCCGGCCCCCAGGAGCACTCTGCAGGCCTCCCAAACCATCTCCATGTCCCGTTTTTTCTAAAAATAGGCCCGTTTTTAGGGACGTGCGGGGCGGGGTTTCTGCAGGCCAAAAATGGCTGTATTCGGTGTATAAGACGCACTAACATTTCCAGCCTCTTTTGGGAGGGGAGGTGCGTTTTATATTCCAAAAAGTACGGTACCAGGTTCAGGAGGAAATACCGAAGCCTGGTAGGCAGAACCTGGCTCAAGAGAGGCCACACCATCAGTACATTCTGCCTCTTCCTCAGATTCTTGCTAATATCTTCTGTGAAATTAGTATTATGGTTTATGAGCAGAAAGCATTTAAAAAATTCCAATTTTCTTTATGTACAAAGCCAGGCTATGCAGTTTTCCAATTATCCTTTCAATAAATTTCCTTCTTCCATGCCAATTTGGTCAAATGGTTAAGACACCAGGCTAGAAACTCGGTGTTCTGTCCCCGTCTCACACATGCACACAAACAGACAGCCGGGGGTTAAATAAACTGGCAGACAACCATTTCTTCCGATAAGAGGCTTGGCAGCAACCCAGTAGCTGCTTGCCAAGAACTTTACTCATAAACAAAATACACACGGTTCAAGAATTGTCGAGTTCGTAAAATAAATCCAAGGCAGATAACGTTGTTTCCAAAGATGCAATGTGACTTGATAGTAGTTAGTTTTGTCCGTCACAGAGTCTGAATGGCCATCTCACCCTCTTTTATACCCTGTGGGGTGTGGTCCAGTGACTCAGCTTAATCTCTGGCACGCCTCTTCTTCTGTTGCGCGCGCTTAACTCTGCGACGCTGCCGAGGATCCAGCCAAGACTCATCTTCCTCATTACTGTCCACCTGTGGCTGCGTGGACGTGCTTGGCCCCGGCCCTATATCTTGCCCTTCGGCGGGCACCAAAGGCATTGCCAGAAAGGAGGGTCCTGGAGAGGGAGGCCTTGCCAACTCCTCTCCTTCACTCTCGGACTCCTCTCCTGCCGATGACACAGGCTCAGGTAACGGAGTCACAACACTGGGGGACTCTGAGTACTAGTTTTGTCTTAGACATGAATGCTGGTTGGGTGGCTTTGGGCCAATCTCTCTCAGCTCAACCCATTTCACAGGATTTTTTTTTCTAGGGAAAACAGCAGGAGAAAGGAATATTGGGGTATGTCCACTGCCTATATTATTTTAAAAAAATAAAGGAAGTATATACAGTGCATTCAGAATGTATTCAGGCTCCCTTCACTTTTGTTAATTTTATTATGCTGTAGCTTGATTCTATAATTGTAGAAATTTATTTTTTCCTCATTAATCTACACTAAGTACCTCATGATGACAAAGTGAAAACAGAATTTTAGAAATGTCTGTAAGTTTCTTAAAAAGAACAAAATATCACGTTAACGTAAGTATTCAGACTCTTTGCAATGCTTGAAATATAGCTCAGGTGCCTCGCTTTTCTTGTGATTGTTGCTGACATGTTTCTATGCCTTGATTGTGGTCAATTCAATTGATTGGACGAGATTCAGAAAGGCACACAGCTCTCCATAAATGGCCTCACAGCTGAGAATGCATACAGTAGCAGACCAAAAGCCATGAGGTCAAAGCAACTGCCTGCAGAGCTCAGAGATAGGATTATTTCGAAGGAAGAGATTTAGGGAAGGCTACCATAAACTTTCTGCTGCACTGAAGGTTCCTAAGAGCTTTAATTGTTTGTTATTGTTTTTAATCATGGGGCCAAATTTATATATATCTTTTTAATTGTATTTTAATGTTTGTAGTTTATGCTTTTACTTGGCTGTTCACCGCCCTGAGTCCTCAGAGGAAAGGGCGGTATACAAATTTAAAAATAAATAAATAAAAATAAAAATAAGTGGACTCCATAATTCTCAAATTAGATCCTGGTTGGAGACAACCATCAGTACAGCCCTCCACTGATCTGGGCTTTACGGCAGAGTGGCTAGACGGATGCCTTTTCTCAGTGCACAACACATGAAAGCCTACTTGGAGTTTCAAAAATGCACCTGAAGGACTCTGAGACTGAAATAAGTAAGATTCTCTGGTCTGATGTAACCAAGACTGAACATGACCTCAATTCTAAACATTATGTCTGGAGGAAACCACTCATCACCTGCCCAATGCTATCCCAATAGTGAAGCATGATGGTGGCAGTATCATGCTATGGGAGTGTTTTTCAGCAGCAGAAACTGGGAGACTGGTCAGGGGTGATGGAAAGCTGTACAACATAGCGCTCAGGACCAGAAAATGGGCTAAAGATTCATTTTCCTACATGACAACCATACTATGCAAACAGCCAAAACACACTCTGTGAATGTCCTAGAGTGGCCCAGCCAGAGCCATGACTTCAACCTTATTTAGGAATCTCTGGAGGAATCTCTGGAGGAATCTCTGGAGGAATCTCTGGAGGAATCTCTGGAGGAATCTGAAAATGGCTCTCCAAGGACGGTTGCCATCCAATTTGACTGAGCCTGAGAGGATTTGTAAGGAAGAATGGCAGAAAATCCCCCAATCCAGGTGCGCAAAGCTTATGGTGTCGTACCCAAAAAGACTGGAGGCTTCCATTGCTGCCAAAGGTGCTTCAACAAAGTACTGACTGAAAGGGTCTGAATATTGATGCCAATGAATATTTCAGTTTTTACTTTTTAACAAATTTACAGACATTTCTAAAATTCTGTTTTCATTTTGTCATTTTCGGGTACTGAGTGTAGATAAATGAGAAAAAAATGAATTTCAACAACTGTAGAATCAGCCTGCAGCATAACAAAATCGACAAAAGTGAAGGGGATCTGAATACTTCCTGAATGCACTCTATATCCTTCCTTTATTTTATTGCAAATAATAAGGGCAGTGGACATCTCAGATATTCCCTCTTTCTGCTGTTTTCCCTACAACAACCCTATGACATGGGTTGAGCTGAGAGAGTTTGGCCCAAAGTCACCCAGTCAGCATTCATGCTTAAGGGAGAACTACAACTTACGGTCACCCAATTTCTAGCCTGGAGTTTTAACCATTTGTCCAAACTGATTTTATGGAAGAAGGAAATTTATTCAAAGAAAAATTGGAAATCTATAGTCTCCCTTATTACATACAAGAAATTGTATGTATTTTTAAAAAAATGCTTTCTGTTCATAAAATACATAATACTCATTTCCACAACTGTAGAATCATGCTACAGCATAACAAAATAGAAAAAAGTGAAGGGGATCTGAATACTTTCTGAATGCACTGTAAATAAATGATTTTTTTCCCCAGAAATAACATTCAAGCCCCTTCTCTACATTCCTGAGCACAGAAAGGGATTCTTACCCAGCGAAAAGAGATTCCTGGAATTCTCCAGCATGACTTCTCCGTGGAGTGCCTTTTGGTCAGCATCCAGTTGAGACCACTCCTCCTTGGAGAAATACACAGCCACTTCCTCAAAAGACACAACATCCTGAACAAGGACACAAGTTTCCTTATTAACAGATAATTCCAAGAATAATGGGATAATTTTATTCCACCAATTCTAGGAAAGAGATCTAGTGAACAAAATGGGTATCCTCTGCAAAATTAAGAATAAGGTCTAACCGCTTTTGGCTGATGGCACAACTAAATCATGTTTGATCAACTGGAGGTGTTTGGAATGCCTTATGGTATAACCAACTAAAATATTCAATATAAAGTCTTCAATCCACTCCTTTTCAGTGACTCCCATTCTTCCTTGGATGGGTAGAGTAAAATACTGGCAAAACCCAGCTGACATGTTTTCCAATGGCTCATTTTATACACTGTGGAACCAACAAACCCCAACTCCACACCTTCATGAAGAAGTTGAGCGAGCTTGTAATAGAACTCTATATGTCTATGGAGATTCTTAATCACCAGATTAAGAATTTGGGTAGTCCCAAAGATTCTTTTCAAAAGGCAAAAAAGACTATTTTCTTTATAATGGTGTGTGTGAACAACCCTGGGAGACAGAAGGAAGAGCTCCAATGCTGACAACAGTCTGGTCAATGAAATCTGAAAATGAAGAAGGAGAGGTGGAAAAGGCATCTCACAAAGGATCCCCTCAGAAGGGAGAGGGTAAGCTAAGGTGAGTGTGAATGTTCAATGACTTGATGTCAAATTCGTATTCCTTAGAAACAGCAATTTTATACATTGAACTCTAGAACAAAATGAAATCCATCCAAGATTTATGGACCTTTTCCGATCTTATTTCTCCTTACCTGAAGTAGCGGTTCAGCTAATCCTTCAACTTCATCAGAAAGAGGTGATTCTAAAAACTCCAAGGACAGCTTTCTACTCTCTGTGAGAAAGAGAAAAATACTGGAAGCAGATTTGTTAAAGAGAGACACTCCAATAAACTGGAGTGAAAGAATCAGTTAAATGTTAAAATCTCACCTTACAGAGAAAGAGCCTTTCTTACCTTCCGTAGAGTCTTGACTTTGATCTTTCTGTAAGTTCTCCCTGAAGAGCAGCTCTTGAGAAGATTTGAATGAATCTTTCCCCTCCTTAGGATACTCAGTCACAGCTTCCATGGATTTCTGGACATGATGTGTTACGAGAAACAAAGGAAGAGCACAGAGATAGAAAGGAATTATCATACTGCACCTTCAAACTAGCAGACCCCAATGTCCATTACTGAAACATAATGAAAGAATTGCTCCAAATACATCCTCTGGAAGAATAGAACATATGCCCTTAGGAATTAATAATCCCAGAAAATTCTGCCAGGGAGAAATTGACAAATTCAGAGAGATCCTCTTTAGAGCTGCCATTTTCCCACCTGCAACTCTTCCTGCATGTTTTCCTCCTCCTGAGTCAGCAAAAATCCTTCAGCCAGGGACACCGCCTGGGAACTGGTCTCTGCTCCACACTCCCGCACCCATTTCGCCACCTCTGGGGAAAGGACAGCCAGGAATTGTTCCAGGAGCACCAGGTCCAGCATCTGAGCCTTGGTGTGTTTTTCTGGTTGCAGCCACTGACAGCAAAGGTAGTGAAGCTGAGTGCAAACATCTCGGGGACGGCTCCCCTCCTGAAACTGCACTTTTGTGAAGTGACAACATTGGACCTCTGAACTATTGGATGCCTCTTCGTGACTCTTCTGCCCAGGACCTGCCCCATTCTTCCCACAGCTCCAAGACTGAGCAGTTGAAGGGCTTTTTCTAATTTCTGCATCTGCTGGGTGTTGTCCCTCCATCTTTTCTCTAGTCTCTAATACAGCTTCAAAACAGACCCATGGATCTCCACAGGTCTTTCTGTTCACAAGAGGTCTGGCCAAATTTTCCAAGGCCATTCAGCTCTCTTCCCAGACAAGATACTTAAGATTCCAGAAGAACCGGAATATATTTCCAGTTTACATATCTGAAATGGAAAACAAATTATTCAGGGTGTTTACTAGAGTGATGAATTGAACTATTGAGCATCTTTATCAAGAGAGGAAAGAGAACAGGGAAGGGTAAAGGGAAGGAAAAAAATAGAAAGAAATTTGGATTAACCTACCAATGTCGGGGACCGAGGGGGGTATCTTATTAGTTAGCTTGATCTCTCTACATGTGGGGAAAATTGCACAGAACCCTTCAGGACAGGACTGTCAAACTAGCGGCCCAGGGACCAGATATATCACGCCACGCCTGGTTTAGCAAAGGAGGGAAAAGTCCCGATAGGTCACATGAGGACACGAGTTTGACACCCTGCTTCAGGATATCGATCTCTATCAAAATATTGGAAAAATACATTTAGATGTTTTTGATTTCTACTTCCTAATTTTTAATTAAAATTTAATTTTAATTTTTATGTCTTCAGTATATTATTATAAATTATTCTAGGCAGCAATTATACATAATGCTCCGCCTTACTATTTCCTCACCCCAACAGCCCTGTGAAGTATTTAATACACCCTTTAATATCATTTCTATAGCTGCGTTGTTAAGAGCAATCATTTGCACAATCCAAATCGTAAATGTCCCAGGTCACAAACAGCAATTGACATGAGGGGCTCTCTAAATCCACTTAATAAGTAAATAAATCCCAGGATATCCCAGAGCTATAATTGCACTCAACAATGAACTAAAGGACCACCATCAGTGAGCTGTTGGACAGTATAACTTGGTCTGTTCTGTGGATGTTTGGGTGGTTTAGGGGTAGGGAATTGTGGTGGGTGGGAGTGTGTTTGGAGATTATGTGTGTTGGACCTGGTCTTTGGGTGTTAAGTGAATTTCGTTCTGTATACACATATACATTGTATACACATACAATGACAATAAAGTTTGTTTGTTTGTATTATTTATATAGAACAGAGTAGATGAGATTCTACTGAGCTGGAGCTACAAAAAAACCTTGGCTACGTAGGGAAAACCTGGCTAGAAGAAAAACACACATAAACCCTACGAAGAAGTAAGAAAATTGATACTGTGCCTTGACAGGGAGGATATGGGTGTGGCCTACTGATGACAGCTAACGAGCTAGAAATGGATCTATTTAGGTCTCCCACCTAGCAGTGAGAGCTTGCTAGGTGTTAGAAAAGAAAAAAGCCCAGAACAGAGTAGATGAGATTCTACTGAGCTGGAGCTACAAAAAAACTTTGGCTACGTAGGGAAAACCTGGCTAGAAGAAAAACATATATATATATATGTTTTCTGAGGTTTTCGCGGGTGTTTGTATGTAGGTCTTTGGTTATTCGAATAACCAAATAACCCGAATAACCAAAGACCTACATATATATATATATGTTTTTCTTTTAGCCAGGTTTTTCCTACGTAACCAAGGTTTTTCTGCAGCCCTAGCTCAGTGGAGTCACATCCACTCGATTCTGGGCTTTTTTCTTTCTGGCAGCCAGCAAGCCCTGTGCTGCCTGGTGAGAGACTTATATAGATATATTTCTGGCTTGTTAGACATCATCAGTAAGCCACATCCATATCTCATGTATCCTCCCTGTAAAGGTACAATATCTATTTTCTTATTATATATAACCAAGCCAGAAGATATGCTAAGATCTCAACAGGCAACCTTATTTATCTGCGGACACAGCCAGCTGGTGATAGTGGGGAAAGGCTGGAAAGCAGGAAACCCAGTTCCGAGTCCTTGCACCCAACTCCTTACACACGGAGTTGAAGCCTTGCGTGCAAACCCAGCAGGAGGGACTCCGACGGCTCGCTTCTAAGAAGGGGAAGGCGAGGGAAACCCCTTCGGAAAACGGGGCCATGAAGTTTGCAGGAAACTGTCCAGGAGTCAAGACTGACTTGGAGGCAGAAATCTCTGTTTTGCAAAGACGACCTCTCCTCCTCTCCCTCCATGCAAGGCTTTTCCCGTGGAAATGGATTGTAAATCCTCTTTTCTGCGACCCTGTTTTTTTTTCCCCCTGGAGGCAAAGCGAAGGGCTTTGCTTTCTCCCCTGCCTGGCCCTTGCATGCACAGGGACAGCAGGGGAACATGGGGCCAATGGCTCCCCCTCCCCCTTTCCACGACTCCAAGCCTGAGAAAAGTCAAACACGCACCCAGTCATTGAACCCAGACTCACGTCTGGATCTCCAAGTCCCAAGGTTTCCCTGCAGCCTCTTCCCTTGCCTGAAAGGCTCACTCGGGCGCTGGAGAAAGAGCGGAGCAGCTTTCAAGCCTTTGCTGGAAAATGCCTAGGGAAGCACGCATCTCTCTTGACTTGGGAAAGAGACCGGCGCATGCTCAGTTCTTTTGTAAGGCGGGGAGGGAGGGAGAGCGCTGCCCGGCTCTTCCATCGGACTCTCGTGGGAGCCCCCTAGAGGATCCTCTGCGCAATGCCTGAGGATCCTGCAAGGAGATCATGTTCCATGCGGGTGTGGGATGATGGGCATTAAGAGAAGTGGTGAAGGTTCCCTCTAACTTTGCCTATCTAGAACCGGCAGGCGTCAGTTTCTAGATCTTCCTCTTTTGTTAATGGCTGAAAACCACCTCTGATCTTGTGAATATTGAGAAAATCTCTGTGGAGACTCAAAAATCTTTTTCCTCAAGGGCAAGCCCCCACCCCCAATACAATCAAAAGTTTTGTGTATTTTAAATTTTTAGACTTACAACAAAACAGAATTTAATAACATCTCATGAATAACCATACCAATGATATTTAATTAAGTTTATTTCAATCAAATTTATAGACTTTTTCCTAATCCTTGTCAGACCATAGAAAGGCAAAAAATGTTTGAAAAAGGTTTTTTTTTTTTTGAACATTCACTTCATGGGCTTCCCCTCATTTTGGCTTATTTTGTGAGAGGGATTCTTCATCCTCAAAATTTTTCCATATAGGATACATTGATATATGTGATGAGTTTCTCACATATTAAGAGGCACATAAGTTTCCATGATTTGCGAGTATTATGATCTACCAGTCCTAGAACCAGATCTCACCTCTTTCTATCTATCTGTCAGGAGAAACTGATGTTATTTTCTGAAGTCGTTTTTCTTAATTTCATATTATTTTATTAGGTTTATTTTTATTTTGGTTATCAATAAAGCAAAGGTCTTTCACTCTCATTCTCTCGAGTATCCCTAACTTCGCAGAGACAGACAGCGGGAAAGAGAAAAAAACTATAACTAAACTCCATTGTAGCCTCAGAAGTCACATTGTGCGACTGCAGCAACACAATCCCCATTGCCTCTCTTAATGCTACAAAACCTTTGTTGTTCCCTGCTTCATTTTTTCAATACAGGTAGTCTGTGAGTTACGACCTGAATTGAGCCCAAAATTTCTGTTGCTAAATAAAACATTTGTTAAGCAATTTTGCCCCATTTTACAATTTTTCTTGCCACAGTTGTTAAGTGCATCATTGCATTTGTTAAGTTATTAGCATGGCTGTGAAGTGAATCTGGCTTCCCCATTGACTTTGCTTGTCAGAAGGTCGCAAAAGATAACAGATAACAAATTAACAGAGTTGGAAGGGACCTTATAGGTCATCTAGTCCAACTCCCCGCCTAAGCAGGAGACCCTACACCAGTATTTGGACTTGGCAAAAACCCCAAGCAGGATTAGGGATTCACCTTGTTCTGGTTTGCACTAGAAAGGAAATTTATGCATGCATATCTACGAAGGTAAACAAGTTATTTGAATTATTACTCAAATGGTACTGTACTTGTAGGAGATTTTAGACAACTATAGGTAGTTGTCAATTTACTACAGTTCATTTACTGATTGTTCAAAGTTACAGAAGCACTGAAAAAAGTGACTTAGGACCATTATTCACACTTATGACCGTTACATCATCCCCAAGGTCACCTGATCAAATTTCAGATTCTTGGCAACAGATTCATGACAGTTGCAGAGTCCCTGGATCATGCGATCACCTTTTGTGAGCTTCTGACAAGCAAATCTAATGGGGAAGCCAGATTCATTTCACAACAGTGTTACTGACTTAACAACTATAGTGAGTCACTTAACAAATGTGGAAAGAAAAGTCATCAAATGGCGCAAAACACACTTGTTAACTGTCTCGCTTAGCAACAGAAAGTTTGGGTTCAATTCCAGTCATAAGGCGAGAACTACCTGGATTTTTATTGAAGCTCTTTCCACAATTTCTTTATTGATATGGTTTCTCCCGTGTGTGGATGCTTCTATGGCAAGTTAAAGTGTTACTCCTTGCAAAACTCTTTCCTTACTCCATGCATTCATATGGGTTTTTTTTTCTCCAGTATGGATCCTTTTATGGGAATTGAGATCATAACTCTTTCTAAAGCCCTCTCCACACTGCAAACATCTTTTGTGTGGCTCTTCTTGTGAGAATTAAGACCATTACTACGAGCAAAGCTCTTTCCACACTCCATGCATTTATAAGGTCTTTCTCCTGTGTGGCTCCTCTTGTGGGAATTAAGATCATTACTACGAGTAAAGCTCTTTCCACACTCCATGCAGGGATATGGTTTCTCTCCTGTGTGAATCCTTTTATGGGAGTCAAGAGCAGAATTCCACCTAAAGGTCTTTCCACATTCCGCACATTTATAAGGTCTTTCTCCTGTGTGGATCCCTTTGTGGGAATTAAGACTATTGCTACAAGTAAAGGTCTTTCCACACTCCATGCATTGAAAAGGTCTTTCTCCTGTGTGGATCCTCTTGTGGGAATTAAGACTACTGCTACGAGTAAATGTCTTTCCACACTCCATGCATTTATAAGGTCTTTCTCCCGTGTGGATCCTCTTGTGGTAATTAAGACTACTGCTAAAAGTAAAAGTCTTTCCACACTCCATGCATTGATACGGTTTCTCTCCTCTGTGGATCCTATTATGGGAGGCAAGATTATTACTCTTCCTAAAACCCTTTCCACACTCCATGCATTTATAAAGTCCTCCTTTGTGATTCCTTTCATGTTTTCTAACAGAGTGATTATCACAAAAGGTCTTTCCACACTCTATGCAGGGATATGATTTCTCTCCTGTGTGGCTCCTCTTGTGGGAATTAAGATGACTGCTACAAGTAAAGGTCTTTTCACACTCCATGCATTTATAAGGTCTTTCTCCTGTGTGGATCCTCTTGTGCACATTAAGACGACTGCTACAAGTAAAGGTCTTTCCACACTCCATGCATTTATAAGGTCGTTCTCCTGTGTGGCTCCTTCGATGGATTATAAGAGACTCAGAATAACAGAAGGCCTTTCCACACTCAATGCATTGATATAACTTCTCCTTTGTATGGCTAGTTTTATGGTGAATCAGAGCACTCCTCTGCCTAAAAGCCTTTCCACACTCCATGCATTGATAAGGTCTTTCTCCTGTGTGGATCCTCTTGTGGTAATTAAGATGAGTGCTACGAGTAAAGGTCTTTCCACACTCCATGCATTGATAAGGTCTTTCTCCTCTGTGATTCTTTTGATGGATTATAAGGGAGTAATTATAACTGAAGGTCTTTCCACACTCCTTGCAGGTAAATTGTTTGTCTTCTGAATGTGCCTTTTTATGAGAAATGAGATGATCGGATTTATTGAACCTCTTTCCATACACCATGGATTTATATGGTCTTTCTCCCGTATCGATGATTGTATGATTACGAAGCCGACTGACCTGAGGAAAACCTTTTTTAATTCCACTTTGTGATTGCTTTGTTTCATCGCTCTTTAGTTTCAACTGATCTACCAATTTCCTTTTCCTCCCTTTCGAATGGATTGCTTGGCGTTCCTCCTTGCAATTCTTATTCTCTTGCCCATTAAAGCCTTGAAAAAGAAAAAAATGAAAACTGTAGGAAGAATAAGGGAACAATAAAACTTTTCTTCTGAAATTTAGCCACAGAATCATCAATATATTTCTGCTGTTTTGTTGGCAAACACAAAGAGTCCAAATGAAGATTATAGCAAAGACCCATTTACAAGTGTATCCCTAATGATCCTCCTATAAAAGGATTTGATTGATCTAATCTTCCACCTGGGACAATTCCATGGTGCCACTAGCTCCTGAAGTGCATTGGACACTGTGTCATAATGGGGCAGCAACATACCCAGCACCTCCCAACTTCAATAAAAGTCTCATCTCCACTTGTCTACAGAGCAGAATCCTTGAAAGTCAAAGGGAATTTCTGGATGGCAATACCTCCCCCACTGTAAACCTGGGCTAATACCAAACTCGGTACACAAGTGGGCATATTTCTAAGAAGGGAACATCCCTCTCAGAGGTCATCCGGTCAGTTATAGCAGTTTAGGGCCATTAGGAATCCAGTGACCAGGTTCAGGAGGGAATACTGAATCCTGGTAGCCAGAACCTTTTTTTCTTTTTCTTTTTTTTTAATTTGATTTATATGCCGCCCTTCTCCGGAGACTCAGGGCGGCTTACAATGCGTTAAGCAATAGCCTTCATACTTTTGTATATTTATACAAAGTCAGCTTATTGCCCCCACAAACTGGGTCCTCAATTTACCTACCTTAGAAAGGATGGAAGGCTGAGTCAACCTTGAGCCTGGCGAGTTTCGAACTTACAGTAATTGCAGACAGCTGGTGTTAATCACAATGCTATCAGTCTGCTGAGCTACCAGGCCCGTTTTAGACCTTGCTCAGTACATTCAGCCTCTTCCTCAGAGTCTCGCTAATGTCTTCTATGAAATGAGTATTTTGTATTTCATAAGCAGAATGCTTTTTTAAAAAACAAACTATTTCCTTTATGTAAAAAACCTGTCAAGGTGTTAATTTAAGAGTGGACCAGCTGGTGCAATGAGGGAAATGAGTCAGCAGGGTTTTTGGCTGTTATCCCTTTAAGATCCTGTGTAATAAGAGGAGGACCTGCTAGAGTGGTTGTTGGTTCTTCGAGTTTCTTCCCTGCTGTAATTGCTGTTTGTTGAGATACTGCTTGTAGCATGTGTACCTATATTCCTAAATTTTCAGACCTTTCTAAAATTTTCTTTTCACTTTGTCATTATTAGGTAGATTAATGGGAAAAAAAATGAATTTCAACAACTGTAGAATCAGCCTGCACCATAACAAAATTGACAAAAGTGAAGGGAGTCTGAATATCTTCAGAATGCACTCTATATCCTTCCTTTATTTTTTTGTAAATAAATAAGGCACCAGACAAACCCAATATTCCTTCCTCCTGCTGTTTTCCCTACAACAACTCTGTGAAATGGTTTGAGCTGAGAGAAATTGGCCCAAAGTCACCCAGCCAGCATTCCTGCCTATAGTAGAACTAATACTCACAGTCACCCAGTTTCTACCCTGGCTTCTTAAACATTTGACCAAATTGTTTTTCTGGAAGAAGGAAATTTATTCAAAGAAAAATTGGAAATCTGAATAGCCTTCCTTAGTACATAAAATATTTTTTTTCAAATGTTTCCTGCTTATAAAATACAAAATACTCATTTCAACAACTGTAGAATGATGCTGAAACATAACAAAATTGAAAATAGTGAAGTGGATTGAAATACTTTTTCAATGAACTGTAAATAAATGATTCCTCCTCCCCCCCAGAAATAACATTTAAGCCCCTTCTCTACATTCCTGAGCACAGAAAGGGATTCTTACCCAGAGAAAACAGATTCCTGGAATTCTCCAGCATGACTTCTCTGTGGAGCGCTTTTTGGTCAGCATCCAGTTGAGACCACTCCTCCTTGGAGAAATATATGGCCACTTCTTCAAAAGACACGACATCCTGAACAAGGACACGTTTCCTTATTAACAAATAATCTCAGAATAATGGGATAATTTTCTTCCATCAATTCTAGGACAGAGATCACGTGAATAAAATGGTCATCTTCTGCATAATTAAGAATAAGATCTCATTGCTTTTGGCTTATGGCACAACTAAATCATGTTTGATCAAGCTGAAAGTATTTGGAATGTCTTATGGTGTAACCAACTAAAATATTCAATCTAAAGTCTTCAATCCACTACGTAGTGACTCCCATTCTTCCTATGATGGGGAGAGCAAAATATTGGCAAAACCCAGCTGATATGTTTACCAATGGCTCATTTTATCCAGTGAGAGACTAACGTACCCCAACTCCACACCTTCATGAAGAATTTGGAAGAGCTTGTAATAGAACTCTATATATGTCTATAGAGATTCTCAATCACCAGGTCACAGTAGTCCCGAAAATGCTTTTCAAAAGGCAAAAAAGGATTATTATTATTTTTGCAATGGTGTGTGAGAATAATCCTGGGAGACAGAACCCCAATGCTGACAACAGTCTAGTCAATGAAATCTAATGGTGAAGCAGTAGGGATGGAGAAAGCAACTCACAAAGAATCCCCTCAGAAGGGAGAGGGTAGGCTAAACTAAGTGTGAATGTTCAATGACCTGTTGTCAAATTTGTATTCCTCAGAAACAGTAATTTTATACATTGAACTCTAGAACAAAAGAAATCCATCCAAGATTTATGGACCTTTTCCATAAATCCATCCAAGAATTAACCCTTTTCCGATCTTATTCCTCCTTACCTGAAGTACCGGTTCAGCTAATCCTTCAGCTCCAGCACAAAGAGGTGATTGTAAAAAGTCCAAGGACAGCTTTCTACTCTCTGTGAGAAAGAGAAAAATACTGGAAGCAGATTTGTTAAAGAGAGAAACTCCAATAAAGTGGAGCAAAAGAATCAGCTAAATGTTGAAATCTCACCTCACACAGAAAGAGCTTTTCTTACCTTGCGTAGAGTCTTGACTTTGATCTTTCTGGAAGTTCTCCCTGAGGACCAGCTCTTGAGAAGATCTGAATGAATCTTTCCCCTCCTTAGAATATTCAGTCACAATTTCCACAGATTTCTGGACATGATGTGATACGAGAGACAAAGGAAGAGCACAGAGATAGAAATGGATTATCATTCTGCAACTTCAAACTAGCAGCAGCCAATGTCCATTTCTGAAACTCAAAACAGAATGGAAGAATTGCCCCAAATACATCCTCTGGAAGAATAGAACAAATGCCCTTAGGAGTTAATAATCCCAGAAATTCTGCCAGAAAGGAATTGACAAATTCAGAGGGAATCTCTTTAGAGCTGCCATGATTCCAGTCTCCCACCTGCAACTCTTCCTCCTGAGTCAGCAAGAAGCCTTCAGCCAGGGACACCGCCTGGGAACTGGTCTCTGCTCCACACTCCCGCACCCATTTTGCCATCTCTGGGGGAAGGACAGCCAGCAATTGTTCCAGGAGCACCAGGTCCAGCATCTGAGCCTTGGTGTGTTTTTCTGGTTGCAGCCACTGACAGCAAAGGTAGTGAAGCTGAGTGCAAACATCTCGGGGACGGCTCCCCTCCTGAAACTGCACTTTTCTGAAGTGACAGCATTGGACCTCTGAACTACTGGATGCCTCTTCGTGGCTCTTCTGCCCAGGACTTGCCCCATTCTTCCCACAGCTCCAAGGCTGAGCAGCTGGAGGGCCCTTTCTAACTTCTGCATCTGCTGGGTGTTGTCCCTCCATCTTCTCTCTGGTCTCTAATAAAGCTCCAAAATGCACCCATGGATCTCCACAGGTCTTTCTCTTCACAAGAGGTCTGGCCAAATTTTCCAAGGCCATTCAGCTCTCTTCCCAGACAAGATTCCTAAGATTCCAGAAGAACCAGAAAATATTTCCACCTTACATACCTGAAATGGGAAACAAATAATTTAGGGTGTTTGCTACAGTGATTAACTGAACTGCTGAGCATCCTTATCAAGAGAGGAAAGGGAAGGAAAGGAAATGGAGTGGAAAAAGGGAAAGGGAAGGAAAAATAAATTATTATTTTTTTGATCTTTCTGTTCATAAGAGGTCTGGCCAAACAGACAAGATACGTAAAATCTCAGAAGAATCAGAGAATGTTTTGAGCTGATGTATCTGATATGGAAAAAATGGGGAAATGGGGAGGAGGGGAGGGAAGATTAAGAAATTCATATGAACCTACCAAGGTCTGTGAAATCTTATTGGTTAGTTTGCTCTCTCTACATATGGGGAAAATTGCAGTGAACCCTTCAAGATCAATGTCTATCAAAATATTGGAAAAATACATTTAAATATGTTTTTGATTTCTACTTCCTAGGTTTTATTAAAAAATTAATTTTTATTCTTATGTCTACTGTATTATTTTTATAAATTACTCTAGGCAGAAATTATACATTATGCTCCTTCTTATTGTTTTCCCCCCAACAACAGCCCTGTGAAGTAGATTGGGCTGAGAACTGGGATGGGCTGAAGACTTTCATGCCAAAGGTTGGACTAGAAGTTAATCTCCTGGTTTCAAAGCCTTGTGCTTTCATCACTGAGCCAAAGGGTCTCTCTGGCTAATCATAATGTAATACAGTATAATTTAAAAGACAGTTTAATAGCATTTCTATGGCTGCATAGTTAAGAACAAGTCCTTGCACCCCTTGCACCCAACTCCTTACACACGGAGTTGAAGCCTTGCAAGCAAAGCCAGCAGGAGGGACTCCGACCGCTCGCTTCTCTCGGCCTAAGAAGGGGAAGGGAGGAAAGCCCCTTCGGAAAACGGGGCCACGAAATATGCAGGAAACTGTCCAGGAGTCACGACTGACGTGGAGGCACAAAGCTCTGTTTTGCAAACACTTCTCCTCCTCCTCTCCCTCCATGCAAAGCTCTTCCCGTCCAAATGGATTGTAAATCCTCTTTTCTGCGACCCTGTTTTTTTTTCCCCTGGGGGCAAATGGAAGGGCGCGAAGCTTTGCTTTCCCCCCTGCCTGGCCCTTGCATGCACAGGGACGGCAGGGGAACATGGGGCCAATGGCTCCCCCTCCCCCTTTCCACGACTCCGAGCCTGAGGAATGTGAGCGTCCAGCGCGGGAGAAAAGTCACCCACCCACCCAGTCACTGAACCCCCCACTCACGTCTGTACCTCCAAGTCCAAGTCTTCCCTGCAGCCTCTTCCCTCCCCTGAAAGGCTCCTCCGGGCACTGGAGAACCTTTCAAGCCTCGGGAGTCTCCAACCCCTCTCGACTTGGGAAAGAGACCGGCGCATGCTCAGTTCTCTCGTAAGCGACGGAGGGAGGGAGGGAGCTGCACCGCTCTTCCAGGTCGCCCCCTAGAGGATCCTGTGTGCATTGCGAGAAGATCCTGCAAGGGCTCCGGACGTCGTGTTCCACACGTATCTGGGATGATGGGCATTAAATTTGAAGGAAAGGTTCCCTCTAAAATTGCCTATCTAGAAATGAAATGGCCTCTCCAGCAAGCATCAGTTTCTAGATTTTCCCTCTTTTTAACCTTTTAAGAACCGTCTGTGATCTTGTGAAGATTGAGAAAATCTCTGTGGAGACTCAAAAATCCCTTTCCTGAAGAGCAGCTTCTCTGAAGGGTCTCCAGGGATTCCCAGGAGGCGGCCTCAAAAATGAGGAAAATCCTGATGGCAAACCTAGGGTATGCATGCCACAGGTGGCATGTGTAGCTATATTGATGGGCACGCGAGCTCAGCTCCACCAATTGATTTTTGAGCCTTCCGGACCCACCAGAAGTTGGCAAATGAGCTGTTTCTGGCCTCCAGAGGATCTCCGGGGGGGGGGGGGAGACCGTTTTCGCCCTCCGGAGACTCCCAGAAAGGCTGTGGAGGCTGGGGAGAGAGAAAAACGGGCCTTCCCCACCACCACCTCGAGGTCCTCCGGAGGCAGGAAACTGCCTGTTTCCCTACTTCTGGTGGGCCCAGAAGGCTCGAAAATCAGCTGGCAGAGCTGAGCTTGCATGCCCACCAATATAGCTACACATGCCACCTGTGGCACACGTGCCATAGGTTCACCATCACGGAACTAGACACAAGAACAGTTTTTTTCCTAAACACCATCACTCTGCTAAACAAATAATTACCTCAACACTATCAAACTATTCACTAAGTCTGCATTACTATTAATCTTCTCATCGTTCCTATCACCCATCTCCTCCCATTATGAGTTCATGACTGTAACCTTGTTTCTGGTATCCTTACGATTTATATTGACTGTTTCCTAATATGATTTGATTGCTTATTTGTACCCTATGACTATCATTAAATGTTGTATCTTATGATTCTTGGCGAATGTACCTTTTCTTTTACGTACAGAGAACGTATGTACCAAAACAAATTCCTTGTGTCTCCAATCACATATGGCCAATAAAGAATTCTATTCTATTCTATTCTATTCTATTCTATTCTATTCTATTCTATTCTATTCTATTCTATTCTAATTATTTTGTATTCTTTCAAATTCCTTGACCTTACTGAAGAAAAAAACACCTTTTCACCCTTTTTTAAAACTTTTTTTAAACTTTTTTTAAAATCAAAACTTTCTAATTCAGCTATTTCTTTGACTTCACTACGAGCTTTAAACTTCAGTATTATATTTAGATCCCTCCCTTCAAACTACGCTTATAGAATAATATATATATTTCTTTTCTAGCTGTTAGAAAAGAAAAAAGTCCAGAATCGAGTGGATGTGATTCTACTGAGCTTACTCGGTTCTGGGCTTTTTTCCTTTCTAACAGCTTTCTAATATATATATATATTCTTTTATAAACATCTTTTTTAGTACAAAGGTTTTCTTTAAACTGGTGCAACCTTTTTTTAACATTCTCTTAATACAGGTACCCTCAAATATATTTTCAATAATATTTGCCTACTTTAAGAATTACTTAAGCATATCTACCTATCGATAAATATAGATATGTACTGTATGTAAAAATTACATTTTCAGATTAAACCTTTCTTGCAGTTACACATATCAAGGAAAGAAAAATCCAGCCTAATTCCAGTTAACTCATTAAGTTGAATCCTTCCAGCTTATATTCATGGAATAAAATCTTTTTCTTCTCTGGAAGTTTTAGCAAGGAGTTATAACCCTGTATATGTGTATGGAGACTCTCAATCACTAGGTGACGGCTGTGTCAACCGTCCCACTGATTTAGACAGCAAAAGAAACTTCTGGGACATGCAATCTGACTGCCTGGGACTTTCCCAGCTGATGACCTTGGGGTCTGTCTCAGGCTTTCAGTCCCTCACTTGCATTACACATTTCCCTGCATGAAATGTGCCTTTAATTCCATAGCGAATCGACCAAGACATGATTATATAAATTTCTACAAATCAATCACGTATGTGTGAACAAACACACACGTTATTAGACCCAAATCTCCTTAAATTACATAACCTATTGGGGTTCATCTGGGAACTTAACAAGAAAACTATGGATCAGTCTACAGCCGAAATAGCCATCGCTGCGACTCCCTCTGCATCTGCTAGGGGAAATCCCTTCCATAAAACTAAGTAGTGTAACTTCCCCTTTGTAGCATTGAGAGTCAAGGAACTCCTTGAACTCAAAATGCTATTCTGCTTCTAACCATATTGGGGGGGGGGAGGGTGTTTTTGTGTGTGTGTGTGTGTGTGTGTGTGTGTGTCTTCAATAGCCAGTCTGAGCGGTGAGCTGCAGAAGGGCTTTAACAAACTACAGTGAAATAATGGGTGAATTTTGGCCAACTTCAATTCTACCGTCATTGGATTCACAATCCGGATGATAGGAAAAGGGATTACACTATCGTGGCAGTAGTAGGATCGGCTCAGACTCATGAGGCTCATTAAGGACTCTGTATAAAAACAAATCTTAGCTGCTAAATTAAAAGAATGTGAAATTGAAAAACTTTGCAAGCAACAGCCAACAATCTGGTGGAGAAATCAGACCTCTCACTTGAACCTTCTTCAAACAAGCAGGGATGGGAAAGGCAGAAGAGCCAGAGAAGGGGCTCAGCCCTGATACTTAGCCCAACAGAAGTATTGAGGCAACAACAAAAGGTATCAGATAACCTCTAATAAAGTTGTGCTTTGTTTTTTTTAAATCTAAAAGATACTTGAAGAATAATATGATAATTGTGTTTGATATTTTGGAATACCAGGAACAATATAATGAAAAACAACCAGGAATATTTCTACATGTAAAGAAGACCTTTTGAGTATTTGGATTTGGCAAAAACCCCAAGCAGGATTAGGGGTTCATCTTGTTCTGGTTTGTACTAGAAAGGTAATTTATGCACGTATGCCTAAGAAGGTATACAATATATTTGAATTATTACTCAAATGGTACTTGTAGGAAATTTTAGACAACTATAGGTAGTCATCGATTTACTAAAGGTCATTTACTGATTGTTCAAAGTTACAGAAGCACTGAAAAAAGTGACTTATGACAATTTTTCACATTTATGACCATTCCAACATCCCCAAGGTCATCTGATCAAACTTCAGATTCTTGGCAACTGATTCATGACAGTTGCATTGTCCCTGGATCACGCGATGACCTTTTGTGAGCTTCTGACATGCAAATCCAATGCAGAAGCCAGATTCATTTCACAACAGTGTTACTAACTTAAAAATTACAGTGATTCAATTAAGTAATGATGCAAGAAAACTTGTAAAATAAGGAAAAAAGCATTTAATAACTATCTCGCTTGGCAACAGAAATATTGCATTCAATTGCAGTCATAAAGTGAGAACTGGATTTTTATTGAAGCTCTTTCCACAGTTTCTTTATTGATATGGTTTCTCCCGTGTGTGGATGCTTCTATGGCAAGTAAAAGTGTTACTCCTTGCAAAGCACATTCCCCACTCCATGCATTCATATGTGGGTTTTTTCTCCAGTATGGATCCTTTTATGGGAATTGAGATCACAATTCTTTCTAAAGCCCTCTCCACGCTGCAAATATTTATATAACTTCTATCTTGTGTGGATCCTCTTGTGGGAATTAAGACGACTGCTACAAGTAAAGGTCTTTCGACAATACATACATTTATAAGGTTTTTCTCCTTTATGATTCCTTTGATGGATAAGAGACTTACAATAAGAGAAGATCTTTCCACACTCCATGCATTGATAATAGTTTCTCTCCTGTGTAGATTCTCTTGTGAGAATTAAGGCATCTTTCTAAAAGTAAAGGTCTTTCCACACTCCATGGATTCATATGGTTTCTCTCCTGTATGGATCCTGTTATGGGAGGCAAGATTACTACTCTTCCTAAAACCCTTTCCACACTCCATGCATTGATATGGCTTCTCTCCTGTGTGGATCCTCTTGTGGGAATTAAGATTACTGCTACAAGTAAAAGTCTTTCCACACTCCATACACTTATAAAGTCTTTCTCCTGTGTGGATCCTCTTGTGGGAGGAAAGGTTACTACTTTTCCTAAAACCTTTTCCACACTCTATGCATATATAAGGTCTCTCGCCTGTGTGGATCCTCTTGTGGGAATTAAGACTGCTGCTAAAAGTAAAGGCCTTTCCACACTCTATGCATATATAAGGTTTTTCACCTGTGTGGATCCTCTTGTGGGAATTAAAACTGCTGCTAAAAGTAAACGTCTTTCCACAGTCCATGCATTGATATGGCTTCTCTCCTGAGTGGATCCTCTTGTGGCAATAAAGACTACTGCTACAAGTAAAGGCCTTTCCACACTCCATACATTTATATGGTCTTTCTCCCGAATCGATCACTGTATGGTTAGGAAGCCAACTGACCAGAGGAAGATCTTTTTTAATTCCACTTTGATATTTCTTTGTTTCATCACTCTTTGGTTGCATCTGATCTACAAATTTCCTTTCCTCCCATTTCAAATGGATCGCTTGGTGTTCCTCCTTGCAATTCTTATTCTCTTGCCCATTAAAGCCTTGAAAAAGAAAAAGAAAAACTGTAGCTGTAGGGGAACAATCAAAACTTTTCTTCTTAAATTTAGTCAAAGAATCAACAATGTATTTAACTTTTTTTAAAAAAAATTGATTTATATGCCGCCCTTCTCAGGAGACTCAGGGCGGCTTACAATGCGTTAAGCAATAGCCTTCATACTTTTGTATATTTATACAAAGTCAGCTTATTGCCCTCACAAACTGGGTCCTCATTTTACCTACCTTAGAAAGGATGGAAGCCTGAGTCAACCTTGAGCCTGGTGAGATTTGAACTTACAGTAATTGCAGACAGCTGGTGTTAATCACAATGCTTTTAGTCAGCTGAGCTACCAGCTGTTTTGTTGGCAAACATGAAGAGTCCAAAGAAAGATTATAGCAAAGGCCCATTTCCAAGTGATCCCCATATAGTAGGACTGGATCACAGTCCTTATCTAATCTTTGGCCGGGGACAATTCCATGGTACTACAAACTCCCGAAGTGCATTGGACACTGTCGCATACAGCAACATACCCACCATCTCCCAACTTCAATAAAAGTTTAATCTCCACTTGTCTGCAGAGCAGAATCTTTGAAAGTCAAAGGGAATTTCTGGATGGCAATAGCTCCCCACCCTCAATTTATACTAATGCCAAATTCAGTACACAAGTGGGTATATCTCTAAGAAGGGAACATCCCTCTTAGAGGTCATCCGGTGAGTTATAGCAGCTCAGGGCCATTAGGAACCCAGTGACCAGGTTCAGAAGGGAATACCAACTCCTGGTAGCCAGAATTTTGATCAAGAGAGGCCTTTTCCTCAAATTCTTCCTAATATTTTATGAAATATTTTGTATTTTATTTGCATAAAGCTTTTTTTTTTAATTTCCTTTATGCAAAAAGCCTGGCTATGCAGTTTTTCCAATTTCTCTTTCAATAAATTTCCTTCTTCCATAAAGTCAGTTTGGTCAAAAGGTTAAGACACCAGGCTAGAAATTAATCAATTTACAGACATTTCTAACATTCTCTTTTCACTTTATCATTATTGGGTACCCAGTGTAGATTAATGAGAAAAAAATGAATTTCAACAACTGTAGGTAGAATCATGCTGCAGCATAACAAAATTGACAAAAGTAAAGGGAGTCTGAATACATTCTGAATGCATTCCATATCCTTCCCTTATTTTTTTTTAAATAATAAAGGCAGCAGACAAACGCAATAGTCCTTCCTCCTGCTATTTTCCCTGTAAGAACCCTGTGAAATGGGTTGAGCTGAGAGAGACTGGCCCAAAGTCACCCAGCCAGGATTCATTCCAATGGAAGAACTAGTATTCACAGTCACCCTATTTCTAGCCTGATATTTTAACCATTTGACCAACCTGACTTCATGGAAGAAGGAAATTTATTCAAAGAAAAATTGGAAAACTGCATAGCCTCCCTTATTAGATAAAAGAAATTGTTTTCCTTAAGAGAATGCCTTCTGCTCATAAAATACAAAATACTCATTCATGCTACGGCATAATATAATTGAAAAAAGTGAAGGGCATCTGAATATTTTCTCAATGCACTGTAAATAAGTGATTTTTTTTCAGAAATAACTTTTAAGCCTCTTCTCTATGTTCTTGGACAGAAAAAGGGATTCTTACTTAGGTAAGCCAGATTCCTGGAATTCTCCAGCATGACTTCTCCGTGGAGCGCCTTTTGGTCAGCATCCAGTTGAGACCACTCCTCCTCAGAGAAATACACGGCCACTTCCTCAAAAGACACAACATCCTGAACAAGGACACAAGTTTTCTTAGTAACAGATAATCCCAAGAATAATGGGATAATTTTATTCCACCAATTCTAGATCTAGTGAACAAAATGGGTATCCTCTGCAGAATTAAGAATAAGGTCTCACCGCTTTTGGCTGATGGTACAACTAAATCATGGTTGATCAAGATGGAAGTGTTTGGAATGCCTTACGGTATAGGCAACTAAAATATTCTTGGTCAATGGACAGTTGGATCTTAAATCCAATACTTATCAGTGACTCCCATTTTTCCTAGGATGGGCAGAGCAAAATACTGGCAAAACCCACCTGATATGTTTTCCAATGGCTCATTTTATACACTGAGGGACCAACGTACCCCAACTCCACACCTTCATGAAGAAGTTGGAAGAGCTTGTAATAGTACTCTATATGTGTACGGAGATTCTCAATCACCAGGTCACGGTAGTCCCAAAGATGCTTTTCAAAAGGCAAAAAAGAATATTTTCTTTATAATGGTGTGTGAGAACAAACCCGGGAGACAGAAGAAACAGCCCCGATGCTGACAACAGTCTGGTCAATGAAATCTGATAGTGAAGCAGGAGGGGTGGAGAAAGCAACTCACAAAGGATCCCCTCAGAAGGGAGAAGGTAGGCTAAACTAAGTGTGAATGTTCAGTGACCTGATATCAAATTCATATTCCTTAGAAACAGCAATTTTATACATTGAACTCTAGAACAAAATGAAATCCATCCAAGATTTATGGACCTTTTCCGATCTTATTTCTCCTTACCTGAAGTAGAGGTTCAGCTAATCCTTCATCTCCAGGACAAAGAGGTGATTGTAAAAACTCCAAGGACAACTTCCTACACTCTATGAGTAAGAGAAAAATAGTGGAAGCAGATTTGTTAAAGAGAGAGACTCCTAAAAGTGGTGTGGAATAATCAGTTAAATGTTAAAATCTCACCTCACACAGAAAGAACTATACTTACCTTGCATAGCATCTTGACTTTGATCTTTCTGGAAGTTCTCCCTGAACAGCAGCTCTTGAGAAGAACTGAATGAATCTTTCCCCCTCTTAGGATATTCAGTCACAGCTTCCATGGATTTCTGGACATGATGTAAGAGGAGAAACAAAGCAAGGGTGAAATCCAGCAGGTTCTGACAGGTTCTGGAGAACCGGTAGTGGAAATTTTGAGTAGTTTAGAGAACCAGCAAATATCACCTCTGGCTGGCCCCAGAGTGGGTTGAGAATGGAGATTTTGCAGTATCCTTCCCCTGCCACACCCACCAAGCCACGCCGCAGAACCGGTAGTGAAAAAATTTGGATTTCACCATTGAAACAAAGGAAGAACACAGAGATAGAAATGAATTATCATACTGCATCTTCAAACTAGTAGACCCCAATGTCCATTGCTGAAACAAAATGGAAGAATTACCCCAAATACATCCTGCCCTTACGAATTAATAATCCCAGAAAATTCTGCCAGAAAGGAATTGATAACTTCAGAGAGTTCCTCTTTTGAGCTGCCATGATTCCATTCTCCCACCTGCAACTCTTCCTGCATGTTTTCCTCCTCCTGAGTCAGCAAGAAGCCTTCAGCCAGGGACACCGCCTGGGAACTGGTCTCTGCTCCACACTCCCGCACCCATTTCACCATCTCTGGGGGAAGGACAGCCAGCAATTGTTCCAGGAGCACCAGATCCAGCATCTGAGCCTTGGTGTGTTTTTCTGGTTGCAGCCACTGATGACAAAGGTAGTGAAGCTGAGTGCAAACATCTCGGGGACGGCTCCCCTCCTGAAACTGCACTTTTGTGAAGTGACAGCATTGGACCTCTGAACTATTGGATGCCTCTTCGTGGCTCTTCTGCCCAGGACTTGCCCCATTCTTCCCACAGCTCCAAGGCTGAGCAGCTGGAGGGCCTTTTCTAACTTCTGCATCTGCTGGGTGTTGTCCCTCCATCTTCTCTCTGGTCTCTAATAAAGCTCCAAAATGGACTCAAGGATCTCCACAGGTCTTTCTGTTCACAAGAGGTCTGGACAAATTTTCCAAGGCCATTCAGCTCTCTTCCCAGACAAGATTCGTAAGATTCCCGAAGAACCAGAAATTTTTTTGATGTATCTGAGATGGAAAAATGGGGACGAGGGGAAGAAAGGGAAGAGAAGATTAAGTAAAGAAATTTGTATGAACCCACCAAGGTGGGAGGTGAAATCTTATTAGTTAGCTTGGCAGAAATTATACATAATGCTCCTTCTTACTGTTTCCCCCCCAAAAACAGCCCTGTGAAGTAGATTGGGTTGAGGCTTTCATGCCAAAGGTGGACTAGAAACTTAATCTCCTGGTTTCAAAGCCTTGTGCTTTCATCACTGAGCCAAATGGCTCTCTTTGGCTAATCATAATTTAATACAGTATAATTTAAAAGACAGTTTGATATCATTTCTATGGCTGCATAGTTAAGAACAAGTCCTTGCACCCCTTGCACCCAACTCCTTACACACGGAGTTGAAGCCTTGCATGCAAAGCCAGCAGGAGGGACTCCGACCGCTCGCTTCTCTCGGCCTAAGAAGGGGGAGGGAGGGAAACCCCTTCGGAAAACGGGGCCATGAAATATGCAGGAAACTGTCCAGGAGTCACGACTGACTTGGAGGCACAAATCTCTGTTTTGCAAACACTTCTCCTCCTCCTCTCCCTCCATGCAAAGCTTTCCCCATCGAAATGGATTGTAAATCCTCTTTTCTGAGACCCTGTTTTTTTTCCCCCCTGGGGGCAAATGGAAGGGCGCGAAGCTTTGCTTTCTCCCCTGCCTGGCCCTTGCATGCACAGGGACGGCAGGGGAACATGGGGCCAATGGCTCCCCCTCCCCCTTTCCACGACTCCGAGCCTGAGGAATGTGAGCGTCCAGCGCGGGAGAAAAGTCACCCACCCCCCCAGTCACTGAACCCCCCACTCACGTCTGTACCTCCAAGTCCAAGTCTTCCCTGCAGCCTCTTCCCTTCCCTGAAAGGCTCCTCCGGGCACTGGAGAACCTTTCAAGCCTCGGGAGTCTCGCACCCCTCTCGACTTGGGAAAGAGACCGGCGCATGCTCAGTTCTCTCGTAAGCGACGGAGGGAGGGAGCTGCACCGCTCTTCGAGGGCGCCCCCTAGAGGATCCTGTGTGCATTGCGACAAAATCTTGCAACGGCTCAGGACGTCATAAATTTGAAGGAATGGTTTCCTCTAACGTTGCCTATCTAGACAGGAAATGACCTCTCCAGCAAGCATCAGTTTCTAGATTTTCCCTCTTTTTAATGCCTAAGAACCGTCTGTGTGATCTTGTGAAGATTGAGAAAATCTCTGTGGAGACTCAAAAATCCCTTTCCTGAAGAGCAGCTTCTCTGAAGGGTCTCCAGGGATTCCCAGGAGGAGGCATCAAAAATGAGCAAAATCCTGTCAGAAATGGCAGGGCGGTCAAAAGACAAAGAACAAGAGTCTCTCTATGAAACCCAGCCTGTGTCTTGTGGCTGATGGCAAACTCAGTCTTGAAGTGAGGGGAGATCAGGGGGCTGGCAGAGACACAGGGAGGAAAGCGACAGGTTGAGGAAAATTAAGATTTGTATTGATTTTTCTATTTCAATTATTACAGCTTCCTTTCCAAATTCATGCCTATGGGTAGCCAAGGAGGATTAGAAACACCATAGGCAGCCTGTAATGTGAATAATCTTGAAGTATAGATCCTGATGAAAAAGAGGTGTAGGAAGTTAGCACCCACCCCTTTCCCTTTTTTCGCCCCGAAACCACGGATGATCTCACCCAGCGACTTCACATAAATGTTGAACAAAAGGGGCAAGAGAACCGACCCTTGCGGCACCCCACACACACTTTACACACACCCCACACACACCCCACACACTTTATGTGAAGCCGCTGGGTGAGATCATCCGTGGTTTCGGGGTAAATGCCATCTGTATGCTGATGACACTCAGCTGTACATCTCCACCCCGGACCACCCCAACGATGCCCTTGATGTGATGTCCCGGTGCCTGGAGGCCGTGCGGATCTGGATGGGGAGAAACAGACTCAGGCTCAACCCGTCCAAGACCGAGTGGCTGTGGCTTCCGGCATCCCGATATAGTCAGTTGGTGCCATCGCTGACTATTGGGGGCGAGTTGTTGGCCCCCACAGAGAGGACTTGCAACTTGGGTGTCCTCCTGGATACACGGCTGTCTTTAGAAGAGCATATGACGGCCATGGCCAGGGGGGCTTTTTATCAGGTTCGCCTGATCCACCAGTATCATCCCTTTCTGGATCGGGATGCCTTACGCACGGTCACTCATGCTCTCGTCACGTCCCGCCTGGACTACTGTAATGCTCTCTACATGAGGCTCCCCTTGAAGAGCACCCGGAGGCTCCAACTGGTCCAGAATGCGGCCGCGCGGGTGGTTAAGGGGGCGACTCAGCACTCCCATGTAACACCTCTGCTGTGCGAGCTGCACTGGCTCCCGGTGGTCTTCCGGGTGCGCTTCAAGGTATTGGTTATCACCTTTAGAGCGCTCCATGGCTTAGGACCCGGGTATTTACGAGACCGCCTTCTGCCACCGATAGCCTCCCACCGACCAGTACGCTCCCACAGAGAGGGGCTCCTCAGGGTGCTGTTGGCCAAACAATGCTGACTGGCAGCCCCCAGGGGGAGAGCCTTCTCTGTGGGGGCACCTACCCTCTGGAATGAGCTGCCCCCGGAGATATGCGGATCCCGGATCTGCGCACCTTTCACCGTGCCCTAAAGACGTTTTTATTTCAACAAGCCGGGCTGGCTTAACTCTTTTAAATTGTTTTAATTTTTAAATTGTTTAATTATGGGTTTTAATACAGGGATGTTTTTCATTGTGGGCCAAATTGATTTAATCGGATTTTAATACTGTTTTTAAATTTTGTATTTCTTTTGTTTTATTTGTTGTCTGTTCACTGCCCCGAGTCCTTCGGGAGAAGGGCGGTATATAAATATAAATAATAAAATAATTGATTAGATCCGCGACTCTCAGCTGATTTGCTCTCAGCTGTTTTGCGCAGGGATCTGGCGCTTGATACAAAGAGCCAGAGAAGGGGTTCAGCCCGGATACTTAGCCCGACAGAAGTATTGAGGCAACAACAAAAGGTATCAGATAACCTCTAATAAAGTTGTGGTTTTTATTTTTATCTAAAATATATTTGAAGAATAACGTGACAATTGTGTTTGATATTTTGGAATACCAGGAACAATATAATGAAAAACAACCAGGAATATTTCTACATGCAGAGAACACATTTGAGTATTTGGTCTTGGCAAAAACCACAACCAGGATTAGGGATTCACCTTGTTCTGATTTGCACTAGAAAGGAAATTTATGTATGCATGGCTAAGAAGGTATACAATACATTTGAATTATTTTTTAAAAAATTTAATTTATATGCCGCCCTTCTCCGGAGACTCAGGGCAGCGTACAATGCGTTAAGCAATAGCCTTCATACTTTTTTTATACAAAGTCAGCTTATTGCCCCCACAATCTGGGTCCTCATTATACCTACCTTTGAAAGGATGGAAGGCTGAGTCAACCTTGAGCCTGGTGAGATTCGAACTTGCAGTAATTGCAGGCAGTTGATGTCACTTTAGCACCACTTAAGCTGCTACGCCACCAAGGCTCTTATTATTACTCAATTATATATGAATTATTACTCAAATGATACTTGTATGAGATTTTAGACAACTATAGGCAGCCGACAATTTACTATAGTTTACTAATTGTTCAAATTTCAGAAGCACTGAAAAAAGTGACTTATAACCATTTTTCACATTTATGTAACTTGCATAACATCCCGATGGTCACCTGATCAAACCTCAGTTGCTTGGCAACTGATTCATGACAGTTTTTTTTTTTTTATTAGATTTATATGCCACCCTTCTCCGGAGACTCAGGGCAGCTTACAATGTCTTAAGCAATAGCCTATGTCCGTGATGGCGAACCTATGGCACGCGTGCCACAGGTGGCACATGGAGCCATATCTGTGGGCACACGAGCATTGCCCTAACTCAGCTCCAGTGTGCATGCATGTGCCGGCCAGCTGATTTTCAGGCCTTCTGGGCCCACCGGAAATCGGGAAAAGGTCCATTTCCGGCCTCTGGAGGGCCTCTGGGGGGGTGGGGAAGGCGGTTTTTGCCCTCCCCAGGCTCTAAGAAAGCCTCTGGAGCCTGGGGAGGATGAAAAACGGGCCGACCAGGCCCACTGTGCCATCGTGTGCCAAAAGCGGGGGTTGCACGGGAGGTGGTGTCTGTGTGCATGCACGGCGGGTGGGGTGCATTGAATTATGGGTGTGGGAATGCGTGTGCACAACACGCCTGCGCTCCCCCCGTTTTTGGCACATGACGGCAAAAAGGTTAGCCATCACTGGCCTATGTTAAGCATATTGTTGTTGTGTTACCAACCAGCAGAGTGTAGAGCACAGACAAACGTTGCTGAGAGCAATGAATAAGAGATGTGCAAACTGGTTTATCAAAAGTTTACTTTATAGTGAAAAAACAATCTCATAGTCTTTAAATCAATCCAAGTCTTTGCCAGTTAAATCAGTCCAGTGATACAAAATCTTCTTACCATACAAACAGTAGTTGGTTAGAATAACAAACTCACTCTGGTTCACAAACCACGATGGTAGCAGATCCATCCAACGATGATAGCACAATGGTAGCAACTACATACACTATGGTAGCTTATCATCAACTGAATATGTTACAGTACCTTTCTTAAATACGTTTACAACCAGTGATTATCTAATTACAGCATGACTCAGCATTACAATGAATGAGCAGTAAAACTTTAAAGTCACACAATACATATTCATATTAAAGTCACAGAACACATATATTGCCTGGACAACTTGTTAGGCTCAAACCATATCTTAACAGCTTTCATACTTTTGTATATTTTATACAAAGTCAGCTTATTGCCCCCACAAACTGGGTCCTCAATTTACCTACCTTAGAAAGGATGGAAGGCTGAGTCAACCTTGAGCCTGGTGAGATTCGAACTTACAGTAATTGCAGGCAGCTGAATGTTAATAACAGGCTTTAGTCTGCTGAGCTATCCAGGCTCCAGTTGCGTTGTCCCTGGGTCATGTGAACACCTTTTGTGAGCTTCTGGCATGCAAATCCAATGGGGAAGCCAGATTCATTTCACAACAGTGTTACTAACTTAAAAATTACAGTGATTCACTTAAGAAATGGTGCAAGAAAACTTGCAAAATGAGGAAAAAAGCATTTAATAACTGTCTGGCTTGGCAACAGAAATATTGCACTCAATTGCAGTGATAAAGCGAAAACTACCTAGATTTTTATTGAAACACTTTCCAGTATTTCTTTATTGATATGGTTTCTCCCGTGTGTGGATGCTTCTATGGCAAGTAAAAGTGTTACTCCTTGCAAAGCACATTCCTCACTCCATGCATTCATATGTGGGTTTTTTCTCCAGTTTGGATCCTTTTATGGGAATTCAGATCACAATTCTTTCTAAAGCCCTCTCCACTCTGCAAACATTTATATAACTTCTATCTTGTGTGGATCCTCTTGTGGGAATTAAGACAACTGCTGCAAGTAAAGGTCTTTTGACAATACATACATTTATAAGGTTTTTCTCCTTTATGATTCACTTGATGGATAAGAGTCTTACAATAAGAGAAGGTCTTTCCACACTCCATGCATTGATACGGTTTCTCTCCTGTGTGGATTCTCCTGTGGGAATTAAGGCATCTTTCTAAAAGTAAAGGTCTTTCCACGCTCCATGGATTCATATGGTTTCTCTCCTATATGGATCCTGTTATGGGAGGCAAGATAACTACTCTTCCTAAAACCCTTTCCACACTCCATGCATTGATATGGCTTCTCTCCTGGGTGGATCCTCTTGTGGGAATTAAGATTACTACTTTTACTAAAACCTTTTCCACACTCCATGCATATCTAAGGTCTTTCGCTTGTGTGGATCCTCATGTGGAAATTAAAACTGGTGCTACAAGTAAATGTCTTTCCACACTCCATGCATTTATAAGGCTTCTCTCCTGTGTGGATCCTCTTGTGGGTATTAAGATTATTGCTACTAGTAAAGGTCTTTCCACACTCCATGCATTGATATGGCTTCTCTCTTGTGTGGATCCTCTTGTGGGAATTAAGATTACCGCTACAAGTAAAGATCTTTCCACACTCCATGCATTTATAAGGTCTTTCGCCTGTGTGGATCCTCTTGTGGGAGGAAAGATTACTACTCTTCCTAAAACCTTTTCCACACTCCATGCATTTATAAGGTCTTTCGCCTGTGTGGATTCTCTTGTGGGAATTAAGACTGCTGCTAAAAGTAAATGCCTTTCCACACTCCATGCATTGATATGGCTTCTCTCCTGTGTGGATCCTCTTGTGGGAATTAAGATTACCGCTACAAGTAAAGATCTTTCCACACTCCATGCATTTATAAGGTATTTCTCCTGTGTGGATCCTCTTGTGGGAATTAAGATTACCGCTACAAGTAAAGATCTTTCCACACTCCATGCATTTATAAGGTCTTTCGCCTGTGTGGATCCTCTTGTGGGAATTAAGACTGCTACTAAAAGTAAAGGCCTTTCCACACTCCATGCATTGATATGGCTTCTCTCCTGTGTGGATCCTCTTGTGGGAATTAAGACCACTGCTACAAGTAAAGATCTTTCCACACTCCATACATTTATAAGGTATTTCTCCTGTGTGGATCCTCTTGTGGGAATTAAGACCACTGCTAAAAGTAAAGATCTTTCCACACTCCATACATTTATAAGGCTTCTCTCCTGTGTGGATCCTCTTGTGGGACTTAAGACTACTGTTACAAGTAAAAGTCTTTCCACACTCCATGCATTTATAAAGTCTTTCTCCTGTGTGGATCCTCTTGTGGGAGTAAAGATTACTACTCTTCCTAAAATCTTTTCCACACTCCATGCATTTATAAGGTCTTTCGCCTGTGTGGATCCTCTTGTGGGAATTAAGACAGCTGCTAAAAGTAAAGGCCTTTCCACACTCCATGCATTGATAAGGCTTCTCTCCTGTGTGGATCCTCTTGTGGGAATTAAGACTACTGTTACAAGTAAAGGCCTTTCCACATTCCATGCATTTATATGGTCTTTCTCCCAAATCGGTTACTGGATGGTTTGGAAGCCAACTGACCAGAGGAAGATCTTTTTTAATTCCACTTTGATATTTCTTTGTTTCATCACTCTTTGGTTGCATCTGATCTACAAATTTCCTTTCCTCCCATTTCAAATGGATTGCTTGGTGTTCCTCCTTGCAATTCTTATTCTCTTGCCCATTAAAACCTTGAAGAAGAAAAAGAAAAACTGTAGCTGTAGGGGAACAATCAAAACTTTTCTTCTTAAATTTAGCCAAGAATCATCAATGTATTTCAGCTGTTTTGTTGGCAAACATGAAGAGTCCAAACGAAGATTATAGCAAAGGCCCATTTCCAAGTGATCCCCATATAGTTGGACTGGATCACAGTCCTTATCTAATCTTTGGCAGGGGACAATTCCACGGTACTACAAACTCCCGAAGTGCATTGGACACTGTTGCATACAGCAACATACCCACCATCTCCCAACTTCAATAAAAGTTTAATCTCCACTTGTCTGCAGAGCAGAATCTTTGAAAGTCAAAGGGAATTTCTGGATGGCAATAGCTCCCCACCCTCAATTTAGACTAATGCCAAATTCAGTACACAAGTGGGCATATCTCTAAGAAGGGAACATCCCTCTTAGAGGTCATCCGGTGAGTTATAGCAGCTCAGGGCCATTAGGAACCCAGTGACCAGGTTCAGGAGGGAATACCAACTCCTGGTAGCCAGAATTTTGCTCAAGAGAGGCCTCTTCCTCAAATTCTTCCTAATATCTTTTATGAAATATTTTCTATTTGATGAGCAGAAAGTTTTTTTTTAAATTTCCTTTATGCAAAAAGCCCGGCTATGCAATTTTTCCAATTTCTCTTTCAATAAATTTCCTTCTTCCATAAAGTCAGTTTGGTCAAAAGGTTAAGACACCAGGCAAAAACTAATAAATTTACAGACATTTCTAACATTCTCTTTTCACTTTGTCATTATTGGGTATCCAGTGTAGATTAATGAGAAAAAAATGAATTTCAACAACTGTAGAATCAAGCTGCAGCGTAACAAAATTGACAAAAGTAAAGGGAGTCTGAATACATTCTGAATGCATTCCATATCCTTCCCTTATTTTTTTTTAAATAATAAAGGCAGCAGACAAACGCAATAGTCCTTCCTCCTGCTATTTTCCCTATAACAACCCTGTGAAATGGGTTGAGCTCAGAGAGAGTGGCCCAAAGTCACCCAGCCAGCATTCATGCCAATGGAAGAACTAGTATTCACAGTCACCCAGTTTCTAGCCTGGTATTTTAACCATTTGACCAACCTGACTTCATGGAAGAAGGAAATTTATTCAAAGAAAAATTGGAAAACCGCATAGCCTCCCTTATTAGATAAAAGAAATGGTTTTCCTTAAGAGAATGCCTTCTGCTCATAAAATACAAAATACTCATTCATGCTGCAGCATAATATAATTGAAAAAAGTGAAGGGGATCTGAATATTTTCTCAATGCACTGTAAATAAGTGATTTTTTTTCAGAAATAACTTTTAAACCTCTTCTCTATGTTCTTGGACAGAAAAAGGGATTCTTACTTAGGTAAGCCAGATTCCTGGAATTCTCCAGCATGACTTCCCCATGAAGCGCTTTCTGGTCAGCATCCAGTTGAGACCACTCCTCCTCAGAGAAATACACGGCCACTTCCTCAAAAGACACAACATCCTGAACAAGGACACAAGTTTCCTCAGTAACAGATAATCCCAAGAATAATGGGATAATTTTATTCCACCAATTCTAGGAAAGAGATCTAGGAAACAAAATGGGTATCCTCTGCAGAATTAAGAATAAGGTCTCACCGTTTTTGGCAGATGGTACAACTAAATCATGGTTGATCAAGATGGAAGTGTTTGGAATGCCTTAAGGTATAAGCAACTAAAATATTCTTGGTCAATTGACAGTTGGATCTTAAATCCAATACTTATCAGTGACTCCCATTTTTCCTAGGATGGGCAGAGCAAAATACTGGCAAAACCCACCTGACATGTTTTCCAATGGCTCATTTTATACACTGAGGAACCAACGTACCCCAACTCCACACCTTCATGAAGAAGTTGGAAGAGCTTGTAATAGTACTCAATATGTCTATGGAGATTCTCAATCACCAGGTCACGGTAGTCCCAAAGATGCTTTTCAAAAGGCAAAAAAGAATATTTTCTTTATAATTGTGTGTGAGAATAACCCCGGGAGACAGAAGAAACAGCCCCGATGCTGACAACAGTATGGTTGATGAAATCTGATGGTGAAGGAGGAGGGGTGGAGAAAGCGACTCACAAAGGATCCCCTCAGAAGGGAGAAGGTAGGTAAACTGAGTGTGAATGTTCAATGACCTGATGTCAAATTCATATTCCTTAGAAACAGCAATTTTATACATTGAACTCTAGAACAAAATGAAATCCATCCAAGATTTCATTGGATGGACCTTTTCCGATCTTATTTCTCCTTACCTGAAATAGCAGTTCAGCTAATCCTTCATCTCCAGGACAAAGAGGTGATTGTAAAAAATCCAAGGACAACTTCCTACTCTCTATGAGTAAGAGAAAAATAGTGGAAGCACATTTGTTAAAGAGAGAGACTCCTAAAAGTGGTGTGGAATAATCAGTTAAATGTTAAAATTTCACCTCACACAGAAAGAACTATACTTACCTTGCGTAGCATCTTGACTTTGATCTTTCTGGAAGTTCTCCCTGAACAGCAGCTCTTGAGAAGATCTGAATGAATCTTTCCCCCTGTTAGGATACTCAGTCACAACTTCCAGGGATTTCTGGACATGATGTAAGAGGAGAAACAAAGCAGGGGTGAAATCCAGCAGGTTCTGACAGGTTCTGGACAACCGGCAGTGGAAATTTTCAGTAATTTGGAGAACCGGCAAATACCACATCTGGCTGGCCCCCGAGTTGGGCGAGAATGGAGATTTTGCAGTATCCTTCCCCTGGAGTGGGGTGGGAATGGAGATTTTTTTAAAAAAATCTGATTTATATGCCGCCCTTCTCCGGAGACTCAAGGTGGCTTACAATGCATTAAGCAATAGCCTTCATACTGTTGTATATTTATACAACGTCAGCTTATTGCCCCAACAATCTGGGTCCTCATTTGACCTACCTTAGAAAGGATGGAAGGCTGAGTCAATCTTGAGCCTGGTGAGATTTGAACTTACAGTAATTGCAGGCAGCTGAATGTTAATAACAGGCTATTAGTTTGCTGTGCCACCAGGCTCTATTTTGCAGTATCCTTCCCCTGCCACACCAAGCCACGCCACAGAACCGGTAGTGAAAAAATTTGGATTTCACCATTGAAACAAAGGAAGAGCACAGAGATAGAAATGAATTATCATACTGCACCTTCAAACTAGCAGACCCCAATGTTCATTGCTGAAACAAAATGGAAGAATTACCCCAAATACATCCTCTGGAAGAATAGAACAGATGCCCTTAGGAATTAATAATCCCAGAAAATTCTGCCAGAAAGAAATTGACAACTTCAGAGAGATCCTCTTTAGAGCTGCCATGATTCCATTCTCCCACCTGCAACTCTTCTTGCATGTTTTCCTCCTCTTGAGTCAGCAAGAAGCCTTCAGCCAGGGACACCGCCTGGGAACTGGTCTCTGCTCCACACTCCCGCACCCATTTTGCCATCTCTGGGGGAAGGACAGCCAGCAATTGTTCCAGGAGCACCAGGTCCAGCATCTGAGCCTTGGTGTGTTTTTCTGGTTGCAGCCACTGACGACAAAGGTAGTGAAGCTGAGTGCAAACATCTCGGGGACGGCTCCCCTCCTGAAACTGCACTTTTGTGAAGTGACAGCATTGGACCTCTGAACTATTGGATGCCTCTTCGTGGCTCTTCTGCCCAGGACTTGCCCCATTCTTCCCACAGCTCCAAGGCTGAGCAGCTGAAAGGCCTTTTGTAACTTCTGTGTCTGCTGGGTGTTGTCCCTCCATCTTCTCTCTGGTCTCTAATAAAGCTCCAAAACGGACCCATGGATCTCCACAAGTCTTTCTGTTCACAAGAGGTCTTGCCAAATTTTCCAAGGCCATTAAGCTCTCTCTTCCCAGACAAGATTCTTAAGATTCTGGAAGAACCAGAAAATTTTTTGATGTATCTGAGATGGAAAAATGGGGAGGAGGGGAGGGAAGGGAAGATTAAGTAAAGAAATTTGTATGAACCCACCAAGGTTTGTAGGAAAATCTTATTAGTCAGCTTGCTCTCTCTACATATCGGAAAATTTGCCTTGAACCCTTCAGGATCAATGTCTAACAAAATATTGGAAAAATACATTTAAATATGTTTTTGATTTCTACTTCCTAGTTTCTATTAAAAATTTAGTTTTTATTTTTATGTCTTATTTTTATAAATTACTCTAGGCAGAAATTATACATAATACTCCTTCTTACTGTTTTTGCCCCAACAACAGCCCTGTGAAGTAGACTTAATGTGAATAAAGTAGGAATCATACAGGGTCAGTTACATGAACACTAAAGGACCCTCTCTATTCACATTACTATAAGGGAGAAATGTGCTTCTTTGGAGATTATATTAAAAATCAGCTAAATCCCATTATTGGTAATATATCTTCTGATGAGGCCTAGCTGTCACGGAAGGACAGCCATAAGGAAAACATCTGAGGGGCCTCACTGTCAAAGACACAAGGACATATATGTTACAAAGAGTTACTTAATCCAATAAACTTACCTAAGGACAGCAATAAATCTCCTTTATTAGTAATTACAGAACTAAGGAAGGTTGTCTAGCTAAAGATAATCTTATAAAACTAGAAAATAATGGTTTAGTAATTAGGAAGTGTCAATTATCATATAACAAGTGTATGTTAACCATATATGGAAAAATGCATGAGCTCACCGAATCCTTTGTCTTGGATATGTATAAAAGCCGTTGTATCAGAACTCTTCTTTTGTTCAGAATTTCAGGTACAAATCTGGCTCTGAACCTGCGCAATAAACTGTATCTGGCTGACCCAGGAATGTTTTTCAGTCTTTCATTCCATAACAGATTGGGCTGAGAACTGGGATGGGCTCAAGCCTTTCATGCTGTTGTAGAATGAAGGGACCAAACAACATTCCTGGGTCAGCCAGAGACAGTTTTATTGCGCAAGGTTCAGAGGCAGATTTGTACCTGAAGCTTTGAACAACCCAAGAGCTGTGATATCTCTGTTTTTATACATTTCTAAGACAAAGGATTCAGTGAGATCATACATTTTCCATATATGGTTAACATGAGATCATACATTCTCCATATATGGCTAACACACACCTGTCATATGATAATTGACACATTTCCTCATTAGTAAACCATTATTTTTAGTTTATAAGATCTTTAGCTAGACAACCTTTCTAAAGTGCTGTGGTTGCTAATGGGAAATTTACTGCTATCCTTGGGTAAATTTATTGGATTAAGTAACTCTTTGTAACATATATGTCTTTGTGTCATTCACAGTGAGGTCACTCAGATGTTTTCATTTATGGCTGTCCTTCCGTGACATCTAGGTCTCATCATAAGATATATTACCACTTAATGGGGTTTAGCTGCTTTTAATGTAATCTCCAAGCAAGCACTTTTCTCTCTTATAATAATGTGAATAGAGAGGGTCCTTTAGAGCTCATGTATCTGACTCTGTATGATTCCTTTCTTTTATCCACATTAATGCCAAAGGTTGGACTAGAAGTTAATCTCCTGGTTTCAAAGCCTTGTGCTTTCATCACTGAGCCAAATGGTCTCTCTGGCTAATCATAATTTAATACAATATAATTTAAAAGACAGTTTAATAGCATTTCTATTCCTGCATAGTTTAAGAAGTCCTTGTGCACCTTGCACCCAACTTGCACACGGAGTTGAAGCCTTCCATGCAAAGCCAGCAGGAGGGACTCCGACCGCTCGCTTCTCTCGGCCTAAGAAGGGGGAGGGAGGGAAACCCCTTCGGAAAACGGGGCCATGAAATATGCAGGAAACTGTCCAGGAGTCACGACTGACTTGGAGGCACAAATCTCTGTTTTGCAAACACTTTTCCTCCTCCTCTCCCTCCATGCAAAGCTCTTACCGTCGAAATGCATTGTAAATCCTCTTTTCTGCGACCCTGTTTTTTTTTCCCCCTGGGGGCAAATGGAAGGGCGCGAAGCTTTGCTTTCTCCCCTGCCTGGCCCTTGCATGCACAGGGACGGCAGGGGAACATGGGGCCAATGGCTCCCCCTCCCCCTTTCCACGACTCCGAGCCTGAGGAATGTGAGCGTCCAGCGCGGGAGAAAAGTCACCCACCCACCCAGTCACTGAACCCCCCACTCACGTCTGGACCTCCAAGTCCAAGTCTTCCCTGCAGCCTCTTCCCTTCCCTGAAAGGCTCCTCCGGGCACTGGAGAACCTTTCAAGCCTCGGGAGTCTCGCACCCCTCTCGACTTGGGAAAGAGGCCGGCGCATGCTCAGTTCTCTCGCAAGCGACGGAGGGAGGGAGCTGCACCGCTCTTCGAGGGCGCCCCCTAGAGGATCCTGTGTGCATTGCGAGAAGACCCTGCAAGGGCTCAGGACGTCATGTTCCACACGTGTCTGGGATGATGGGCATTAAATTTGAAGGAAAGGTTCCCTCTAAGATTGCCTATCTAGAAAGGAAGTGGCCTGTCCGGCAGGCGTCAGTTTCTAGATTTTCCCTCTTTTTAATGCCTAAGAACGGTCTGTGATCTTGTGAAGATTGAGAAAATCTTTGTGGAGACTCAAAAATCCCTTTCCTGAAGAGCAGCTTCTCTGAAGGGTCTCCAGGGATTCCCAAGAGAAGGCCTCAAAAATGAGGAAAATCCTGTCAGAAATGGCAGGGCGGTCAAAAGACAAGGAAGAAAAGTCTCTCTATGAAACCCAGCCTGTGTCTTGTGGCGGATGGCAAACTCAGCCTTGAAGTGAGGGGAGATCAGGGGGCTTGCAGAGACACAGGGAGGAAAGTGAAAGGTTGAGGAAATTTGAGATTTGTATTGATTTTTCTTTAGTGAGTTCAATTATTACAGCTGCCATTCTAAATTCAGGCCTCTGCTTAGCCAAGGAAACACTAAAGGCAGCCTGTAATACTGAGAATAACCATACGTCCCAATGAAAATGAAGCATTAAAAGAAAATTCCCAAAATCGAGTGAAAGCTCAAAGTTGTGCACCTTTAAATTTTTTTACCTCAAAACAAGCTGCCATGATGGAGAAATTAAGATTGGGAGAATAAAGTCTCATATGTGACTAGAGAAAAAGTGGAATCACAAAATGAAGGAAAGCAAATACTGAAAAATGAATATAAATCTCAAATACTACGAGGCAAAAAAAAAAGAGAGAGAGATGAATAGTTTTATTTTGGTTGTTGAATAGGCAATACACCTCAGGAAATTTGAGTAGGAACCTTAAGATCTTTGGAGTAAAAGAAAATTTTTTCTAGTCAAATGTAAAGATGATTTTACCCTTTCCTGAAGCTAAAATCCCTACTAAGTCATTCATGCCCTAGTCACTTCCCGTCTTGACTATTTCAACAAGCTCTATATGGGGCTGCCATTTGTTGTAAATCAGAGGTCCAGGCTTTTGCTCTGTTTCAAGATGTTTTCCAAAATGTCTCTAAGATATCTCTCCCGGTCTCCCCGAGAGCTTTATTTTTATAGTTTTACACAAGCAGATAAAAGGTAGCACAGTAACAGGGTTCTGGTTGGATAACTTATTCACCCCCCTCTCAAGATGCCGTCCTCTCTAGGTGAGATTATCCGTCCTCTCTAGGTGAGATTATTAAGGCCTCAAAAATGAGGAAAATCCTGTCAGAAATGGCAGGGCGGTCAAAAGACAAGGGAGAAAAGTCTCTCTATAAAACCCAGCCTGTGTCTTGTGGCGGATGGCAAAGGGGCTCAGCCCTGATACTTAGCCCAACAGAAGTATTGAGGCAACAAGAAGAGGTTTCAGATAACCTCTAATAAAAGTTGTGCTTTTTTTTTATCTAAAAGATACTTGAAGAATAACATCATAGTTGTGTTTGATATTTGAAACCATATAATAAAAACAATTAGAAATATTTCTACATGCAGAGAAGACCTTTGAGTATTTGGACTTGGCAAAAACCACAAGCAGGATTAGGGATTCACCGTGTTCTGGTTTGCACTAGAAAGGCAACTAATTGCAGACTACATATGGCAAGGGAAGAAGGCAAGAATTAAATTAAAGCACCTACAAGACTCAAAAGAGAGAGGAGGACTGGCACTGCCCGATTGGGAAATCTATTACAAAGCATCTGTATTAATTTGGATCAAGGAGTGGATGGAACTCAAAAACCATAGACTATTAAATTTAGAAGGATTCGATCTTCAGCAAGGATGGCATGCCTTCCTATGGGAGGGCACAGACAAAAAACATGAATACTTTCAGAGTCATACAATCAGACATGCGCTATACCAAACATGGCAGAGTATTAAAAAGGCACATTATAACAAAATCCCGGAATGGTTGTCAACGATGGAAGCCCAGATCTATCCAAATGCCGTGGACTATAATAAAACGAAAACTTATAAAGATCTGTTAAATATCCGGGGGAAACTAAGAACGAGGCAAGAACTAAAAGAGATGGGTACAGACATTGACTGGTGGCCGTATGCATAAATAAAATCAAGATACAATAAAGATTCGGCTCAATTTGAATTCCAAAATGGTCAAACCGAATTAGACAAAATTTTGCAAGGGACACAGGACAAATTGATTTAAAAAAATCTATAATTACTTACGAGGATATAAATTAGAAGAAGAGGTAGTGAAAGAAAATATGATAATTTGGGCAAAAAATTTCGGTTATAGTATTCAATTAGAAAAATGGGAAAAACTATGGAAAATAAATTATAAATTGACAATGTCTGTACCCTATAAAGAAAATCTCTACAAAATGTTTTATAGGTGGCACTTGCCACCAGCCAGATTGGCAACAATGTTCCCCGGCACGCCACCAACATGTTGGAAATGCAAACACCACAAAGGCACCTATTATCATATGTGGTGGACCTGCCCAATGGCGAAACAATATTGGCAAAGGATCAAAATACAATTAGAGGAAATAACATGCCAAAAGATAGAACTAAGACCAGAAACCTTCCTACTAGGTATAGTGAACGGACACTACGAAAAAGAAACAACATACTTAATCATACTTAATCATATACATGATAACAGCAGCACAAATACTATACGCACAACATTGGAAGAGTAGTGATATACCAACACCAGATAAAGTAATTAATAAAATTATGGAATGTGCGGAATTAGATAGACTCACCAAGGAACTACAAAACAGGGAAGAACATGATTATTACTTAGTATGGGAAAAGTGGTATAGTTAGTTGAAAGATAGAAAAGAGATGAAGTAATAGGAAATAAACAAAATGACCAAATATAGAAAGATGAAAACAAAGTACAGACATAGGTCAATAAAGGACAATTGTAGATAGATAAAAAGAAATGACCAAACAAGGAAGAGTCAAAATACAAAGAAAAATGTATATTACAGTTGCGATAAACTGGACATGTATTGAATTTGGTGTTTACATGTTTTTATGTTTTGTACGTCTTATTGTGTTCTGTTTGTATTTATAAATAAAAATTGGAAAAAAAAAAGAAATATTTCTACATGCAGAGAAGACTCTTCGAGTATTTGGACTTGGCAAAAACCACAAGCAGGATTAGGGATTCACCGTGTTCTGGTTTGCACTAGAAAGGCAATTTATGAATGCATATCTAAGAAGGTAAACAATTTATTTGAATTATTTATTTAGTTTTATTTTATTTATTCAATTTATATGCCCCTCTGCGAAGACCCAGGGCGGCTCACAATACACTCAAAAAATCACTATAAAAAAACGTAAAAATTAAATTACTCAAATGGTACTTGTATCAGATTTTAGACAACAATAGGTAGTCGTCAATTTACTACAGTTCATTTCGTGATTGTTCAAAGTTACAGCAGCATGGAAAAAAGTGACTTATGACCATTTTTCACACTTATGGCCATTGCAACATCCCCAAAGTCACCTGATCAAACGTCAGATGCTTGGCAACTGATTTATGACAGTTGCAGAGTCCCTGGATCATGTGATCACCTTTTGTGAGCTTCTAACAAGCAAATCCAATGGGGAAGCCAGATTCACTTCATAACAGTATTACTAACTTAACAACTATTGTGAGTCACTTAACAAATGTGGCAAGAAAAGTCGTCAAATGGCATAAAACACAATAACTGTCTCGCTTAGCAACAGAAATTTTGGCCTCAATTGCAGTCATATGACGAGAACTACTTGGAAAAAAAAAAAGCTCACAAATAGCCCTCTCCACACTGCAGACCTTTATTTGACTTCTATCTTGTGTGGCTCCTCTTGTGGCGATGAAGATGACCGCTATAAGTAAAGCTCTTTCCACACTCCATGCATTTATAAGGTCTTTCTCCTGTGTGGATCCTCTTGTGGGAATCAAGGTTATTGCTACGAGTAAATGTCTTTCCACACTCAGTACATTTATAAGGTCTTTCTCCTGTGTGGATCCTCTTGTGGGAATTAAGGTCATGGCTACGAGTAAATGTCTTTCCACACTCACTACACTTATAAGGCTTCTCTCCTGTGTGGATCTTCTTGTGGTTATAAAGATTATTGTTACAAGTAAATCCCTTTCCACACTCCATGCATTTATAAGGTCTTTCTCCTGTGTGGATCCTTTGATGGATTATAAGGGACTCAGAATAACAGAAGCTCTTTCCACACTCAATGCATTTATACGTTTGTTCTCTTTTGTGGATCCTCTTGTGGGAATTAAGACTACTCATAGCAGTAAAGGTCTTTCCACACTCAATGCATTCATAAGGTCTCTCTCCTGTGTGGATCCTCTTGTGAGAATTAAGACTACTGCTTAAATAAAAGGCCTTTCCGCAATCCATGCATTTATAAGGCTTCTTTCCTGTGTGGATGTTCTTGTGGGAATTAAGACTACTCATAGCAGTAAAGGTCTTTCCACACTCAATGCATTCATAAGGTCTCTCTCCTGTATGGATCTTCTTGTGGGAATTAAGAATACTCATAGCAGTAAATCCCTTTCCACACTCAATGCATTTATATGTTCGTTCTCCTTTGTGGATCGTCTTGTGAGAATTAAGACTACTCATAGCAGTAAAGGTCTTTCTACACTCAATGCATTCATAAGGTCTCTCTCCTGTGTGGATCCTTTTGTGAGAATTAAGACTACTGCTTAAATAAAAGGCCTTTCCGCAATCCATGCATTTATAAGGCTTCTTTCCTGCGTGGATCTTCTTGTGGTAATAAAGAGTATTGTTACAAGTAAATCCCTTTCCACACTCCATGCATTTATAAGGTCTTTCTCCTGTGTGGATCCTTTGATGGATTATAAGGGACTCAGAATAACAGAAGGTCTTTCCACACTCAATGCATTTATAAGTTTGTTCTCTTTTGTGGATCCTCTTGTGGGAATTAAGATTACTCATATCAGTAAAGGTCTTTCCACACTCAATGCATTCATAAGGTCTCTCTCCTGTGTGGATCCTCTTGTGAGAATTAAGACTACTGCTAAAATAAAAAGCCTTTCCGCAATCCATGCATTTATAAGGCTTATCTCCTGCGTGGATCTTCTTGTGGTAATAAAGATTACTGTTACAAGTAAAGGTCTTTCCACACTCCATGCATTCATAAGGTCTCTCTCCTGTGTGGATCCTTTGATGGATTATAAGGGACTCAGAATAACAGAAGCTCTTTCCACACTCAATGCATTTATACGTTCGTTCTCCTTTGTGGATCCTCTGGTGGGAATTAAGATGACTGCTACGATTAAAGGACTTTCCACACTCCATGCAGGTAAATCGTTTCCCTTCTGAATGTGTATTTTTATGAGAAAAGAGATTATCGGATATATTGAACCTCTTTGTACACTCCATGGATTTATATGGTCTTTCTCTCTGATTGATCACTGTATGGTTAGGAAGCCAACTGACTTGAGGAAGGCCTTTTTTAACTCCACTTTGTGATTGCTTTGTTTCATCACTCTTTGGTTTCATCTGATCTACAAATTTCCTTTTCCTCCCTTTTGAATGGATCGCTTGGCGTTCCTCCTTGCAATTCTTATTGTCTTCTCTATTACAGCCTTGAAAAAGAAAAATGAAAACTGTACCAAGAATAGGGGAACAAGCAAAACTTTTCTTCTGAATCGTCAATGTATTTCAGCTGTTTTGTTGGCAAACATGAAGAGTCCAAGCAAAGATAACAGCAAAGACCCATTTCCAAGTGAAATGATCCCCATATAATAGGATTGGATCACAGCCCTGATTTAATCTTTCATATGGGACAATTCCATGCTGCCAAAAACTCCCAAAGTGCACTGGAAACTGTGTCATAATGGGGCAGCAACATACCCAGCACTTCCCAACTTCAATAAAAGTCTCATCTCCACTTGTCTACAGAGCAGAATTTTTGAAAGTCAGAGGGAATTTCTGGATGGCAATACCTCCCTACCCTCAATTTAGACTAAAGCCAAATCCAGTACACAAGTGGGCATATCTCTAAGAAGGGAACATGCCTCCCAGAGGTCATCTGGTCTTCGTTATAGCAGCTCAGGGCCATCGGGAACACAGTGACCAGGTTCAGGAGGGAATAACGAATCTTGGTAGCCAGGATCTTGCTCTGTCCATTCAGCCTCTTCCTCAGAGTCTTCCTAATATCTTTTATGAAATGAGTATTTTGTATTTCATGAGCAGAATGCTTTTTAAAAAAACAAACAATTTACTTTATGTAAAAAGCCAGGCTATGCAGTTTTTCCTTCAATATATTTCCTTCTTCCATAAAGTCAGTTTGGTCAAAAGGTTAAGACACCGGGCTAGAAACTAATAAAGTAACAGACATTTAAAAAAAAAATACTCTGTGATTCTTGGGTACCAATAAGGAGAAAAAAATGAATTTCAACAAATATAGAATCAAGCAGTAGCATAACAAAATTGATAAAAGTGAAGGGAGTCTGAATACATTCTGAATGCATTCCATATCCTTCCTTTATTTTTTGTAAATAAAGGCAGCAGACAAACCAAAATTTTTTCTTCCTGCTGTTTTCCATACAACAATCCTGTGAAATGGATTGGAGAGAGTTTTGGCCCAAAGTCACCCAGCCAGCATTCATGCCTAAGGCAGAACAAGTACTCACTCACAGTCACCCAGTTTCTACCCTGGTGTCTTAACCCTTTGACCAAACTGATTTTATGGAAGAAGGAAATTTATTCAAAGAAAAATTGGAAATCTGCAGGTTGTGTCTATGTTCCATGATGGAGAAGATAATTTTGACTCACTTGGTGCTTTACTGTTTTATCCCATGTATAAATATTTTTCAGCAATGTAATTGTTGAAAATTATTTCATCTTATTTGTTTTGATGAAAAAATAGCATCATGCTTTTTTAACACTTAAGAAAAAAAAGAAAAGAAATTGTTTTCTTTAAAAAAATGCTTTCTGCTCATAAAACACAAAATAACCCCTTTCAACAAGTGTTGAATCATGCTACAGCATAACAAAATTCTACAAAGTCAGAATGCTTTCTGAATGCATTGTATAGAAATGATTTTTTTCCCCAGAAATAACATTTAAGCCCCTTCTCTACATTCCTGAGCACAGAAAAGAATTCTTACCCAGGTAAGCCAGATTCCTGGAATTCTCCAGCATGACTTCTCTGTAGAGCACTTTTTGGTCAGCATCCAGTTGAGACCACTCCTCCTTGGAGAAATACACGGCCACTTCCTCAAAAGAAACAACATCCTGAACAAGGACACAAGTTTCCTTATTAACAGATAATTCCAAGAATAATGAGATAATTTTCTTCCACCAATTCTAGGAAAGAGATCTAGTGAATAAAATGGGCATCTTCTGCAGTATTAAGAATAAGATCTCACTGCTTTTGGCTGATGACACAACTAAATCATGTTTGATCAAGCTGGAAGTGTTTGGAATGCCTTAAGGTATAGGCAACTAAAATATTCTTGATCAATTGACAGTTGGGTCTTAAATCCACTACTTGTCAGTGACTCCCATTCTTCCTAGGATGGGCAGAGCAAAATACTGGCAAAACCCAGCTGATATGTTTTCCAATGGCTCATTTTATCCATTGAGGGACCAACGTACCCCAACTCCACACCTTCATGAAGAAGTTGGAAGAGCTTGTAATAGAACTCTATATGTGTACGGAGATTCTCAATCACCAGGTCACGGTAGTCCCAAAGATGCTTTTCAAAAGGAAAAAAAAGAATATTTTCTTTATAATGGTGTGTGTGAACAACCCTGGGAGACAGAAGGAAGAGCCCCGATGCTAACAACAGTCTGGTTGATGAAATCTGATGGTGAAGCAGGAGGGGTGGAGAAAGCGACTCACAAAGGATCCCCTCAAAATGGAGAGTGTGAATGTTCAGTGACCTGATGTCAAATTCATATTGCTTAGAAACAACAATTTTATACATTGAACTCTAGAACAAAATAAAATCTATCCAAGATTCATGGACCTTTTCTTATGTTTCTTCTCCTTACCTGAAGTAGCGGTTCAGCTAATCCTTCAACTTCATCAGAAAGAGGTGATTCTAAAAACTCCAAGGACAGCTTTCTACTCTCTGGGAGAAAGAGAAAAATACTGGAAGCAGATTTCTTAAAGAGAGACACTCCAATAAAGCAGAGCAAGAGAATCGGCTAAATATTGAACTCTCACAGTAAGAGCTTGTTACCTGGAGTGGTGTCCTGAGTTTGATCTTTGTGTAAGGTCTCCATGAACAGCAACTCTTGAGAACATTTGAATGAACTTTTCCTGTTCTTGGGATACTCAGTCACAGCTTCCGTGCATTTCTGGACATGATGTGACACAAGAAAAAAAGGAAAAGTACACAGATAAAAATTATCACACTGCATTTTCAAACTAGCAGGCCTCAATGTCCATTGCTGAAACTCAAAACAGAATGGAAGAATTGCCCCAAATACATCCTCTGGAAGAATAGAACAGATGCCCTTAGGAATTAATAATCCCAGAAAATTCTGCCAGAAAGGAATTGACAACTTCAGAGAGATCCTCTTTAGAGCTGCAATGATTCCATTCTCCCACCTGCAACTCTTCCTGCATGTTTTCCTCCTCCTGAGTCAGCAAGAAGCCTTCAGCCAGGGACACCGCCTGGGAACTGGTCTCTGCTCCACACTCCCGCACCCATTTCGCCACCTTTGGGGGAAGGACAGCCAGGAATTGTTGCAGGAGCACCAGGTCCAGCATCTGAGCCTTGGTGTGTTTTTCTGGTTGCAGCCACTGACGACAAAGGTAGTGAAGCTGAGTGCAAACATCTCGCGGACGGTTCCCCTCATGAAACTGCACTTTTGTGAAGTGACAGCATTGGACCTCTGAACTATTGGATGCCTCTTCGTGGCTCTTCTGGCCAGGACTTGCCCCATTCTTCCCACAGCTCCAAGGCTGAGCAGCTGGAGGGACTTTTCTAACTTCTGCATCTGCTGGGTGTTGTCCCTCCATCTTCTCTCTGGTCTCTAATAAAGCTCCAAAATGCACCCATGGATCTCCACAGGTCTTTCTGTTCACAAGAGGTCTGGCCAAATTTTCCAAGGCCATTCAGCTCTCTTCCCAGACAAGATTCTTAAGATTCCTGAAGAACCAGAAATTTTTTTGATGTATCTGAGATGGAAAAATGGGGAGGAGGGGAAGAAAGGGAAGAGAAGATTAAGTTAAAGAAATTTGTATGAACCCACCAAGGTTTGAGGGGAAATCTTATTAGCCAGCTTGCTCTCTCTACATCTGGGGAAATTTGCCTTGAACCCTTCAGGATCAATGTCTATCAAAATATTGGAAAATACATTTAAATGAGTATTTGATTTCTACTTCCTAGTTTCTATTAAAAATTTAGTTTTTATTCTTATGTCTTCTGTATTACTTTTGTAAATTACTCTAGGCAGAGATTATACATAATGCTCCTTCTTACTCTTTTCCCCCCAACAACAGCCCTGTGAAGTAGATTGGGCTGAGAACTGGGATGGGCTGAAGGCTTTCATGCCAAAGGTTGGACTAGAAGTTAATCTCCTGGTTTCAAAGCCTTGTGCTTTCATCACTGAGCCAAAGGGTCTCTCTGGCTAATCATAATTTAGTACAATATAATTTAAAAGACAGTTTAATAGCATTTCTATGGCTGCATAGTTAAGAACAAGTCCTTGCACCCCTTGCACCCAACTCCTTACAGACGGAGTTGAAGCCTTGCATGCAAAGCCAGCAGGAGGGACTCCGACCGCTCGCTTCTCTCGGCCCTTATAAAAAGGGGAAGGGAGGGAAACCCCTTCGGAAAACGGGGCCATGAAATATGCAGGAAACTGTCCAGGAGTCACGACTGACGTGGAGGCACAAAGCTCTGTTTTGCAAACACTTCTCCTCCTCCTCTCCCTCCATGCAAAGCTCTTACCGTCCAAATGGATTGTAAATCCTCTTTTCTGCGACCCTGTTTTTTTTTCCCCCCGGGGGCAAATGGAAGGGCGCGAAGCTTTGCTTTCTCCCCTGCCTGGCCCTTGCATGCACAGGGACGGCAGGGGAACATGGGGCCAATGGCTCCCCCTCCCCCTTTCCACGACTCCGAGCCTGAGGAATGTGAGCGTCCAGCGCGGGAGAAAAGTCACCCACCCACCCAGTCACTGAACCCCCCACTCACGTCTGGACCTCCAAGTCCAAGTCTTCCCTGCAGCCTCTTCCCTTCCCTGAAAGGCTCCTCCGGGCACTGGAGAACCTTTCAAGCCTCGGCAGTCTCGCACCCCTCTCGACTTGGGAAAGAGACCGGCGCATGCTCAGTTCTCTCGCAAGCGACGGAGGGAGGGAGCTGCACCGCTCTTCGAGGGCGCCCCCTAGAGGATCCTGTGTGCATTGCGAGAAGATCCTGCAAGGGCTCCGGACGTCATGTTCCACACGTATCTGGGTTGATGGGCATTAAATTTGAAGGAAAGGTTCCCTCTAAGATTGCCTATCTAGAAATGAAATGACCTCTCCAGCAAGCATCAGTTTCTAGATTTTCCCTCTTTTTAACCTCTAAGAACCGTCTGTGATCTTGTGAAGATTGAGAAAATCTCTGTGGAGACTCAAAAATCCCTTTCCTGAAGAGCAGCTTCAGAAAGGAGGGAGGGAGGGAAATTGTTTTGAAGAAACAATTTTAAAAGAATGGCCTTAACTTTTCATTCTGCCTCCATTCTTTCTAGCCCATTTATTTAAGTTTATTTAAATCAAATTTAGTTTTTTCCCCTAATCTTTGTCATACCATAGAAAGGCAAAAAATGCTTGTAAAAGGTTTTTTTGAACATGCATTTCATGGGCTTCCCCTCATTCTGGCTTATTTTGTGAGAGAGATTCTTCATCCTGAAGATTTTTCCAAACAGGATACATTGATATATGTGACGAGTTTCTCACATAATAACAGGCCTTTCACCAGGTAAGTGTCCATGATTTGCAAATACAAAGATCCACACATCCCAGATCCAGTTCTCCTCACCTCTGTATGTATCTATCAGGAAAAACTGAAGTTATTTTCTGAAGTTGTTCTTAATTTCATATTTTATTAGGTTTGTTTTGGTTATCAATAAACTAAAGCTCTTTCACTCTTATTCTTCTGAGTATCCCTAATGTCGCAGAGTGCAAGCGAGCGAGTGAGAAACTAACTAAACTCTATCAAGCTCACAGTGGTTAGAATGCAGTACTGCAGGCTACTTCTGCAGAGTGCTGGCTGCCCGCAATTTGGCAGTTCAAATCTCAAATCTCTCCAGGCTCAAGGTTGACTCAGCCTTCCATCCTTCTGAGGTAGGTAAAATGAGGACCCAGATTGTTGGGGGCAATATGCTGACTCTGTAAACAGCTTAGAGGGCTGTAAAGCACTATGAAGCGGTATAGAAGTCTAAGTGCTATTCCCGTTTGCTGTGCCTGGAAGCTTTTAGGGGCTGGATGGGGAGCAATGGGTTGAAACTAAACCATGGCAAGACTGGGTGGCTCTGGGTTTGGGGTTTGTTGGCTCAGGGAGAATTGCCATGTCTGGTCTTGGATAGGGTGGCACTACCCCACAGACCGTATGTGTAATTTGGGGATTCTCCTGGACACATGACTCCTGCTTAAGGAGCAGGTGGCAGTCGTGACCAGGAGGGCCTTTGCACAACTGTGGGTTGTGCACAAGTTACGCCCTTTCCTGAAACTAAAATCCCTACTAAGTCATTCATGCCCTAGTCACTTCCCGTCTTGACTATTTCAATGAGCTCTATATGGGGCTGCCATTTGTTGTAAATCAGAGGTCCAGGCTTTTGCTCTGTTTCAAGATGTTTTCCAAAATGTCTCTAAGATGTCTCTCCCGGTCTCCCCGAGAGCTTTATTTTTATACAGTTTTACACAAGCAGATAAAAGGTAGCACAGTAACAGGGTTCTGATTGGATAACTTATTCACCCCCCTCTCAAGATGCCGTCCTCTCTAGGTGAGATTATCTCATCCAAATCCGAGCCAAAGATGAAGTAAGCAGGCAAGACCCACAGCACATGTGCCACGGCAGTGTGCTGCTGCTTGACCTACTGACCTACAGCCATTGAAGAGCATCCAGAAGCTCATTTTGCATTGGTGCAAAATGCAGCGGTCCATATGGTTTTGTGCAAATCCCATTGTGCACATGCATTACCTCTCCTGCAGGAGCTGCATTGGCTGCCAATTTGCTTCCGGGTGCAATTCAAGGTGTTGGTTGTCACCTTTAAAGCCCTTCATGGCTTGGGACCAGGTTATCTGAGAGACCATCTCTTGCCAGTCACGTCTACCCGACCCATCAGAGTGGGCAAGCAGGGAATGGTGCAGGTCCTATCCCCCAGGGAGATACACCTGGTGGGACCCAGAAGGGCCTTCTCTGTGGGGGCCCCCTCTGTGTAACATCATCCCCCAAAGATTTGAATGGCCCCCACTCTAAGACTCTCCCAGGAGCTGAAAACCTGGTTCTGCCAGTGGGAACCCAGAGCGGGATGGAGCACATTAAGTGGCTCATGTGAGGTGCTGTCACCATGGTAGGGGGTTATTTTATTATATTAATTTATTATATGACTTTTCTTTAATAAAAGAATAAAAGAAGAGTTTTATTGTTTTTATATGAGGTTTTATATTTTGTAAACCGAAAACAGCCAAAGAAGGGGCTCAGCCCTGATACTTAGCCCAACAGAAGTATTGAGGCAACAAGAAGAGGTTTCAGATAACCTCTAATAAAAGTTGTGCTTTTTTTTTTTATCTAAAAGATACTTGAAGAATAACATTATAGTTGTGTTTGATATTTGAAACCATATAATAAAAACAATTAGAAATATTTCTACATGCAGAGAAGACCTTTGAGTATTTGGACTTGGCAAAAACCACAAGCAGGATTAGGGATTCACCGTGTTCTGGTTTGCACTAGAAAGGCAACTAATTGCAGACTACATATGGCAAGGGAAGAAGGCAAGAATTAAATTAAAGCACCTACAAGACTCAAAAGAGAGAGGAGGACTGGCACTGCCCGATTGGGAAATCTATTACAAAGCATCTGTATTAATTTGGATCAAGGAGTGGATGGAACTCAAAAACCATAGACTATTAAATTTGGAAGGATTCGATCTTCAGCGAGGATGGCATGCCTTCCTATGGGAGGGCACAGACAAAAAACATGAATACTTTCAGAGTCATACAATCAGACATGCGCTATACCAAACATGGCAGAGTATTAAAAAGGCACATTATAACAAAATCCCAGAATGGTTGTCAACGATGGAAGCCCAGATCTATCCAAATGCCATGGACTATAATAAAACGAAAACTTATAAAGATCTGTTAAATATCCGGGGGGAACTAAGAACGAGGCAAGAACTAAAAGAGATGGGTACAGACATTGACTGGTGGCCGTATGCACAAATAAAATCAAGATACAATAAAGATTCGGCTCAATTTGAATTCCAAAATGGTCAAACCGAATTAGACAAAATTTTGCAAGGGACACAGGACAAATTGATTAAAAAAAATCTATAATTACTTACGAGGATATAAATTAGAAGAAGAGGTAGTGAAAGAAAATATGATAATTTGGGCAAAAAATTTCGGTTATAGTATTCAATTAGACAAATGGGAAAAACTATGGAAAATAAATTATAAATTGACAATGTCTGTACCCTATAAAGAAAATCTCTACAAAATGTTTTATAGGTGGCACTTGCCACCAGCCAGATTGGCAACAATGTTCCCCGGCACGCCACCAACATGTTGGAAATGCAAACACCACAAAGGCACCTATTATCATATGTGGTGGACCTGCCCAATGGCGAAACAATATTGGCAAAGGATCAAAATACAATTAGAGGAAATAACATGCCAAAAGATAGAACTAAGACCAGAAACTTTCCTACTAGGTATAGTGAATGGACACTACGAAAAAGAAATAACATACTTAATCATACACATGAGAACAGCAGCACGAATACTATACGCACAACATTGGAAGAGTAGTGATATACCAACACCAGATAAAGTAATTAATAAAATTATGGAATGTGCGGAATTAGATAGACTCACCTGTTATAGGAAAAATGACGGACTAGGTCAAGCTCTTCAATGCAAGAAAGAGTTTATTGCGCAAGGTTCAAACAGTTCAAAGACGGTTCAAGAAACGGGACGCTGCCTTATACTCACAGACGCCACTCCAGGTTTTAGTTCCATCACCACTGGAGGGTGGTGAGCTGCAAAACCTGGCAGGTTATCCTCAGGCACATCAAACAACCTCCACTTCTCCTCCTTCTCTCTCTTCAACCTGTCTCCCTATCATCAACCTCCAAATCTCCTCCAGGGAATGCCTTATGGTCATTCTCTGACTATCTTCATCAAAAGAAATTGTTGCCCCTAATTTACTCAGCAGATCCCTGCCTAACAAGGAAATAGGGCATTCAGGGATATACAAGAATTCATGCTGGATTTCAGCTTCCTTAAAATCACACATCTCTGGTTTCAAGACCTGCCGCCCCATGGCTTGCCCTGATACCCCCTGGACCTGAATTTTATGGGATCCGGGGGGCTGCAATCTGCTTATTTACAATCACTCCCCACAACTTATCCACTGTTCCTTCCCTTAACCATCCCTGAGGGGGGAGGGGTTAGCCCGCCTCCCTTTGTGGTCTGCATAAGAATTTTAATCGATCCTTTGATCCTTTCGGATAGGAAGGGTTGCTAAATACTTGTCAAAAACTTTTAACATGCATGCCAGTATTTGGCACGATCTGAACCCCACCATTCTATCACACTGCCGTCGACTCGTAGCCCCGGAAACTCACGGTCACTAGCGAGAAATGCGACGGCTTAACCACCCACACAACCTGACACAGACTTCGTTAGGGTAGCCACCCCGAGTCCGAGGGAGTGATCAAGTCCGTCCTTCTGCCTTCAAATGAGGCAGGTACAATTCTTTTACAATATACTCACTTAAAAACGCTCCCACTCCGTAGCTTCCTGGCCAGGAATTTGTTCAGACCACCTTTCCTGCACCGCAGGGTTCTTGGACTTGATCAGAGCTCCGTCGGTCCCATAGGGCTATCGCTGCTGTCTCCCGGAGATTTTATCCCCATGGCACCTGGAGAATGTTCAGGAGCGACTTCCCGATGGTCCCAAGGGGTCGAACGGCCCTCAGCGAAATATCGCCTTGCACCTAGTCCTGCCTCGGTCGCCAGCTGATATAGGAAAAATGACGGACTAGGTCAAGCTCTTCAATGCAGGAAAGAGTTTATTGCGCAAGGTTCAAACAGTTCAAAGACAGCGAAGGGTCTGAACAAAGATGGCTGATTTTGACCAGATATTTATACAGTATAAAGGCAAAGTTATTATGAAGAGTGCGACATTTCACACGTAGAAGTTACCCTTTCATCTGTTTCTAGGAAAGACATAACAGCCCTTTTCCCACAGGCTCAGGTTCTCAGCTCCGGAGCTCAAGACATAATAAAAGGAGATAAGGGGCTCAAAGGCGCCTCACGAGCAGTAAAGAGGACAGTAAGGGAAGCAGTATTTCTTCTCTAGAATCTACATGACATTTGGGGTGTAATAAACATTAAACAACAGGATGTATCTGTTTAGGGTCAGTTTGCCCTTTTACAATTCTGAACCTACGTCAAATACCGTTTGTCATCTCAGCACCTTGGCACGGAAGAGGCACTTCTGTCTTGACCAAAGATTTGGATTTCTAATATTTGAGTTTTATCTCAATATTGAATCTTAGCCTGGCTCACACCAAGGAACTACAAAACAGGGAAGAACATGATTATTACTTAGTATGGGAAAAGTGGTATAGTTGGTTGAAAGATAGAAAAGAGATGAAGTAATAGGAAATAAACAAAATGACCAAATATAGAAAGATGAAAACAAAGTACAGACATAGGTCAATAAAGGACAATTGTAGATAGATAAAAAGAAATGACCAAACAAGGAAGAGTCAAAATACAAAGAAACATGTATATTACAGTTGCGATAAACTGGACATGTATTGAATTTGGTGTTTACATGTTTTTATCTTTTGTACGTCTTATTGTTCTGTTTAGTTTGTATTTATAAATAAAAATTGAAAAAAAAAAAAAGAAATATTTCTACATGCAGAGAAGACCTTTGAGTATTTGGACTTGGCAAAAACCACAAGCAGGATTAGGGATTCACCGTGTTCCGGTTTGCACTAGAAAGGCAATTTATGAATGCATATCTAAGAAGGTAAACAATTTATATGAATTATTTATTTATTTTTATTTTATTTATTCAATTTATATGCCGCCCCTTTACGAAGACCCAGGGCGGCTCACAATACACTCAAAAAATCACTATAAAAAAACTTAAAAATTAAATTACTCAAATGGTACTTGTATGAGATTTTAGACAACTATAGGTAGTTGTCGATTTACTACAGTTCATTTAGTGATTGTTCAAAGTTATAGCAGCATTGAAAAAAGTGACTTATGACCATTTTTCACGCTTATGGCCATAGCAACATCCCCAAAGTTACCTGATCAAACGTCAGATGCTTGGCAACTGATTTATGACAGTTGCAGAGTCCCTGGATCATGTGATCACCTTTTGTGAGCTTCTAACAAGCAAATCCAATGGGGAAGCCAGATTCACTTCATAACAGTATTACTAACTTAAAAACTATTGTGAGTCACTTAACAAATGTGGCAAGAAAAGTCGTCAAATGGCGCAAAACACAATAACTGTCCCGCTTAGCAACAGAAATTTTGGCCTCAATTGCAGTCATATGACGAGAACTACTTGGAAAAAAAAAGCTCACAAAAGCTCACAAAAAGCCCTCTCCACACTGCAGACCTTTATTTGACTTCTATCTTGTATGGCTCCTCTTGTGGCGATGAAGATGACCGCTACAAGTAAAGCTCTTTCCACACTCCATGCATTTATAAGGTCTTTCTCCTGTGTGGATCCTCTTGTGGGAATTAAGGTCATGGCTACGAGTAAATGTCTTTCCACACTCACTACATTTATAAGGCTTCTCTCCTGTGTGGATCTTCTTGTGGTTATAAAGATTATTGTTACAAGTAAATCCCTTTCCACACTCCATGCATTTATAAGGTCTTTCTCCTGTGTGGCTCCTCTTGTGGGAATCAAGGTTACTGCTATAAGTAAAGCTCTTTCCACACTCCATGCATTTATAAGGTCTTTCTCCTGTGTGGCTCCTCTTGTGGCGATGAAGATGACTGCTATAAGTAAAGCTCTTTCCACACTCCATGCATTTATAAGGTCTTTCTCCTGTGTGGCTCCTCTTGTGGGAATCAAGGTTACCGCTACAAGTAAATGTCTTTCCACACTCAGTACATTTATAAGGTCTTTCTCCTGTGTGGCTCCTCTTGTGGGAATTAAGGTAATGGCTACGAGTAAATGTCTTTCCACACTCACTACATTTATAAGGCTTCTCTCCTGTGTGGATCTTCTTGTGGTGATAAAGATTATTGTTACAAGTAAATCCCTTTCCACACTCCATGCATTCAAAAGGTCTCTCTCCTGTGTGGATCCTTTGATGGATTATAAGGGACTCAGAATAACAGAAGCTCTTTCCACACTCAATGCATTTATACGTTCGTTCTCCTTTGTGGATCCTCTGGTGGGAATTAAGATGACTGCTACGATTAAAGGACTTTCCACACTCCATGCAGGTAAATCGTTTCCCTTCTGAATGTGTATTTTTATGAGAAAAGAGATTATCGGATATATTGAACCTCTTTGTACACTCCATGGATTTATATGGTCTTTCTCTCTTATTGATCACTGTATGGTTAGGAAGCCAACTGACCTGAGGAAGGCCTTTCTTAACTCCACTTTGTGATTGCTTTGTTTCATCACTCTTTGGTTTCATCTGATCTACAAATTTCCTTTTCCTCCCTTTTGAATGGATCGCTTGGCATTCCTCCTTGCAATTCTTATTGTCTTCTCTATTACAGCCTTGAAAAAGAAAAATGAAAACTGTACCAAGAATAGGGGAACAAGCAAAACTTTTCTTCTGAATCGTCAATGTATTTCAGCTGTTTTGTTGGCAAACATGAAGAGTCCAAACAAAGATAATAGCAAAGACCCATTTCCAAGTGAAATGATCCCCATATAATAGGATTGGATCACAGCCCTGATTTAATCTTTCATATGGGACTATTCCATGCTGCCAAAAACTCCCAAAGTGCACTGGAAACTGTGTCATAATGGGGCAGCAACATACCCAGCACTTCCCAACTTCAATAAAAGTCTCATCTCCACTTGTCTACAGAGCAGAATTTTTGAAAGTCAGAGGGAATTTCTGGATGGCAATACCTCCCTACCCTCAATTTAGACTAAAGCCAAATCCAGTACACAAGTGGGCATATCTCTAAGAAGGGAACATGCCTCCCAGAGGTCATCTGGTCTTCGTTATAGCAGCTCAGGGCCATCGGGAACACAGTGACCAGGTTCAGGAGGGAATAACGAATCTTGGTAGCCAGGATCTTGCTCTGTCCATTCAGCCTCTTCCTCAGAGTCTTCCTAATATCTTTTATGAAATGAGTATTTTGTATTTCATGAGCAGAATGCTTTTTAAAAAAACAAACAATTTACTTTATGTAAAAAGCCAGGCTATGCAGTTTTTCCTTCAATATATTTCCTTCTTCCATAAAGTCAGTTTGGTCAAAAGGTTAAGACACCGGGCTAGAAACTAATAAAGTAACAGACATTTAAAAAAAAAATACTCTGTGATTCTTGGGTACCAATAAGGAGAAAAAAATGAATTTCAACAAATATAGAATCAAGCAGTAGCATAACAAAATTGATAAAAGTGAAGGGAGTCTGAATACATTCTGAATGCATTCCATATCCTTCCTTTATTTTTTGTAAATAAAGGCAGCAGACAAACCAAAATTTTTTCTTCCTGCTGTTTTCCATACAACAATCCTGTGAAATGGATTGGAGAGAGTTTTGGCCCAAAGTCACCCAGCCAGCATTCATGCCTAAGGCAGAACAAGTACTCACTCACAGTCACCCAGTTTCTACCCTGGTGTCTTAACCCTTTGACCAAACTGATTTTATGGAAGAAGGAAATTTATTCAAAGAAAAATTGGAAATCTGCAGGTTGTGTCTATGTTCCATGATGGAGAAGATAATTTTGACTCACTTGGTGCTTTACTGTTTTATCCCAGAATGATCTGTAATTGCTGAAAAATATTTCATCTTATTTGTTTTGATAAAAAAATAGCATCATGCTTTTTTAACACTTAAGAAAAAAAGAAAAGAAATTGTTTTCTTTAAAAAAATGCTTTCTGCTCATAAAACACAAAATAACCCCTTTCAACAACTGTTGAATCATGCTACAGCATAACAAAATTCTACAAAGTCAGAATCCTTTCTGAATGCATTGTAAATAAATGATTTTTTCCCCCAGAAATAACATTCAAGCCCCTTCTCTACATTCCTGAGCACAGAAAGGAATTCTTACCCAGGTAAGCCAGATTCCTGGAATTCTCCAGCATGACTTCTCTGTGGAGTTCTCTTTGGTTAGCATCCAGTTGAGACCACTCCTCCTTGGAGAAATACACGGCCACTTCCTCAAAAGACACAACATCCTGAACAAGGACACAAGTTTTCTTATTAACAGATAATTCCAAGAATAATGAGATAATTTTCTTCCACCAATTCTAGGAAAGAGATCTAGTGAATAAAATGGGTATTTTCTGCAGTATTAAGAATAAGATCTCACCGCTTTTGGCTGATGGCACAACTAAATCATGTTTGATCGAGCTGGAAGTGTTTGGAATGCCTTAACGTATAGGCAACTAAAATATTCTTGATCAATTGACAGTTGGGTCTTAAATCCACTACTTGTCAGTGACTCCCATTCTTCCTAGGATGGGCAGAGAGAAGTACTGGCAAAACCCACCTGACATGTTTTCCAATGGCTCATTTTATCCATTGAGGGACCAACGTACCCCAACTCCACACCTTCATGAAGGAGTTGGAAGAGGTTGTAATAGAATTCTATATGTCTATGGAGATTCTCAATCAGCAAATCATGATTGTCCCAAAGACGCTTTTCAAAAGCACAAAAGGATTTTTTTTTTTTGTAATGGTGTGTGAGAATAACCCACACATTGAAATCTGATGGTGAAGCAGGAGGGGTGGAGAAAGCGACTCACAAAGGATCCCCTCAGAAGGGAGAAGGTAGGCTAATCTGAGCGTGAATGTTCAATGACCTGATGTCAAATTCATATTGCTTAGAAACAACAATTTCATACATTGAACTCTAGAACAAAATAAAATCTATCCAAGATTCATGAACCTTTTCCTATGTTTCTTCTCCTTACCTGAAGTAGCGGTTCAGCTAATCCTTCAACTTCATCAGAAAGAGGTGATTCTAAAAACTCCAAGGACAGCTTTCTACTCTCTGGGAGAAAGAGAAAAATACTAGAAGCAGATTTCTTAAAGAGAGACACTCCAATAAAGCAGAGCAAAAGAATCGGCTAAATATTGAACTCTCACAGTAAGAGCTTGTTACCTGGAGTGGTGTCCTGAGTTTGATCTTTGTGTAAGGTCTCCATGAACAGCAGCTCTTGAGAACATTTGAATGAACTTTTCCTGTTCTTGGGATACTCAGTCACAGCTTCCGTGCATTTCTGGACATGATGTGACACAAGAAAAAAAGGAAAAGTACACAGATAAAAATTATCATACTACATTTTCAAACTAGCAGGCCTCAATGTCCATTGCTGAAACTCGAAAGAGAACGGAAGAATTGCCCCAAATACATCCTCTGGAAGAATAGAACAGATGCCCTTAGGAATTAATAATCCCAGAAAATTCTGCCAGAAAGGAATCGACAACTTCAGAGAGATCCTCTTTGGAGCCGCCATGATTACATTCTCCCACCTGCAACTCTTCCTGCATGTTTTCCTCCTCCTGAGTCAGCAAGAAGCCTTCAGCCAGGGACACCGCCTGGGAACTGGTCTCTGCTCCACACTCCCGCACCCATTTTGCCATCTCTGGGGGAAGGACAGCCAGCAATTGTTCCAGGAGCACCAGGTCCAGCATCTGAGCCTTGGTGTGTTTTTCTGGTTGCAGCCACTGACGACAAAGGTAGTGAAGCTGAGTGCAAACATCTCGGGGACGGCTCCCCTCCTGAAACTGCACTTTTGTGAAGTGACAGCATTGGACCCCTGAAGTGTTGGATGCCTCTTCGTGGCTCTTCTGCCCAGGACTTGCCCCATTCTTCCCACAGCTCCAAGGCTGAGCAGCTGGAGGGCCTTTTCTAACTTCTGTATCTGCTGGGTGTTGTCCCTCCATCTTCTCTCTGGTCTCTAAAAAAGCTCCAAAATGCACCCACGGGTCTCCGTTGGTCTTTCTGTTCACAAGAGGTCTGGCCAAATTTTCCAAGGCCATTCAGCTCTCTCTTCCCAGACAAGATTTGTAAGATTCCCGAAGAACCAGAAATTTTTTTTTGATGTATCTGAGATGGAAAAATGGGGAGGAGGGGAGGGGAGGGAAGATTAAGTAAAGAAATTTGTATGAACCCACCAAGGTTTGAGGGGAAATCTTATTAGCCAGCTTGCTCTCTCTACAACTGGGGAAATTTGCCTTGAACCCTTCAGGATCAATGTCTATCAAAATATTGGAAAATACATTTAAATGAGTATTTGATTTCTACTTCCTAGTTTCTATTAAAAATTTAGTTTTTATTCTTATGTCTTCTGTATTACTTTTGTAAATTACCCTAGGCAGAAATTATACATAATGCTCCTTCTTACTCTTTTCCCCCCAACAACAGCCCTGTGAAGTAGATTGGGCTGAGAACTGGGATGGCCTCAAGACTTTCATGCCAAAGGTAGGACTAGAAAGTTAATCTCCTGTGTCAGGGCATTGATTAATCTCATAATTGGCTCTGGGACAAATCACCCTGATTAGAGGATGGATCGAGGCTTTATCCAAGTTGCAATATTCTGAAAAGAAAACCCGAAGAAAAGTTCTCTAATAAAACTCATTTATTTGTTATAAAGAAAATAAAACACCTCACTAACTAAGAAAGATAATTGCTACCTTTTGAAATAGTTCGGGCCAGCTGCTTTCCAGCAACGGGCACCCGTGGCAAGAGAACAAAGGAAAAAAAGTGTGTGAAGGAATGTGGGTGGATGGACATGCGTAGTAGCTTTTGATAACAATTCTTGGCAAGGTACGGAAAGTCTGATAGTCCAGAAATGATGAAGCTCAGCTGGTAAATAAAATAACGCACTGACATCCTGGTTTCAAAGCCTTGTGCTTTCATCACTGAGCCAAAGGGTCTCTCTGGCTAATCATAATTTAATACAGTATAATTTAAAAGACAGTTTAATAGCATTTCTATGGCTGCATAGTTAAGAACAAGTCCTTGCACCCCTTGCACCCAACTCCTTACACACGGAGTTGAAGCCTTGCATGCAAAGCCAGCAGAAGGGACTCCGACCGCTCGCTTCTCTCGGCCCTTATAAAAAGGGGAAGGGAGGGAAACCCCTTCGGAAAACGGGGCCATGAAATATGCAGGAAACTGTCCAGAGGTCACGACTGACTTGGAGGCACAAATCTCTGTTTTGCAAACACTTCTCCTCCTCCTCTCCCTCCATGCAAAGCTCTTACCGTCCAAATGGATTGTAAATCCTCTTTTCTGCGACCCTGTTTTTTTTCCCCCTGGGGGCAAATGGAAGGGCGCGAAGCTTTGCTTTCTCCCCTGTCTGGTCCTTGCATGCACAGGGACGGCAGGGGAACATGGGGCCAATGGCTCCCCCCCCCCTTTCCACGACTCCGAGCCTGAGGAATGTGAGCGTCCAGCGCGGGAGAAAAGTCACCCACCCACCCAGTCACTGAACCCCCCACTCACGTCTGTACCTCCAAGTCCAAGTCTTCCCTGCAGCCTCTTCCCTTCCCTGAAAGGCTCCTCCGGGCACTGGAGAACGTTTCCAGCCTCGGCAGTCTCGCACCCCCTCGACTTGGGAAAGAGACCGGCGCATGCTCAGTTCTCTCGCAAGCGACGGAGGGAGGGAGCTGCACCGCTCTTCGAGGCCGCCCCCTAGAGGATCCTGTGTGCATTGCGAGAAAATCCTGCAAGTGCTCAGGACATCATCTGGAATGATGGGCATTAAATTTGAAGGAAAGGTTCCCTCTAACCAGTGATGGGATTCAAGTAATTTAACAACCGGTTCTCTGCCCTAATGATTTCTTCCAACAACCAGTTTGCCAAACTGCTCAGAAGATTAACAACCGATTCTCCCGAAGTGGTACGAACTGGCTGAATCCCACCACTGCCTCTAACGTAGCCTATCTAGAAAGGAAATGACCTCTCCAGCAAGCATCAGTTTGTAGATTTTCCCTCTTTTTAACCTCTAAGAACTGTCTGTGATCTTGTGAAGATTGGGAAAATCTCTGTGGAGACTCAAAAATCCCTTTCTTGAAGAGCAGCTTCTCTGAAGGGTCTCTAGGGATTCCCAAGAGGAGGCCTCAAAAATGAGCAAAATCCTAGAGATGGCGAAGATCTCAGCATTTTTAAAAGACTGCTCACAAGAGACTTATGAATGGGAATGGAAAAAGTGGATAGATTATGTTCAGAATAAATATCAAACTAAGAAGTACCAAATAGCTTTTAATTGAAAATGATATTTTAAGATAGAAATATTTCAGTGTAATGAAGATGAAAAACTTACAAGGAGGAGGGAGGGGTTCAAGTTTTATATAAGTTTTATATTAAGGGTTTTTTTTTTACCTGATATAAGTATATTGTGTGGAAGTCCGGGGGGAGGGGAGGGTTAGGGAGGGTTAGGGAGGATGGGAAGTTCGGGGTGGGTCGAGGGGGGGGAAAGGGGTGAAAATGTAATTGTAAAACTTTTGCAATAAAAAAAAATGAGCAAAATCCTCTCAGAAATGGCACGGCGGTCAAAAGACAAGGAAGAAAAGTCTCTCTATGAAACCTGGTCTGTGTCTTGTGGCTGATGGCAAACTCAGCCTTGAAGTGTGGGGAGATCAGGGGGCTGGCAGAGATACAGGGAGGAAAGCAACAGGTTGAGGAAAATTGAGATTTGTATTGATTTTTTCTTAGTGAGTTTTCACTGAGTTCAATTATTACAGCTTCCTTTCCAAATTCATGCCTCTGCTTAGCCAAGGAAACACTAAAGGCAGCCTGTAATACTGAGAATAACCATACATTCCCATGAAAATGAAGCATTAAAAGAAAAGTTCCAAAATGGAGTGAAAGCTCAAAGTTGTGGACCTTTAAATTTTTTTACCTCAAAACAAGCCGCCATGATGGAGAAATTAAGATTGGGAGAATAAAGTCTCATATGTGACTAGAGAAAAAGTGGAATCACAAAATGAAGGAAAGTAAATACTGAAAAATAAATATAAATCTCAAATACTACGAGGCAAAAAAAAAGAGAGATCAAGTTTTATTTTGGTTGTTGAATAGGCAATACACCTCAGGAAATTTGAGTAGGAACCTTAAGAGCTTTTTTGCATTGGTGCAAAATGCAGCGGTCCATATGTGTTTGTGCAAATCCCATTGTGCACATGCATTACCTTTCCTGCGGAAGCTGCATTGGCTGCCGATTTTCTTCCAGGTGCAATTCAAGGTGTTGGTTGTCACCTTTAAAGCCCTTAATGGCTTGGAACCAGGTTATCTGAGAGACCATCCCTTGCGAGTCACATCTACCCGACCCATCAGAGTGGGCAAGCAGGGAATGGTGCAGGTCCTATCACCCAGGGAGATATACCTCGTGGGACCCAGAAGGGCCTTCTCTGTGGGGGCCCCCTCTCTGTGTAACATCATCCCCCAAAGATTTGAATGGCCCCCACTCTAGGACTCTCCCAGAAGGAGCTGAAAACCTGGTTCTGCCAGTGGGAACCCAGAGCGGGATGGAGCACATTAAGTGGCTCATGTGAGATCAGGGGGCTGGCAGAGACACAGGGAGGAAAGTGAAAGGTTGAGGAAATTTGAGATTTGTATTGATTTTTCTTTAGTGAGTTCAATTATTACAGCTGCCATTCTAAATTCATGCCTCTGCTTAGCCAAGGAAACACTAAAGACAGCCTGTAATACTGAGAATAACCATACATCCCAATGAAAACAAAGCATTAAAAGAAAAGCTCGAAAATGGAGTGAAAGCTCAAACTTGTGGGCCTTTAAAAATTTTTACCTCAAAACAAGCCACCATGATGGAGAAATTAAGATTGGGAGAATAAAGTCTCATATGTGGCTAGAGAAAAAGTGGAATCACAAAATGAAGGAAAGCAAATACTGAAAAATAAATATAAATCTCAAATACTACGAGGCAAAAAAAAAGAGAGAGATGAATAGTTTTATTTTGGTTGTTGAATAGGCAATACACCTCAGGAAATTTGAGTAGGAACCTTAAGAGCTTTTTTGCATTGGTGCAAAATGCAGCGGTCCATATGTTTTTGTGCAAATCCCATTGTGCACATGCATTACCTTTCCTGCGGGAGCTGCATTGGCTGCCGATTTGCTTCCGGGTGCAATTCAAGCTGTTGGTTGTCACCTTTAAAGCCCTTCATGGCTTGGAACCAGGTTATCTGAGAGACCATCCCTTGCGAGTCACATCTACCCGACCCATCAGAGTGAGCTGGCAGGGAATGGTGCAGGTCCTATCCCCCAGGGAGATACATCTGGTGGGACCCAGAAGGGCCTTCTCTGTGGGGGCCCCCTCTCTGTGTAACATCATCCCCCAAAGATTTGAATGGCCCCCACTCTAGGACTCTCCCAGAAGGAGCTGAAAACCTGGTTCTGCCACTGGGAACCCAGAGCGGGATGGAGCACATTAAGTGGCTCATGTGAGATGCTGTTATCATGGTAGGGGGTTATTTTATTATATTAATTTATTATATGACTCTTCTTCAATAAAAGAATAAAAGAAGAGTTTTATTGTTTTTATATGAGGTTTTATATTTTGTAAGCCGAAAACAGTCAGAGAAGGGGCTCAGCCCTGATACTTAACTCAACAGAAGTATTGAGGCAACAACAAGAGGTTTCCGATAACCACTACTAAAAGTTGTGCTTTTTTTTTATCTAAAAGATACTTGAAGAATAAAATTATAGTTGTGTTTGATATTTGAAACAATATAATGAAAAACAATTAGAAATATTTCTACATGCAGAGAAGACCTTTGAGTATTTGGACTTGGCAAAAACCACAAGCAGGATTAGGGATTCGCCGTGTTCTGGTTTGCACTAGAAAGGCAATTTATGAATGCATATCGAAGAAGGTAAACAATTTATTTGAATTATTTATTTATTTTTATTTCATTTATTCAATTTATATGCCGCCTCTCTCCGAAGACCCAGGGCGGCTCACAATACACTCAAAAAATGACTATAAAAGGACTTAAAAATTAAATTACTCAAATGGTACTTGTATGAGATTTTAGACAACTATAGGTAGTCGTCGATTTACTACAGTTCATTTAGTGATTGTTCAAAGTTACAGCAGCATGGAAAAAAGTGACTTATGACCATTTTTCACACTTTTGCAACATCCCCAAGGTCACCTGATCAAACGTCAGATGCTTGGCAACAGATTTATGACAGTTGCAGAGTCCCTGGATCATGTGATCACCTTTTGTGAGCTTCTAACAAGCAAATCCAATGGCGAAGCCAGATTCATTTCATAACAGTATTACTAACTTAACAACTATTGTGAGTCACTTAACAAATGTGGCAAGAAAAGTCATCAAATGGCACAAAACGCAATAACTGTCTCACTTAGCAACAGAAATTTTGGCCTCAATTGCAGTCATATGACGAGAACTACTTGGAGAAAAAAGAAGCTCACAAAAAGCCCTCTCCACACTGCAGACCTTTATTTGACTTCTATCTTGTGTGGATCCTCTTGTGGCGATGAAGATGACTGCTATAAGTAAAGCTCTTTCCACACTCCATGCATTTATAAGGTCTTTCTCCCGTGTGGCTCCTCTTGTGGCGATGAAGATGACTGCTATAAGTAAAGCTCTTTCCACACTCCATGCATTTATAAGGTCTTTCTCCTGTGTGGATCCTCTTGTGGCGATGAAGATGACTGCTATAAGTAAAGCTCTTTCCACACTCCATGCATTTATAAGGTCTTTCTCCTGTGTGGCTCCTCTTGTGGGAATCAAGGTTACCGCTACAAGTAAATGTCTTTCCACACTCAGTACATTTATAAGGTCTTTCTCCTGTGTGGCTCCTCTTGTGGGAATTAAGGTAATGGCTACGAGTAAATGTCTTACCACACTGACTACATTTATAAGGCTTCTCTCCTGTGTGGATCCTCTTGTGGAAATTAAGACTGCTGCTACAAGTAAATCCCTTTCCACATTCCATGCATTTATAAGGTCTTTCTCCTGTGTGGATCCTTTGATGGATTATAAGGGACTCAGAATAACAGAAGGTCTTTCCACACTCAATGCATTTATACGTTTGTTCTCTTTTGTGGATCCTCTTGTGGGAATTAAGTCTACTCATAGCAGTAAAGGTCTTTCCACACTCAATGCATTCATAAGGTCTCTCTCCTGTGTGGATCCTTTGATGGATTATAAGGGACTCAGAATAACAGAAGGTCTTTCCACACTCAATGCATTTATACGTTTGTTCTCTTTTGTGGATCCTCTTGTGGGAATTAAGTCTACTCATAGCAGTAAAGGTCTTTCCACACTCCATGCATTCATAAGGTCTCTCTCCTGTGTGGATCCTTTGATGGATTAT